CTCACTCTCTTGCCCACAAGCAGCGTGCTTTAAAGTAATTTAAGGCGTCACATGTGGTTTTAGCCGGGTGAAAGAAGAGTTTTGGGGGTGGAGTTTTCTCTACCGCGCACTTTTTTTTTTTTTTTTTTTTGTTCTGTATAAATTATTCGCTTCTTGACTCGGGAAATCTCCCACAACCCCCGCGGGAAAATGACGCCGCACCCCGCACTTCAGTTGATGTCTATAATTACCAAAAATGCTTCCTCCCTTCCAACTATTTCGGGGTGAGCGTTTCTAATATTATTGAAAATTTGCTGCCCATTTATCTTTGGTTCCTATAATCCCCTGTTACCCCCGTGTCCCTTTGTTCTTTTCTAAATTTAAAGACAACTTGAATGGGATCATTAGCATGCATGCGCCGCCCAAATATAGGGGCGTCACCCCCACATTATTGAAAAACTCGGGGAAAACTCGGGAGAAAATAACAATAATTGAACAAATTAATGTTTTTGCTTACTCAGAAATATTTTTAAATATTCCAAGTCTATTCTACGAAAATGAATCTATACATTTTGGAAGCCCTTGAAAATATCAAAAAAATGTCTGTGCTCGGCAAACACTTTTCTTTAAAGGCTGAAAAATGGCAGAAATCCGCGAAAAGTTTCCAGCGAACGTTGGCCAAAAGTTACCACCTAGCTTAATTTATTTAAACTTGTAATAAACCATTCTGGAAACTTTTTTACTGGCCCGGAAAATGTACACGATATAAGTATGTGGGTTAAGAGTGTCAGAAAATCGGGGGGAAGTCGGGGAAAACTAACCCAAAGAAATCAAGTTGAATTGTTTGTGCGGGTTAAAGTTTGATTGATGTGCCGTGTCCCGCGTGCAGACAACATGAAAATTAGTTGAGAGACTCGAAAGTTGTATGCGGAATGGGATGGGGGTTCGGATATATCTACGTATATTCCCCGGGTCACAAATAGTTCGGCCTGCAGTTGGAATGGAATGATTGACGGTTAGGCAAACGAGCTGGGCATTCTGGAAACGCTTTAAAAACAACCATCGAAAGAAACAAACTGCCATGTAACTTGATCTATGGCCTGTGTGATTCACCAATGTTCAGATTTGGATGAAACAATTCCAACGAAAGAGAAAAACCCACCATAAATAGGGAGTTCATTCATTCATTTTCTAAGATTGTTTGAGGTTCAACTAAATATCAGAGGAAATATTTTTTCCAAGGAAGTCTTGTGTGTGTGTGTGTGGGAATATCAACAGGATCTGCAGGCATTTCAAATCACTTCCCCTAAAACCATTGTGGTGTGCCTTGCACAATTCAGTTCATCTTTAGTTTATCCCTCATGCGAAAAGGATATCAGATTCAAGTGTTATCTGTGTGTGTGTGTGTGTTTTAGGGCCTTTTCAGCCACCAGCCTGTAGAGTGACCTGTGACCCGACCCCGGGTCGGACCGCCCAGAAACACGCCCACTTGAACGCGATGGCTATGGGCAACATTAGCAGCATGTGTCTGTTTTATCATTAACTTGAGTTGCCGCATAAGGAAGTTGCTGCTTGGGTGTCCTGCCGGTGCGTCCTTCCCTCCCTCCCTACATTCTACCTCTGTGTGTGTGCGTACGAGTGTGCGTGTGTGTGTGTGCGTTGTGCATCATTGGGTAAACAAATGCAGCAACAAAAGCCGATGCTGCTGTGCGGGTTTGCTCTAGTGGCTGCGATTGCTGCCAGCAGGCAGCATGTGTTGCATGTTGCATGTTGCTGGGAGTCGGGAGTTGGGGGCTGACACAGTTTCCTGTCGGCCTGCACCACTTGAGTGCGTGTTGCAAATTGAGCGCATCACTCAAAACAGCCACCAGCCACAGACATCAGAATCAGATTTTTGGTTAATTTTTGAGTATAAAAAAATACTTTGTATAAAAAAATATCAATGCAAATAATAGTTATTTCCGTTTCCAAAGCAGATAAAAAGTAACGACTGTTTCATGCTCTTCGCTTGGTTTTTCTCTGTGTAGATTTGGCTTAGGCATCTGGGGAGGGACATCAGGGGGTTGTGTTGTGTGTGTGTGTGTGTGTGGATAAGAAGCAGCAGCAGCAGCAGCAGTAGCAGTGGCAAGAAGAAGGTTGTCCGAATGCCACAGCAGCATATCAAATGTCCGATATGGGGAAGCCATGCAAAATGGAATTCGCGGTGGGCTGCGCATGCGCAGAAAACCGCAAAAGCCAAAAGGGAGGAGGAGGGGGATGGAGGAGTTTGGGGGCATGGCAAGTGCATAGTGTATAGTATAGCCAAACCCTGACCGAGGCAAAGCAAACCCGGTCTGCAAAGAGCGTGCCAGAGACAGCCACGTGGAGATTCCGTTGCTGGCAATTCCCCACCTGCCCCAAAACCCTTCGCCACTTCGCCCCATTGCCCCTTTGCCCCTTGGATGTCCAGTCCCCTCGATGATGGCAATTTAACGCCAGCTTTGTTTGATGACAGGACAACTGGCAGTGGGGCACCTGCTAGAAATGCACAGAGAGAAACGTGGGAACAATTGTGCAAATCAGATAAATATTTGCATAATCCCTACAGAACATTGATCTGTTCAAAGGAAGGTTCAGACCAGAATCTTACCTATTATGCTACTTGCTGCTATATAGTATTCTCTAAGACCGTGATTATAATGACATTTGATCGAATTGGTATGCTTCGATTTGGCTCAGTGGCCTTCAGACGGTTGGTCATCATGTCAACGCCTCTGGGCGACGGCGGCGGTGGCCTGTGGCAGAAGCGTCATTGACTCGGGCTGAAACCAAACAAGGGCTCAACAACTAGAACAACTAGAACAACTAGGTAGCGGGCAATAGTCAACAGCCAAGTGGCGACACAGACCCCAGCAACCAGCAACCAGCACCCAGCACCCACTTACCGCCGACGGACGACACAAACGGAAACATCATCACTCAGCCAACAGGCAACAGGCAACATCCAAACACTATCGCCATCACCATCATTATTCTCGTCGTCATCAGTATTGAAATCGACATTATCCGCACGATGGACACATGACAAAGATCAGCAAGTGTTGGGTCGCAAATTGCTGCAGTTGACCAATTGATTGGCATCCTTAGCGGTTTCGAGTGCTTTCCACCGCAAATGATTTCACGGGAATGAGAAGTGGAGTTGAGAGGTTGAGAGGGGAAGGAATGTGCAGGTGCCACTAGCAATTCGAGTTTGTGTTACTTATTTTTAGGTTTTTGACTTTCCTTATACTTAAACATAATTGGTTAGAAATGCAATACAACCGATGATATCTTCATCCGAAATCCTTTGTGAATCTTTATGGAATTTAATTAACATTAGTGAAGTGGCTAATTAGTCCGTTCTCGCGCCACTTGGTGTTGCAAATTGTTCACGGCCCATCAAATCGGGCTGCTTGTTGTCAGGTGCCTTTGGTTTTGCGAATGTGTGCCAATTAGAATGTGTTTATGGGCAAACGAGTCGTATGCAGGAAGTATCTCATGCATATGTTATACAATATCCTGAATAATTTACTCACCACCAATTGAAGGCACACTGAACACAAACAAACACACATCCTTTTGTGTGTCGAGTGTCTCGATGAATGCAAATTTTGCCTCCTTCGATAATTGCTCTCGATGTCATTGTTACACGATGTTGCAAAGCATCTATGCATACAAATGACAAACATTTATGAAAAATAATTTACTCAACTATATATGGTAAATATTGTTTCATTCACCACGTGATGATGCTCCGCACTCCCGCACTTTGTTATCCCAAAAAAGTGGAAAATATTGCAGTCTCTGTTTGCGTTGAAAACGAATTTATAATCCCGCAAACGGGTCGCAACAACAAAATAATATTAATGCGGGGGAACGGGAATGGGAAGCTGCAAGGTTGAAATAACAACTCTGTTATTATTCTAGGTATTCTCGATTCTCTGCAAGTGTGAAAATAATTCCCATTACACTGGGGTCCTCTTCGAAAGTTATTGAATATTGTTTGCTTTATTATCAACGGGGTTGCTTTTCTGACCAAAGGGCATCTGACATTCGATTTGAGGCACCCCTTCGTATTCCGGTTCCTTTGGTTTCGTTGCGATTTTTCCGAACTCTCCGCCCTTTTGGTTTCTCCGATTCGGTTTCGGGTTCGATTTGCGTGGGTAAATTAAATAAAAATGCCAGCAAAAAAAAAAAAAAATAAATAAAATAAGAAGAGAACAAAAATGGAGATGTGTTTTAATATTTTTTTGCGAAAAATGAAATAATATGCGAATGTTTTTATTTATTAAAGCTGCAATTTATTGCTGTGTCCTCCGCCATATTGTTGTAGTTCCTGCAACCTTTATTTTTGCCAAGCCCGAAACCGAAATGGGGAACACAATGCAAAATGCAAAATACAAAATACAAAATACGAAATACAAAATGCAAAAAGTTCCCGAAATGGGAAATAAAACGCAAGTGCAATCGATCTCGCATGTTTTGGGTGGGGATTCGTTATGGATGGGATGTAAATGAGTGCGGACTCAGGTCGTTTCGCATTTCCTGCAACGCTTTTTGCCTTCGCTCTCTGAACTGCCATAAATCAAACATTTTCATCTTTAAGCCCTTTGGTTTTGCGCCAAAGCCGTGCAAATCGGCCATCAGAACGGGTTTTCGGGTTTTCGGGGTGCGAAGCTTTTAAGTAAATCCGGCTAATACTTGTTTCCCCGGACATGGCTGATGGCTTTATCGAGCACTGTGATTGCGGATTTTTATATTTCGCTGTAAAACGCTGGAAAATGACTCGATTTTCATATATTTAAGAGCCTCAGTAGCACAAACAATTACTCAAAATAACGGCTTACTGCAGCTTGGCGGTTACGAATATTCTGGCGTACCCTCTCATTCATGATTAGCCCCTACTTGACTGAACAGCATAATTAAATTCCTCGCAACCCTTGAACTGAACTGAACGCTGACTAAAAGTGTCCTCCATCCTGCGTTTTTTTCCCTCATTACAGATGCCAATCCGCAGCCGCAGCCGCAGCAGCAGAATCAGCTCGTCCAGCAGCAGCAACTCCAGGCGCCGAGATTCACCACGCATCCATCGTCATCGGGGTCGATTGTCAGCGAGGGCAGCACCAAGATACTGCAGTGCCACGCGTTGGGTAAGTCGACAAACACTATATAACCAAGAGGGGAAAGTCGGATCCCCTGAACGAAGCTTAGATGTAGTATATAAACCCCACATAAACCTCCCAATCGAACTCCCACTAGTTAAAGTTATGGAACAAATATTAGTAAAAAAGTGTTTAATCAGATTCTGCCTATTAACCCATTGCATTTGCAAAATGTTTGTCCCCTCCCAAGCGAATTCCCACTAGTTAAAGTTATGGAACAAATAGTAGTAAAAAAGTGTTTAATCAGATTCTTTCTATTAACCCATTGCATTTGCAAAATGTTTGTCCCCTCCAAATCAAATTCTCACTAGTTGAAGTTATGCAGCAAATAGTAGTAAAAGAGTGTTTAATCTTTCTATTAACTCATTGCATTTGCAAAATGTTTTTGGCATGACTAATTGGAACGACGACACATGCCATCATGTCTGGGGACTGCGAGCTGCCCCTGCTAGGCGTGTCAAACATAATGCCCTCCCTGAACGGAATTATAATACTAATACCCCCGGTGGGTGTTCATCACACCCCCCCTTTCCTTTTCCGCTGTCCTCCCGGCTTCCAAACACACAACACTTGTCCACCCAAAGCGTCTGACAGCTAAGCTGAAAGCAGAGGAAGGGGCTTAGTGTAAAACGAAACCATAAACGAAAACACTTTTTCCTCGTGCTGCGCGCTTTTGAAAGATAATGAAGTAGAAAAACAATAACTTTTATGAGGTTTCCCCCACAGCTGGGGCTCCTTCTCCTTCGCCTTCGCCTTCGCGCGAATCCTCGGACCTCGGAACCCTCAGTTCGCAATCCCGATTCGCCACACCCACCGCCCACCGCCCACCTTCATTCCCAGGCGGCCGTCGAGTAATCCTTTGAGCGCTTTTGGGCGTGCCCCAAAGTCCAGAGTCGCAGGTTCACAGGATTCGAGGTACACGTAAACGTAATGCTTCCTCCGGTGACGCCGCCTGCATTTGACAGTTTCGAGTATCGGTTTCATATTGTTCCACTTCCACTGCCCCTCCCCTTCCCAATTCCCTCCCCCCCAGAAATCAGCCCAAAAAGAATAAAAAGCTATGAACTTACTTTGGGCAGGCCGTCTGTGTCCTTCGGCCTTGTTTCTGAATACTCTCCTTGAGGGTATTGTTTTTTTTAGTATTTTTCTTTTTGCAATGTCAGAAGGAAAACATTTTGAATCTTATAGTGTATGATATATATTTCAAATATACCATATCTGAGTATGTTACCAATATCTCCTTTAGTGTATAAACTTCAAATGCGATTCGAAATAATTAGTTTAAGGTCTTCGATAACAATCTTGGCAACCTGCTGACCTCCAAGGGTGAACCAACTGCGACCAACGGAAGTTAGCTGGCCTCCTTGTGTTTTTGTTGTTTATTTTGGGGTGTCCCCACTTTCCCCGCTTTCCTCGAAGTCTGTGCCTGTGTTTTATGGCCGCCGGATTCGCAAAATTAGTCGTCAAATGTCCGGACTCCTGGGGCGGGATACGAGTATATGCATTGTTTGTTGTAAATTAATTGGCGAATTACGGCTCACGGGGAATATTAAAAGTTAGGTCTTGGTGGACAAAAACTTTGAAACGCCAAAAGGCTGGGTTCAAGGTGAAATTCAAGCGTTTAACCTTTGAACCGCGAAAAGGAGGGCGTTCTTGAGTTTGTATTCTCCCGAAGAAACCAATTTAGGCCAGCCGGTGTAACTAGACAACCCAAACCAGCCGTGTAAATCCCCTTCGAAATAACTGTTTGTGGGGCTTTTCAAGCATAATCGCAGTTGGTTTTTTGGCCTTTTGAGAGGGGCGCCAATGCCTTCGTCTGTCATCAGCATTTTGATGCACATTGGAGCTGCAAACACAGCCGTGCATCTGCGTTTTTGAGCGCATTTATGGGGATCTATGCAACGGCACCCGAGAGCCGAGCACTTTGCATAAGCTGCAAGTGGGCAACAAAAAAAAAAAAAAATACGAGTACGAGTATAGTTAAAAAAAAAAATGAGCAAGAAGAAAAAAAAACCCGAAAAAGTGGGGGAAAACAGCGAGTGGTGGGGAGCGGCAAAAATAAAAACAAATGCAAATCTCTTTAGCTGCTCTTTGGCGTTGTCACACATGCCGCAACGTTCGCGCTTTCAGTCACTTTGGCGGTTTTAGCCGTCATCTCCCTTTCCCTTTTGCACACCAGCCTCCCTCTGCCCCTTCCCCTTCCCCTTCCCCTCTCCCCATCTCGCTCTTCAAGATAGTTTATGGGTGTATATGCAAAGGGGATCCCTTCCTCTCCGCGAGGAAGTCTGCCTCCTACCTTTTTAGTGTTTCGGTCGGGATTTTGTAGTTGTGACCGTGGAGGGACTCTCAAGCAAAACAAGTTCCCCATCGCTCTCTTTCTCCTCTCTTTCTCTTCTCTTTGCCCTCCCCTGTCCCTACTCTCTCCCTCTCTCCCCCTCTCTCTTTCACCCCCTCTCTCTCTCTCTCCCTGTTTCCCCTTCTATTGCCATCTCATCTGGGCTCCGCTTAACGTTTGTTCGCGTTTTTGTGCAGCGACAATCGTGAAAACAACATAAGAATAGTCTAGGAATTGTGGAATATGGCTTACAACGCTGTGTATACCCTGCAAAAAAAAAAAATAAATAATAATAATGAATTTGAATTTGGTAATAGCCACGCATCCAAAGATGAAAGCAGATACCCAAAACTGTGTTGGGTATTTTGACAAGGTTCCAAGGTTTTGTTTAGGTTCCAACTGGTATGCCCCATTGAGGAAACTTTGGGAGCATAACAGCGGCATAAGAGCTAAGCAAAATGTGTGTGCAATTGTTTCTGGCCAACAAAATGAAATGCGATGAGGCCGCATATTGGATGGAGCGAGAGAGGTGTTCGAGGAAAGTACGCTACGCATAGAATGGGGGGAGAATGGGGTTTCTTCTGCAGCTTCTCCTTCTTCTTCTTCTTCTGCCTCGGTTGCCTCGCAAATGTAGCGCATTCACTAACAACAAAGACTTTTTTTATGGCAACAACAAAGCCGCCAAAGCTGTTTTCAGTGGCAATGCTGCAAGCCCAACATGTGTCGAACACGAAGAGGGGCAACAAAAACAGAGGGAAACCAAAAAAAAAAAAAAAAATGCATTTCTAGAAGTGAGCGAAGAAAAGTTGGGAGACACACTTGGCAGAAACGTGGCTCTAAATGTGGTTAAAGCCTTCTTCTGCTTTCCCTCAGTACGCAGTTCAAATAAATGTCGCAGTGGTTTGCATCTCGCTTTTCCAAAGTGAAAAACTTTCCTAAATTCAAAATAAACAAGCAGGTGTTTTCTGAAAAGGGTCTGGTTCGAAAACGTTCTCTATCGCCGTTTGATATCGAGACCCGCATTGATATATGACTCAAGCGATATGATATGATATCACATTATTTTTTTTTTTGCTGTGCACTTTCCTTCTTCTTTTGAGCACTTTCTTCTCCTGCGAATGAATAGCGTGAGAGAAAAAACAATGCAAGAAGTAGAAGAAGGTAAGCTGAAAAATTGCAAACTATTGTTTTTGTTGCTTCCAGCTTTGTGTCGCTGTGTTTTACCCTCCTTCCTCCACCACCTGACCCCCCTCCCCCCTTGAGCAAACCCTCTTGTTTACTCGCAGGAGAAGAAAGAGGAAGAACAACCGATGTGCCTATATCCTATGTGTATATGCAACTCGTGTCGTCATTTAGGCTGAAGTGGATGGCTTTGCTTAATGTGTTGTGAAGGAAGAATGCGATATACGTTTGCACAGGCATTCATCCGCACAGAAGGTATTCCAGGAACGGAAAAAATTAAAAAAAAAAGAAAATATCAAAAAAATGAAACAGTTGCAAAATGATAGAAGGCAACAAGGATATTGTGTTTACTTAAAGATGAACTCCTCCAGCAGCAAGAAAAGTAAACTACAGGCAGTTAATGAAAAAATTGCATACATTACCTGAACAGGCAAAAAAAGTATGAAAAAGTAGTCGGCAAATGGAGTGATTTGCAGATGCCAAGGGAATTCAGGTTCTTTAATTTAGCTGAGCACGTTGATTATTCCGACAAGTAAAATAAAGCAGCTTTCCGAATGCAGTAAACATTATTTAAAATATAATATAAATACTAGAATAAAAAAACATCAAACCCTAACTTCATTGAATCTCCATATGTTTTTTTGATCAGGAATATTGGGACTGAATAAGTAACAAATTTTTCCAGTGGATCAAATGTAAACTTCTTTAACCAAACAATTTGGCCTGTGGTATTGTTGTTCTTTTGCGGTGTAAGTTGCAAACAAAAATGTAAGAAAAAGCAAAAAAAAAAAAAAAAAAGCAGCGACCAACAATATGTGTAAACAAAGGCGGCAAACGCAAACGCATAAAAGTGAAATGTGCAGTTAAAAAGTGCAGCAACAACAGGCAAGACAAAGGTAAAAAGGCTTTTAGGCACTTTTAAAGTTTGCATCGCTCCAAGTGCCACAACATAAAAACACGAAACTACTCCAAATGCATATAAATTTACCTGGACAAAACTTAAAACTAGTACACGGAAAGAAACTGCGACCCAATTCTGCAGCCACAGGTTGACGAATTTGTCCGAGGAGCACAAAAGCCCAGGTTAAAATCCCACTTTTTGTCTTACTATTTTTCTTTTGACTGCTGTGCTCCAGCTTGCTGTCGAGGTCCAAAGGCGTTAGCGCGTTGCACTGTGCATAATTTAGCAAACATGTGCCAGTCTTGCCACAGAATAACAATAAAGAATACGAGGAGTCAGACAGCTACTGCGGGGAAAAGCAGAGGAAGGTAGACACAAGCTGAAAAGCGACCACCGAAAACTAAAGGCAAATTAAAATTGTGTAAGACAAGCTGAGGAAACACGTGTAAAATAATGAAGAGGAAAGCAAGTACAAAATGTTTAAAAAAATTTCACAAACAAAGTGCATAAAGTTTTTTTTTCCAAATTGGTTGGAATTTGGTCAAAAGGGGGCGATATACAATTATTTAGAAAACAGGGAAAATAATTAAATTAATTAATATCAATTAACCTCATTTATCTCAAGCTTACAAATAAGTCACAGAAACTTTAACAATTTGAAAAACAATGTCTGCTCGACCGTGTGTCCTATTAGTGGCTCATATTTGTTTCACAAACGTAAAAAGGCTAACACACTGAAAATTATACTTCCTTTGTGTAGGTTTGTAGATTAAATTACATTTCATTACTAATTTAACCTTGTTGCTGAAAACATGCATCGCTTGAATCACACGCTGCTTTAAATAAAAGCTATTTTACTTTGAAATCAATCTTGTTGTGACTAACTAAAGTTCTAAAAATGAATCTGTTTATCACCAAAAAAAAAAATTTAATAATATAAAACAAAAGCTGAATATAGACTTTAGATTAGCTTTAAATTATAGACCATTACCAAACCTGATTCAACACATTATGTGAATAATCATGTTAATAATCGTTATATAAATATAAAGTAATTACGAGAACCAAACTTATAAATGTAAATTAATATTTTATGCCTCATGATTTATTTTTCCTCTCAAGACTTTTCGACCGCTTTAAAGTGTCCGTTGCTTTATCCTCAAATGAAATCCGCCCAAAGTTCGACTGACATCACAAAAGAATGTACACAAAGGTTGGGATTCAGGGTTTTTCGGGTTTCGGCCAGGATGAAACCATCCGATATCTCCTGGGCCAAGAGTCCAAGTTGACGGATTGGCAAATAGTCTTTTGAGCCCAATGCAGAGAGTGCGCTTGACAAACGTTGATGGCACGGAGTTGGAGTTATGAATGCCGGTGCCATCAGTCCGGTTTCCGGAGGTGGATTCCCTCCCCCTCTTCCTCTCCCCACGCAGCCCTTGTCCTCCTCCATATCCTCCCCACTCCCAGTGCACTGCTCCTATATGCAATTGATTTCGTGGGCTTTTCCATAGGCTTGTTCTGGCCACAAATCAAACAATTTCCGCTATGCGGAACAACAGGCAATCCCCTCTTCAGATACAAATGCAATTTGTTGCATTGCGTCGCCTTTTTATTGAATTTATTTATATGCAGTTGGGCTTGCTTAGACACTGGCTGACTGACTGACTGATTGATTGATTGACTAACTGATTGACTGCCTGGCTGACTGGCTGGCTGGCTGGTTGATTGAGTGAGTGGCATTTGGCTGCTGTGTGGCACTGTGGCAAGCCGCAAAGAAAGAGTCGCGGAAATATGGTGATGACTTGTTGCTGGTTTCTGGTTTCCGTTTGCTGTATTGGTGAGAAAAAAGTGTAGCACACTTTTATGGGCGGCGAAAGGAAATCGCGATTTTATGGAATGGCAAAGAAAAGCGGAAAAGCGAAAAAGACAGCTTGCAAAGGCGACCTAAGTGATTGAATTTTGGCGTTTAATTTAAGTTCATATTTCGATTAAATTTTGGCATTTCATTTAAGTTAACATTCTGATTGAAACTCGCGTTACATTTCGGATAATGTTTGCACAACTGCTGTCTGCAATTCCTTTGACAATTTTTGTTTAATGTCCTGCCGCCTGTATGTGGCAAGAAATTGAAAATTTGTTTCCTTTTTAATGAATTTTTCGCTCTGTCAATTCCAATTGGCCTTCGGTTTACCAGGGTCGTTTTAACTATCTGATTGACTCTGGCCGCTTCCCAAGAGAATGTAAATTTCTGTTTCTTTTGGCTTCTTTTTTTTCTCGGCCTGCTATATCTTTGGTTCTCAAACTTGGCGACCTTTTTTTCCTTTCGCCGCTTTGAGGTTTACTTTGGCTGGCGACCGGTTTTCGGAGTGACAGTGACTTTGTATGGCTTGGCTTAAAGGATTTTTGTCAGTTTAGTTATTAAAAACTCATTACACACATATGTGGACACACACTCAACGGGACGGAGACATGTGCAGGCACTGAGAACAACCAGGAGCTCTTCTCAAGATTAAGTTCATTTTTGGATATTCGTTTTTGGAATTCCACTTTGTTAAGCGGCTTTGGAATAAATAGTATTAACATATAAAATTAAAAAAATTAGGGATAGCCATTACTTTGAAGTGCAGCTATCAATTGGTCATTGTAAACCCAATTGAAAAGTTTATTTTGTTTTGTAGGGAAGAAATTCCCGCAGTGTATTCTCTGGTAAGGATCCTTCGGGGACCTCTTCACTCTCTCCCTCTCTTTCCTGTACGTCCTGTCTCTTTTCCCCCGATTCTCCCGGCTTCCTCCGCTTATTGGGCCTCGCTTCGATTTAGCGCTGACACATTTCGCTGGAGAATGTTTGTTTCTTTGACTTTCTTCTTCTTTTTCTTTTTGCTCCCTCTGCTGTTTACTAACGGCACTCTGATGTGGCAGTGTCTGCGTGTGTGTGTGCACATGTGAGTGTTCGTTCTTGCGAGCATATGTCTGTGTCTGTGTGTATTTGCCTTACAATTCCCCAAATTGTAATTTTATAGCAGCGTCATTGCCCAAAATGCTCAAATAGACTTTTGCCTTTTGGTCCGTTTCATGTAACTTTTTTTTCCTTTTTCTTCTTCTTCTTCTTCTTCTGTGCTTTCTTATCCTTGGGTATTTTCAAAAAAAATTTTTTTTTTTTTTTTGCCAACACTTGAGAAACTTTTGGCTGCTGCTGGGCTTCTCCTGTTCTGTTCTCTCCTTTCCCAAGCCTTCCCGCCACTTTCTCTGCCCTCGTGTCTTCCCACTCTCCAGTTGATTCCTATTCTCGACTGGTAGTTTCCAGTTTCGCTTCTAACTCGGCTCAATTCGATTTTGTCTGCAAACTGAATGAAGTGAATTGCATTGCCATTGGCCGCCCAGAAGCTACCCCGTAAGTACCTCAAAGTGGATCGAGCATATAGGCTGGTGATTTCTTCAAAGATCTACTGAATAGAAGCAGGTATAAAATATCGAAAGGGTATTAAAGGGGCGTAGAGGAGTATTAAAGTTAAATAAATAATTTAATGATTTCTTATTAGACTGAACCACCAATCAGTCGTCTGAGATTAACGCTGCATTAGTACAGGGTATCGGGAATAATATCCAGCTGCCGGGCAGTCATCAACCCCAAATTCCTCAATGAGGCCAGTCCCCGACTTAAGCTCTTTGCAAAAGCGTTGATGGCACCGCCAGGGTTTTGGGTTCGCCTGGGTTGGGTTCGCCTGGTTTGGATTGGGTTTGGGTTGGAATTCGCCCCCGTCGGCCTCGTCGGCTTGATGACCTGATTCCAGCCTCCGGCCATCCAATCCGTCTGCTCCCGTTCGGTGGCCTCCATCCTGTGCTGTGCTGCGCTGTGATGTGATGTGATGTGCACTCAATCCTGTTGCATCCTGGCCAGTTAGGCGAATCGCATATTTTATTCAGACTTTCATTTAGTTCAACCATCACTCCTCTCACCTCTTCACCTCCTCCCCACATCCCCACCTCCCCTTGGGTCACATGTAATTTTTGTTTAGCCATTCCAATTGCAATTCCATTTCCCAAAGAGAGTCTGAGGGGACGGTCAGGTGGCTGGGTGGCTGGGTGGCTATGTGGCTCTGTAGGAGGTGTGGTGGCCATATAAATCAACTCTAATTTAAATGCTCGGCTGCAGCAATGAAATCAGAATGAGCACTCTGCCAACCAGCCCCTATATATATGCATCGCTCCGCCTGTGGAACTCTGCAGCTCTGAAGCTCTGGAGTCGTTTGCTTCTTTTCTGGGCGGCAGCTTAAACAAACGAAGCCATCTGTGGCCAGCACAGAGTGTCCTTTGTGCTCCAGTCCATCCAGCCTCCATCTATCGCCCGGTTTATGGCAGGAAAACCTGACTGGCCCTCAATTTAATTGCGCCAGTGGCGGGTATTGAAAGGGATAAATCAGGGGTTAAATGGGTTTACAATAATTAACAAACAAGGCTTAGCACTTAATAGCATATACTTTAGGATTTGTTCCTCAATGAAAAACTAAATTAAAACTGTTACCGATGACAACTCCAAATATGTGAAAAAAATGAATGAAAATTAAATTGATATTGCAAATAAAAGCTTTGATAGATGGATAATCCAAGGATAATCCTCTTGTCCGACCCTGCCAATTTGCTTTTGCCTTTGTCAGCGCAAATCAAATAAAGTCAGGGTTTAATGAAATGTACGAGACGCCCTTAAAAACACCCATCAACCGCACACGCCCAACATGATATTTATTAAACCATTTTCCCCTGTCTCTCCCTATATATTTCTCGCCTCTGCAGGATACCCGCAGCCCACATATCGATGGCTGAAGGACGGCGTCCCCGTGGGCGACTTCTCATCCAGCCAGTTCTACCGATTCCACAGCACTCGGCGCGAAGATGCGGGCAGCTATCAGTGCATCGCCCGGAATGACGCCGGATCCATATTCAGCGAGAAGAGCGACGTTGTGGTGGCCTGTAAGTACAAGTTCCAGAAATCCTTTCCAGGGAACCGCGTCCTGTGGAGCATCATACATCCTACATCTTTGTACGACGTCGGTTACGCAACATCAACACAAGTGCAATTTCGGGTGAAAAGTAACACAGCTTCAGGGCGCGGAAATTTGAGAGCCTCCCGTTCTATCTTTTTGGGTTGCCCATTTGACCAGATTAGGTTACCAATTAAACGAGAAACAATTGAAGTTCACTTAAGGGTATTTCGGGGATCTTTAGTGCAAATTAACTAGCTGGAAGGCACATATTATTAGGAAATTAGTTAAGCGTCAACGAACTTTTACTTTCTAACAGTGACAAAACTTGAGTTTGTTAGGAATTTTATTTACAAACTTTTAGGGGTGAAAAAATAAACTAACCACACATGTTAGAGAATTAAACGTTAAAATTGGATCAAAATTAGAAAAGTTATGTAAAGAGAATTAGTGAAATTTGGTCGATTTTCAGCAAACCCATTTTTGGAAATTTGGAAAGGGGTAAAGTTGTAAAAATTAAAGAAAATCAGCCAAAAAATAAAAAATTTTCTAATGATGCAGTTAGTTAAAGAATTAAAATAGAATCTTTTAGAGGTATGCCACTTGAAAATCGGATGAAAATTATATTTTTTGGAAATTTAGTTAGGGAATTAAACTTTAAATTCGTAGAGGTATGCCACTTCGAAATCGAACTTCAATTGAAAAGATTGGGGCGTAAAAGTTCTGCGATTTGTTCACTTTTCTGCATTTGCGATTTTTAGAAAGAGTTATCTCAAGAAAATACCCAATGTACGAGTACATCTAAAAACTGCGGGCCTGAAAATGCTAGGGGAAAACGTGTAGTCCTAATCAAACGGCTGTCACAGCAGCCAAGCCTTTTCCCCTCTGGCCATGATAAATGTCGAGCTGCTAATTTTTCTTTAATGCGAACTTAATTGCAACAAGAACGCAGCGTGGGGGAGGGGAGCTCTTGGCTCTTAGCTCAGAGGTTTAGGGGTTAAGGGTCACTGGGTAGGTGTGGATGTAACGAACAATTAGACAAGTAAGTGTGAGTGACACTTGAGCCCTCGTGTGCGTGTGTGTGAGTGCTTATTACCCCACTACTTGAACCTAATAAATCGAGCTCTCGACACGAGAACGACCTCCATGAAGAGAACGCCGGATTCCAAAGCTGGTGCTCAGTGTTGGGAAACTCTGGCTATTTTTGTACCTAGTTAAAATGGGGAAGTGCTCGAAAGTAGCCGTTTTTTCAACTACGTATCCTAGAAAATGTTATAAACTTTTGAAGGTACAGGTACACCTTTAACGGTGACCTTCTTTTCGGAGGCGTTAGGTGGGCGTGGCTCACTGACAAGCTGACAAACTGACTCAATGACTCGTCGACTGGTTGACTTGGAGCAGCAGCAGCGTCTTGAGCACTTAATTAATTGTAGAGCCAAGGAGGCGAGTGGCGAGAGGTGGAGCGTGGAGCGTGCTCAAACTGAACTAATAACCTTTAAAGCTCGACAGAAGGGGCTGCTTAAGAGCGGGGTGAGGGGTTAAATTGACTTGCCCGCAGGCCGTTGCGTTGCCTTCAATTCAATTAGCGAATGACACCACAGGAAGGCGAAGGCGCAGCAGTGGCCGCGTTTCCATGGAATTGGGGTTACTTCAATAGGGGCTTAAGTAGATTCAGGCTTCATGTGGTGTTTAGCGGGAGAACTCGTATCAATGAAGATTCGAATGAGTAGAACAGTATTACAAAGTTAGCAGTTTCATTATCTGATTGATTAATAATAACCATTCATTTTCCTCCACAGACATGGGCATCTTCGAGAACACCACCGAGGGTCGTCTGACGGTGATCAGTGGCCATCCTGCGATATTCAACATGCCGGCCATTGACTCGGTGCCGGTGCCCTCGGTGATGTGGCAATCGGAGGACGGATCCCTCAACTACGACATCAAGTACGCCTTCACGCAGGCCAACCAGTTGGTTATCCTGAGTGCGGACGAGAACGATCGCAAGGGCTACCGCGCCAAGGCGATCAACACCCAGCTGGGCAAGGAGGAGAGCAGCGCCTTTGTCCACCTGAACGTCAGCGGGGATCCGTACATCGAGGTGGCGCCCGAGATCATCGTTCGTCCGCAGGACGTCAAGGTCAAAATGGGAACCGGCGTCGTCGAGCTGCAGTGCATCGCGAATGCCCGACCCCTGCACGAGCTGGAAACCCTCTGGCTGAAGGATGGCCTCGCCGTCGAAACGGCCGGCGTAAGGCACCGGCTGAACGACCCGTGGAACCGCACCCTGGCCCTGCTCCAGGTGAACAGCTCCCATTCCGGCGAGTACACGTGCCAGGTGCGATTGCGCAGCGGCGGCTATCCGGCCGTCAGTGCCTCCGCTCACCTCCAAATCCTCGAGCCGCCGGTCTTCTTCACTCCGATGCGAGCGGAAACCTTCGGGGAGTTTGGTGGCCAGGTGCAGCTGACCTGCGATGTGGTGGGGGAGCCCACGCCCCAGGTCAAGTGGTTCAGGAACGCCGAATCCGTGGATGCTCACATCGAGAGCGGAAGGTGAGTGCATGGTGCATCGATTTTCCGGCAAAAGCTCACTTCCCTTCTGTTAATACCCCGCAGATACACGCTGAACACGGATAATACGCTGGTAATTAAGAAACTAATCCTGGATGACGCCGCCATGTTTCAGTGTTTGGCCATCAACGAAGCGGGCGAGAACTCGGCGAGCACTTGGTTGCGCGTAAAAAGTAAGTCAAGAGCTGATTTCCTACTCTGCCTGTGTGACAATGTGCCTAAAGTGTTAGCTAAACGTTGCTCTAATGGAAATTGCTTGTTCAAAGTTTCTGAATTTAATTCGGATATTTAAATGAATATTTAAATGGCCACATTAGCCAGTGTCACACAGTGTATGGTAATGCCTGAAAGCCTGTCTCATCGATTAACTAAAAACTGCTACTTCCAAATGCCATATGGTATATGATTCGCTCTTCAAATCTTTACCCATGAATATCCCTAACCCAAAATTTTTGCATTTTGACCTTTTAACCCACGATTAACAAACGAATTCATAGCAAAAACGGCCAAGATCCGCGTGAAGCGTTTGGCACAGCCGCGAATCCTGAGGGTAAGAGCTTCGCATGCTGGCTTGGGATCGGAAAAGGGATCGGGATCGGGATCGGGATCAGGTTCCTCTGGTAGACGCAAGGAATTTCGCTTTGGTATGGGCATACAGCTAAATGCCACACAAAACAAAAAACAATACATAAACCAAAACCAACACCAAAACACTCACCAATGCACCTAAAACAAAATTTACTTGCACCAATGATAGCATGGCACCTTCACGAAACCCCTAGAAAACCCCTTGAAAACCCCTTAAGTAGCCCACAAAACATGATATCCCCCCCATAGAAGTAGTAGCTCTTTGATTGTTTGCGATTGAATTTGTTGTTTTATTGGCTTGGCTTGCTGTTATTTTACTGCCTTTGGGCCACTAAGCTTAAATATTATCTGCAAGAATTCTTTTGGCTGCCTTGTTTTTCCGTTTCATCTTCCTTTTTTTGTGCCATGGACCATTCTTAATTTGTTTTTCACCCTACGGCTTCCATGGTGCTTCGGTTTGCAGTCTTAGCCAAGCGCCTTTGGCCAACAGGAGCTGTTGGAATTTCCTCTGCTCTATTCTGTGTTGCTTTATCAAATTTGTCAAAAGCAGAAGTATTTTTCATCCAAGTTGATTAGTCCCCGGCAACCTACACCACTTTCTCTTTGCTTGTTTGTTTAAACGCACACTTTTGCGTGATTAATCCAATGAACCCAAAAGTTGTATACGAGTATGCAAAAAAAAAAAAAAAACTCAGCTTATCTCAATTTAACCTAGTTTATCCTTTGCCTTTTTGGGTACCCAACCAAAGGAATTTGTTATTTTCACGTAAATTAGCATTTGCACCTAATAAAATCCATGTATGTAGTTATTTTTCTTACTTTATTTTACTAAAATATACATATCTACCTTCATACCAAGTAAGATTAACCCTCTTCTATTTAAATTATTTACTATGAATTCGTCATTTAGTGGCTGATGGTATCATTGTGTATGAGTTAGGACTTAGCCTTCAAAGGCTCGCAAGTACCGTTAAGTGCTGAGTTAAATGGCTGCCCTAGGGTTGCCACCCACCTAAAAAAAAAAGGGAAATATGACTGACTGTGGGACAATTTTGCATTTTAATGAATTTCATAATGCGAAAATTAAGACAGACACACAAGTCACACTTCTGGGGTCGAAAGAGTCCTGTCACGCTGACATGACATCGTAGGGTTTCCACCCTCCCTCCATTTTGGTCCTCCTTTCATTCAAATTGCCAGTTCGAAGTTCCTGGCTGGCCGGACCTAGAATAATAATTCCTCATTTATGAGGCCAAGCCGAAAAACGAGTGACTCCGCCGCTGACGTTTTAAATATTTGACAGACAGAGTTGAGAGCCGAGTTGAGGCGAGTCGAGTCCTTTTGACGGGGAGAAGGACATATTGTTTTGCGGGTCTAAAACAAGTTTTGTCTCCCTGTCTTCCTTGATGGGACTTTAAGCAAAGTTTGAGTTGAGCTGCCTGCTGCCTGCTGCCTGCTGCCACCCTCATCGCTTAAATTTTTATGGCCAGAGCTGGGATTTTCATGTAAATTTCAAATTTCCATGCATATTTTGCTGAGTTATTCTTATGTTGCACCATCGCCTCCCCCTCATTTCCATCTATTTTTATCTCCTTTCCATGATTTTTTTTCTTTGTTTTGTTCGTTTTGTAGCCCGGCTGCATTGTATTCGAGTTAAACTAGTTAAGAGATTTTGTCGTCAGCGGTTTATTGAAAAACTTTGCAGCTTTTATAGTTGGCTTGGGCAAGTTTCTGATTCTGATATTTTAGCTGGTCCGCCTGCTCGGCTTCCTTTGAAGCCATGACTGAATGGTAACCAATCGTTGCGGCTCATTTAATTTTATTTGCCTAGGCTAATTCGAGTCAATTTCTTTGTCTGCGCCAGCGCATTTTACGATCCTAGGCGGGCCATCATTTAGCCTTCTCCTCTCCAAGTCTCTAATTCTCCCCATCTCAGGGATAAGTTTTATTGCCGGCACAAGTTTCAAGTTTCCATTCCCTGTGTCCATGGCCTCTGTTTATTCTGTTGCCTGTTGTCTGATGTCTGCTGTCTGTAGTCCAAATGCACTAGGTCCTGGCGGCGGCCGGCAGGATGAAGGAGCTGCCTGCTGCTGGTCTAATCGGCTTTGTTTCTGACTGCGAATGTGTGTGCCCTGGCCGCTTTTGCCTGCGAAGTGGTAGTCGCAGTGCTTTTCTCATGCCAGTTGGGTTCTGCCTCGTAATTGGTCTCTGCCGAGATAATCCAGATCAGGATCTGAATCGGCTTATGAACACCTTTGGCCGCTTCCTGTTTGACTCGCCGGCCTCTTGATTCGATTATCCACCGGTTCTGGTCCGACACTTCCTGTTATTTACACTGGACAAAATATAACTAAAGGGTCCTTTGAAATAAAAAGCTAACATAATATTGAAAATTATCTATAAGTACTGCAGTAGTTGGGACCTTTGGAGGTAAGAAACCCTTGACCCGCGTGTTTAAACAGTCTCTGGCGAGCCATTCGTTTTTTCAGTGGCCACAATTAATCCGGCACGCTGCCCTTCTCTGCGCTTCTCAAGTAGCGCACTTGGGACCCGCTTGATTTCATTTCACAATTTCATTCGTCGTTTATTGTTTGTGCGCTCGTTTATCTGCTGGCAAAGCAGCTCTCACTCCCACTCCCAATCCCACTTTCCCATCCGTTGGCTCCTGATTTCGCAGCTCCTTGCTATGGCAACAAGTGTTTTGGCATTTGTTTTGCTGATTCCTCCCCCCTTTGGGCTCCCTAAGCTCCACAGTTTCCCAGCTCCTTGCGCCCAGCACCTTCTCTATTTTCCGCTTGGAAGGCCACTTGAGGGATAATCCTTGTGCCGGAGCACTTTTCACTTAGATAGAGGCGAAGAAGTTGAGTTGGGAAATTATTTTCCAGCCTTTCGCGTTCAAGGGGATTGCGCTGGCTTGTTGTTGTTGTTCTTGGCTAAGACCTGGCTGCATTTTAATTGCAGCCCCCCGCCATCCAGCCATATTCCACCATCCGCCCAGTGTTTGCCAAAGTTTTGCATCTTTCTTTCTGTGTTGGCCTTTTCTCGGCAGCACCGGCAATAGCAACTGCAACAGAAACAGCCAGAACAGCCAGAACAGCCAGGTAGCTGGGCTTCTTCGCTTCATTTTTGTTAAGTCGGCGCAAATCTGAGCTGCCTCTGCCGCTACTGCTACTCGCTGCTCGCTTGCCGTGCACCTGCCACAGTCAGAGTTTTCCACATCGCATTTTCCGGCTGCCTAAGCTTTTCCCGGCTGCTTCAACTCTCGAGTAACATAATTTCGTAATTTCCCGAAACGCAAAAGTGATTTTAATCGCCGTTTCCTGCCATTTCCAAGGTGCCTGCACTTAACACCCACCGCCATTCCCCTTTCCTTTCATTTGTTTGTGTTTGAGTTTCTGTTTGTGTGTGTGTGTTTGCTTGTAAGTTTGTGTGTGTGTGAGTAATTAGGTGACTTCGGGGCGGGGTGGGCGTGGCTGGTTCACTTCCTTTCCTTGCCTGATGGCTCAATGCGATTGCCACTGTGCGAATTTGCTGAAATTCCTTTCATTCGCCCATCGAAAGTTTTAGTTTCGTTTCGTTTTTCGTTTTACATGGCCTCTGCTAGCCAACAGGTGGCGTATTCGTATTCCTCAGAGGTCAGAGGTCAGCACAAGCACAGCTTAGACCCACTGGCCCAGTGATTGATTGCAGCGAACGTAAGAGTTTCGAGTTGATTAGTCTGCGACATGCCATGCCCATAACAAAAGAGGTTTCAAATGCCGCGAGTGAATTGGTAAGGTATCGTGTAGTTTCTTTCTTTTTGCTTTTTAAATGCCCGGCCATAGATCGCCCTCTAAGAACTGCAAATAAATAAAGTCAACAAAGATTGCATAATGTATGAGTTAGCTTGATGTTAACGACGTTTGCTTTAAGGGCCGAGCCAAGAACACACTCTCTGAAATCGCCAACTTCCATAATTGTGCACTGCCGGGGAGTTCTTTTCGATTAGCCGGGAAAGTCTGTATCAAAAATTCAGCGCCTCAAAGAAAGCCGACCCTCGCGAAAGCGGTTCTTTATGCTTATTAAAATAAGAAAAGGGCCGCCCGCTTAAAAGGAAGACTGAAACGAAAAACCGTTTAAGCGGTGCCAAATGGGTGGGTTGGGTGGAAATTTTAGAGAGTCGGGCACAAAGACGGCACGAAGGCACGGAAAACAATTCGCATGCTAATGTCGGACTCTGGAACGGGTGGCCACTTCAATGGCCAAGTAATGGCAATTATTGCCATCGCACGCCATTGCCATTGCCTTCCAGCTTGCCATCGCAGTTTGCCATCCAGTTTGCCACACCACCACCCACTTTTTCCACTTGTCCGGCTGAGTGAGCGTTTTATTATGACTTTAAGTTGATGGCGCGGCCCCTTTAGTGGGTCAACTCGAAATTAATTACAGCCAACCCCCAGTTGATGAGGGAAAAGAAAGGGAGTTCAAGAAAGTCCAAGGGAAAGAGAACCAAATTTTGAATTGGTTTGGTATTTTGTATTTAGAAGCACAAGGCTTCTTATGTGTCACTCTGATATCCTGCTGACTATCGCACTCTTGTGCTGAATTACTTAACAAATATTCATTTAGACATTTTGTGGCTGCGAATGTTACATATACTTAATGCTAATTACGTATACGACATGTTTCCTAAGTCGACCTAAAACAGCTTTCGGCTCGTTCGATGCGATATGCTGGTAAGCCTGGTCAAATTTTATAGCAAAATCTGTACCAAGACAAGTTGATTTCTCCTTGTGTACCTATTACGTATACTTAATAAATATTGCGTATACGCACCGTTTGATTACCAGCATAAATCATTTCCTCTTTCCGTTCATTTAATGCCTAAAACTGGAAATCCTAGGCAAATTTTAAAGCAAAATATGTACAAAGACAAAAGTTGATTTCTCCTTGTGTACCTATTACGTATACTTAATAAATATTGCGTATACGCACCGTTTGATTATCAGCATAAATCATTTGTGCTTTTGTTTGATGCTGTACTGGAAATCCTAGGCAAATTTTAACGCAAAATGAGTACCAAGACATAAGTTGATTTCTCCTTGTGTACCTATTACGTATACTTAATAAACATTGCGTATACGCACCGTGTGATTAACACCATAAGTCATTTGCTCTTTTGTTCGATGCTGTGCTGGAAATCCTAGGCAAATTTTAAAGCAAAATCTGTACCAAGACAAAAGTTGATTTCTCTTTGTGTACCTATTACGTATACTTAATAAACATTGCGTATACGCACCGTTTGATTATCAGCATAAATCATTTGCGCGCTTGACTTCGATTTAGTTTCAATTTATGCTAAGCACACTGCCCAGATGCAAGTGTTCTCCCGTTGACTCACGCCGGCGATTCAACCTGCCACAAATTGTTTCTCCTTCTTGGGAGGTCCTTTCCTTGCCTTAACTTTCCGTGTCTTTAATATGCGCCTTGCGTGAGCCATAAAAATGGGGCCGAAGGACCTCAAAAAACCGAGAAAGAGAGAGGGAGGCCTGCTTTCTGCTTACTGACCACCTGGGCAGCTTAAACACACTTAACACGTTGCCCGGCCAAAGGATTTATCCGGGTTGTATTTCGACCTTAAATTCGCCATAAAAAAATGTAACCCGAAGTGATGCAATATCCCGCAAAGCTTAATGTCCTTAAAGTGCGTATCGCACGAAAGTAACTTGTGGCCCTCGAGAAGCCGCTTAATCATATTTAACCCGACTTTAAGATGGCCTGCCTGCATTTCTTTTTTTTTTTTTTTGCCCATTTGCCACGCCCCGGATTTCCCCCATTTCTCTTTGCGTATTTTTGTTTTCACTGCGATACGATACTATGATAATACCAAGCAAGTTGATGTCTTTATGATTTCACCGAACGAACAACTGCAGCGGCAGCAGCAGCAGCGAGCACTTAATATCTTAATGTTGCAAGGAGCCCGGGTGCTTTTATTGTAATTTTATGCACTTATTTGCATAAGCGTAGTTAACGGGGAATGCTCCATCATGCGAAATTATTACGAATATTATTACATTTGCTGCGAGCAGCAAAAACAGTTGAAAGCAGCCTCAGTTTCTCTGGCTTTGAGCGCGTGGCATTTGCCCATAACAATAAAAACAGGCAAGGAACAGCGGGAACAGGCAGCCGCCATCGCCTCCATCGTGCCACTCAAAATCCAATAAATAATTTACATTAAACAGCGGCAAGTGAAAGGGCGAGAAATGGAGCCAAATGGTCCGAAGACCAAAGGATGAGGAGGAGTTGGATGGGGATGGGGAATCGACCTGGATCCACCTGATGCGGCCAAGGAGGCAGCATGATTAATTGGCCAGCCTTTAATTTGGTGTAATCATAATTGCAAAAGTCAGCACGCAATGAAGGGCAGAAAGTGAAAGGTGGATTGAGTCAATGAAGCAGTTAATCATTGCAAAAGAATCAATTACAATCAGTTGTTGCTTAATGCGGGCTTCAACTCACTTGTGAACCCAATGAGAAGGATACAACTTAATGGACTCGATGATCGACTAATAGAATCAGGGAGCAATGATGAAATGGAAAATGCTTTCAAACAATATAACTTTGAAAAAAAAAAAGTGGGAAACTGCACGTTGTACTTAATTACAGTGAATAAATAAGTAATAATAAGACAAAATAAACATTTGAAAAAGGTAGTTTAATAAGCCCCACAATAAACAAAAAATGTTGCATCCTGAGCTCTAAAAAAGGAGCATTTGCTTTGAAAAAAAAATCACCTGCACAATTACTAGACAAAAAATAGCGTTAAATATTTGATATTAACACCCAAATGGGTTTCGTCACGCATTCATCATGTTTTTGCGCCTTGAATTATTTATTGGTATAGTTCGTAGGCTTACATATGTAAATATCCCTTATTGTTTATTCATCAATAAGTTTTCAGTAGATTTATTTCAATTAATTTTTGTTTCAGCCTCGCAGATCTTCCTTAGAAGCTGAATAAAAAAAACGCCACACTTACTACTTACACCTCTTAATCAACCACTAATTGCGTTAATCTAAATCTAGTCTAAAATCCACCTTAATTTACTTGAAAGTTAATTGTGTTGTAATTGTAATTAATTGAATTTAATTTCTGCAGCATCGGCCCCAATTATGGAGCTGCCGCCCCAGAATGTGACCGCCTTGGATGGCAAGGATGCGACTATTTCCTGCCGGGCAGTGGGATCCCCCAATCCGAATATAACCTGGATATACAATGGTGAGTTTAGCGGGGACTTTTGATAGATCGTTAGATCGTTAGAGCATGGCCAGAGTCCCACTAATGATGATGATTACGATGCTAATACCATGTCGTTTTTCTTTGTTTTTATTTCTGTTTGCCCGCTAACCAACCAACTCTCGTAATGCTAACAAACCTACTTGCTGCCGGAACCCGTAATCGTAACCGTATCCGCATCCGTATCTGCATCCGCATCCGTATCCGTATTCGTATCCGGCAATAACCCACCGAACTGCCGAAACACTGCCTCTCCAGAGACCCAACTGGTGGACATATCCAGCCGGGTGCAGATACTCGAGTCGGGCGACCTGCTCATCTCGAACATCCGATCCGTGGACGCGGGTCTGTACATCTGCATAAGGGCCAACGAGGCGGGCAGCGTCAAGGGCGAGGCCTATTTGAGTGTCCTGGGTGAGTTGTGTTCAGCTGTGTTGTGTGTTTGCCTTGTGTTTCCCCTGTGTAACCCTTTAACCCTTTAAACACCGCCCCCCCCAAAGGAGCCCCCGAAAATGTAATTGCCTGCCGCCCAGCCTGCTAGTTTGCCAGTCTGCTAGTCTGCCAGTTTGCCAGTTTCAAGTGCGTCTGTCTAGTCGGACGCCTTTGAGTGCTGCCGTTTTAGTTAGTTGGGCTTTCGAGGGCTTCATGTTTTATGTAGCAGCCCGGCACTTTTTAGACTGCAACCACGGAACTAATGCAGGCATTTGAGGCATTTAAGTCAGTCAGGAGAGCATGCTGAATTTGCACTTTGCCTTCGCATTAGTTTGCTTAGTTTAGCTAATTAAATAAGTGATTTAAGCTTGATTGATTGTGAACTATAAATAATAACTTTCACTGACTTTGTTTAATGGAATTAAATTCCATGCAATGTTTTTTTTTATTGAACAACTGACTCGGGCAGACTCATTTGGTGTCCCCCATCTCGATTCCCGATCAATTGTTCAATGGCGGAGCTTTGATGTTGGCACATCCTGCGACTCCTGCTGGAAAGCTGAAAAGCTGTCATCCGCCCAGCGAAGCTCTTGTGTAACCACAAAAGAGATTCAAATTGAGTTTGCTTACCAAAAATGTTCTCCATTAAACAGACAGTTCGGTGTGCACCTGTATGAGCTCCGCTCACTCTATATATCTATATACCATATTATATGTATGTATATATGCTGCTCTATTCCCATATGATTGCCAATGACATTTGGGTAAACACACACAAAGAAATATCAATTCCAAATGGTCATGTTGTTGTCTATGGAAATAACAAATATATTTGATTTAAGTTTCTGGTTTTATGACCGGAAAAGGACTCTTTGAATGACGTGTTTTTTTTTTCATTCATTCATTATTTTGTTACGCAAGCGGGACTGCAATGTTTTTTATCGTGTAGATGCTGCCGTATATGTAACATAGGTTGCCCTAACATCGCATCAAATCAACTAAAATGCATGGTCCAATAATAATAATGTATGTCATCAAAGCCGCAGCAGCCACAGCAACAACAACGGCAATAGCAACAACAACAACAACAACAAGGCATAATAATAGTGCCAACCAACAACCAAAGAAGTGACAACGACAACAACGTTAACATCCACATCCACATCCATGGGTTGCCATTTGAAGTGCTCCCTCCTGGGCAGCGTCAATTGCTTTTCGGATGATACGTATACGCAAAATATTCAGCCATCCCATCCACATTTTCATACACTAGTCTCTGTGCTAAATGGGCATATGGCTTTGACTTTTTGCGAGAGCGCCAACAAATAGAAAATAGAAAAGAGGAAAACCAGAAAATCCGAATCCGAATGCTTCAAATGCTTCAAATGATTTTTTTCAAGGGCTTTTGTTGCCCGCCGCTGCTGTCCATTGTGTTGTTTGTGTAATTAAAGTTGATTTGCACATGCACTATTTTTGGCCCTTAGCACACGAAAGTGTTCTGTGTATTTTGTGTAAGTGTGAGTGTGAGTGTGCATGTGTAAGTGTGTGTGTGTTTGACACGTGTTTGTGTATGTGTGTATGGCTCCTAAAAGGCAGCATCAATGTGCGGCTAATTGGCAAAACGCCGGAATGCGGCCCGTGGACTCCGGACTTTGGCCACCGCGCTGATGGCAGTTTTCCATCACCATCAGCATCACCCCTTTAAGCCAACAAAACCGCCTGCTGGCTTTATTTGTGTGCTGCATAAAACACCGGGCAAAAGTCCGACAAAGAATTTAAAAAAAAATATATATATGAGAGGAAAGGAGTCGTTTTTAGGCGGCTTACGATAATTAGAATACTCTTATTGCAAAAGCAATTGCCACTAGATTTGTTTTCAATAAAATAAAACCTTATAAATAGGTGTTTCGAGAAATACATTTGCATCTTAGTTATTGAAGCAAGTTTAAAATATTTTTAAATACTATTTAATAGTTATTCTAGGAACACCTCTGAACAGGGTATTACATTTATATAGGGTATTGCATTCACTTGTGCACCTTTCGCTCCTCCAGTCATTCAGTGCAGTTCATCTCGTTCCATATGGGGAACAACTTGGCTTATGGCAAACAGACCGACAGCAACAAGAACAAGAACAACTGCGACTACGACTACAACAACAACTACAACTACAACTACAACTACAACTACAACTACAACAACAACATACGAGTATAGCAGCACGTATGGAGTTCCAGTTCCACCAACAATGTCTGGGCCACGGGGCGCGTTGAACTTTTGATGCATGCGGGCCACCAAGTGACTGAAAAGGGCTAAAAAAAAAAAAAAAACCCAAAAAAAAAAAAAAAGAAATGCCAAGCGAGAGCAAAGAAAAAAGGAAGAAAGGGCATAAAATAAATAAAATCAAAAGAGAAAGCCGTGCATAAAGGGAGCAAACGGAGGGGAACCGCCTGTTTGGTGCTTAAGGACTTTGAAATACCCTTGAATGTGAATCAGTTGGGCGGGTTAAATAGGCACTAAATACAAAGCTTCGCAATATAAACAATATGAAGAAAATCCATTGAAAGTGTAGCTTATAGTATAGAAAGCTAGAATACAATTCACCTATAACCTCCAATTCAAAACTATTTTGATTGGAACTTAATGAACGCAATGTTATCCTGATAATTATCACATCTTTCTGACTGCATCACTACTGTGCAATTAGCAGAGGGACTTTCCACATGGCACTCGAATGCAGGGTGCTCGCCATGCGGGCTTCGTGTGTCAGTTGCGGGGCCTTAAAACTTCATTTTGGCCACCTTTGCGGCTCCGGGGATTTGTTCGGCGTTATAGGGATAAGCCAGAGGGGGGGGCGGCAGTTAAAAGACGCTGCCCAGATGGGGAGTGAGGGTATAGGGAAGCAGGGAAGCAGGTGTGGGAATGGGAAAGTGTCCAATGGGCGGGCTATAAAAGTGGGCGGGTCGGCCGCGACTTGTCATTCGCCATACACAACTTGCGGTCGTTTAATCTGCATTGCCGTGTTGTTAATGTGCTCCCCAGCCAACCCAGCCAACCCCCCATTAATATATTTGTATACTTTCTGACCACATCTTTCCTCCTTTTACCTTCTGTGCACTCCTTTTACCCGCAGTGCGGACACAAATCATCCAGCCGCCGGTGGACACGACGGTGCTGCTGGGCCTGACGGCCACGCTGCAGTGCAAGGTGTCGAGCGACCCGAGCGTCCCGTACAACATCGACTGGTATCGCGAGGGCCAGACGGCCACGCCCATCAGCAACTCGCAGCGAATCGGCGTCCAGGCGGACGGGCAGCTGGAGATCCAGGCGGTGCGGGCCAGCGACGTGGGCAGCTACGCCTGTGTGGTCACCTCGCCCGGTGGCAATGAGACGCGGGCGGCCCGCCTGAGCGTCATCGAGCTGCCCTTCCCGCCCAGCAACGTGAAGGTGGAGCGGCTGGCGGAGCCGCAGCAGCGCAGCATCAACGTTTCGTGGACGCCGGGATTCGATGGCAACAGTCCAATATCCAAATTTATTATCCAGCGACGTGAGGTCTCCGAATTGGGTAAGTTTCGTTTTTATCTTTGTACGTACGTACGTATTTATTATTCGGTAGCGTAGAGTTTTGTGGGTTTACGGTGGTTTTGGTTAGCATTGGACTTATGATTTATGGAAAACTGGGGGGAAAAACGGGGAGAGAACTGTGGTGGTGAAAAGCGCACCCGGTTGCCATTTATAAGCAGAAATGTTCGAAGAGAAGAAGTGGTACACGAAATACATTCATTTATACACACTACGCGGGACTTATTGTTCTTCGATTGTCACTTAAGATCTGCAATACAGTACATATAGTAACTATAATAACTAACTGCAAAAGAGAAATGAAATTACAGGAACCACCAACCACGAACCACCTTAAGTTATAAACCCATTGCAAGCCACACAAGGGAAACAACATTTTTGATGCGTTTCTTTCTGTTCTCTCTTTTTCTTCCATTTGAATTTACTTTGAATCGAACATCACCACAAACTGGAACGAACTGAAACACTACAAACTGTAATTTAAATATTTATTGAATATGTATATTGTATTTATTGATGATAACTTTTTGTGTACAAATTCGTTGTCTAATTTTCGATTGTAATTTGTTGTTTTGCACTTTGATTTCATCGCGATCACATCAACTTCAACCACAACCACAACATCACTTCACTTCACGGAACACGCTGTAATCTACACACACTGTTCACCAAATATTAATAATGAACCTCAATCCAATTACCAAATCACCAATTACCAATTACCAATCACCATAACACCAATCACCAATCACCATAACACCAATCACCATAACACCAATCACAACTGAATCTCTGTCCCCACTCACCACTTACCTTCGTGATCCCCGTCCGCCTGCTGTACTTCCAAACGCATTAACATCACAGAAAAATTCGTAGGTCCAGTTCCAGACCCTCTGCTCAACTGGATAACCGAACTGAGCAACGTCTCGGCGGACCAGCGGTGGATCCTGCTGGAGAACCTCAAGGCGGCCACTGTCTACCAGTTCAGGGTTAGTGCGGTGAACCGCGTCGGCGAGGGTTCGCCATCGGAGCCCAGCAACGTGGTCGAGTTGCCCCAAGAAGGTGAGTGCCACACCAGAGAATCCCGCCAGTGAATCCCGCTCCCCGGATTTGTATCCTTGTATCATTTGTGTGCATCTCGTAATGTATTGTATCTTATGTCGTATTTCGTCTGTGTGATGTGTTTTGCTCTCCCTGAGTTGCTTAATTTGCTTCATTTGATTTGTGAATATTTAAACGAATGCTCTTGTACCTAGCAAGTATTGCTTTTATTCGGAAATTACTTGAATTATCCTTTGAACAAAGGATAATTAGTGAATATTTTAACGAATGCTCTTGTACCTAGCAAGTATTGTTTTTATTCGGAAATTAATTTTATTTCCCTTTGAAGAAACTATAAGTTTGTTTTAGTACAAACTTTATTTTTTTTTTATGTTTCGAAATATTGAAAACCTTATAAAATATATAGCCCGTATATAGCCCTGTATAGTGTAAAGAACTAATGCTGAATACCCTGTATATGTATTATACTTTTAACTGCTATCGTTGTCACCACGAAAATGAAATTTGAAAATCGCCGTTGGTCGCCCGCCCGCGCGTAGAGTTTCCGCTTCACCGAGGTATATACATATATAGCCCACTTAAGACCACGCCCCCTTACAGCCATACACCCTCACACAAATCACACACACAGAAAACCCAAATTGTAATCAAGAAAAAAAAAAAAAGAAAAAGAAAACAAACCCCAGAGAGAAGTACAGACTCTCGATTGAGTGGACCAACTATGTAACTACTCGACTTCCCAAGGACTTTCCACTGATATTGCCACTCTGATTCCCCATTTAGCTCCCTCGGGTCCGCCGGTGGGATTCGTGGGGTCCGCCCGCTCCATGTCGGAGATCATCACGCAGTGGCAGCCGCCACTGGAGGAGCACCGCAACGGTCAGATCCTCGGCTACATCCTGCGCTACCGCCTCTTCGGGTACAACAACGTGCCGTGGTCCTACCAGAACATCACCAACGAGGCGCAGCGCAACTTCCTCATCCAGGAGCTGATCACGTGGAAGGACTACATCGTCCAGATCGCCGCCTACAACAACATGGGCGTGGGCGTCTACACCGAGGGCTCCAAGATCAAGACCAAGGAGGGCGTGCCCGAGGCTCCGCCCACGAACGTCCAGGTGGAGGCGATCAACTCGACGGCGGCGCGTTGCCGCTGGACGCCGCCGAATCCGCAGCAGATCAATGGGATCAACCAGGGCTACAAGATCCAGGCGTGGCAGCGCCGCCTCATCGACAACGAGTGGAAGGACATGGAGCGGCGCATGATGACGGTGCCCCCGAGCCTCATCGATCCGCTCGCCGAGCAGACGGCCATTCTGGGGGGTTTGGAGAAGTTCGCCGAGTACAACATTAGCGTGCTCTGCTTCACGGATCCCGGCGACGGGGTGGCCAGCATTCAGGTGCCCGTGATGACCTTGGACGATGTTCCCGACGAGGTGACCGCCTTGCACTTTGACGACGTGTCCGATCGCTCGGTGAAGGTCTTGTGGGCGCCGCCCCGCTTCACCAACGGCATCCTCACCGGCTACACGGTGCGCTACCAAGTCAAAGATCGTCCGGATACCCTCAAATCCTTCAACCTGACTGCCGATGACACGGAGCTGACTGTCAATCAGCTGCAGGCCACCACGCACTATTGGTTCGAGGTGTTCGCCTGGACGCGCGTGGGCAGCGGAGCTCCCAAGACGGCCACTATTCAGTCGGGTGTGGAGCCCGTCCTGCCACACGCACCCACCAGTTTGGCCTTGTCCAACATCGAGGCCTTCTCGGTGGTGCTGCAGTTCACGCCGGGCTTCGACGGCAACTCGAGCATCACGCGCTGGAAGGTCGAAGGTCAGACGGCGCGCAACATGACCTGGTTCACCATCTGCGAGATCAGCGATCCCGATGCGGAAACCCTGACCGTCACCGGGCTGGTGCCCTTCACCCAGTACCGCTTGCGGTTGAGTGCCAGCAACGTGGTGGGCAGCTCGCGGCCCTCGGAGGCCACCAAGGACTTCCAGACGATCCAGGCGCGGCCGAAGCATCCGCCCTTCAATGTGACGGTGCGTGCGATGAGCGCCCAGCAGCTGCGGGTGCGATGGATTCCGCTGCAGCAGACGGAGTGGTACGGCAATCCGCGGGGATACAACATCTCCTACAGGCAGCTGGTGAAGAGCGGCTCACCGGCGACGATGCTCAAGCACGTGCCCCGCTCGGTGGTGATCGAGGACCACACGGCCAACTCGCATGTGCTCGACGGACTGGAGGAGTGGACGCTCTACGAGGTGATCATGACCGCCTGCAACGACGTCGGCTGCTCCAAGGAGAGCGGAACGGCGGTGGAGCGGACACGGGAGGCGGTCCCCAGCTACGGGCCGCTGGACGTCCAGGCAAATGCCACCTCCTCCACCACGGTGGTGGTGCGGTGGGGCGAGGTGCCGCCGCAGCACAGAAATGGACAGATCGACGGCTACAAGGTGTACTATGCGGCCGCCGACAGGGCGGGACAGCCGGTGCTGCACAAGACGATACCGAACAACGCCACCTTCACCACGACGCTCACGGAGCTGAAGAAGTTCGTCGTCTACCACGTCCAGGTGCTCGCCTACACGCGCCTCGGCAACGGCGCCCTCAGCACCCCGCCCATCCGCGTCCAGACCTTCGAGGATACCCCGGGTGTTCCGTCGAATGTGAGCTTCCCGGATGTCACGCTCACCATGGCCCGGATCATCTGGGACGTGCCGATGGATCCCAATGGGGAGATCCTCGCCTACCAGGTCACCTATGCTCTGAATGGCAGCGCCACCCTGAACTACAGTCGGGAGTTCCCGCCCTCGGATCGGACCTATCGAGCCACCGGGTTGCTGCCGGAGAAGTACTACAGCTTCAGCTGCACCGCGCAGACGCGACTGGGATGGGGCAAGATAGCCACCGCTCTGGTGTACACCACCAACAACAGGGAGCGGCCGCAGGCGCCGTCGGTGCCGCAGATATCGCGCAGCCAGATCCAGGCGCACCAGATCACCTTCAGCTGGACTCCGGGGCGGGATGGCTTCGCCCCGCTGCGCTACTACACGGTGGAGATGCGCGAGAACGACGGCCGTTGGCAGCCGCTGCCGGAGCGCGTCGATCCCCTCCTGAGCTCCTACACGGCACTGGGACTCCGGCCCTACATGACCTACCAGTTCCGCATCCAGGCCACCAATGATTTGGGTCCGTCGGCCTTCAGCCGCGAGAGCGTTGTGGTAAGGACCTTGCCCGCTGCTCCGGCGGCTGGAGTGGGCGGGCTGAAGGTGGTGCCGATCACCACCACCTCGGTGCGGGTGCAGTGGAGCGCGCTGGAGACGGGCATGTGGAACGGGGACGCGGCCACCGGTGGGTATAGGATCCTCTACCAGCAGCTCTCCGACTTTCCCACCGCCTTGCAGTCCACGCCGAAGACCGATGTGCACGGGATTAACGAGAACAGTGTGGTGCTGTCCGATCTCCAGCAGGATCGCAACTACGAGATCGTGGTGCTGCCCTTCAATTCGCAGGGACCCGGACCGGCCACGCCCCCAGCGGCGGTGTATGTGGGCGAGGCGGTGCCGACGGGAGAGCCGCGAGCGGTGGACGCTGCTCCGATCTCGAGCACCGAGGTGCGACTGCTGTGGAAGCCGCCGAAGCAGAGCAGCCAGAACGGGGACATCCTGGGCTACAAGATCTACTACCTGGTCACCTATTCGCCGCAGGCCCTCGAGCCGGACCGCAAGTGGGAGGAGGAGATCGAGGTGGTCTCCGCCACGGCCACCTCGCACAGCCTCGTCTTCCTGGACAAGTTCACCGAGTACCGCATCCAGTTGCTGGCCTTCAATCCCGCCGGAGATGGTCCTCGATCGGCACCCATCACCGTGAAGACGCTGCCCGGAGTGCCGAGTGCCCCGCTCAACCTGCGCTTCTCGGACATCACCATGCAGAGCCTGGAGGTGTCGTGGAACCCGCCCAAGTTCCTCAACGGCGAGATCCTGGGCTACCTGGTGACCTACGAGACTACCGAGGAGAACGAGAGTGAGTCTTAGTTTCTTTACCAACTGATTTCTTTAATCATTTACATTTACTCCCCACAGAGTTCAGCAAGCAGGTGAAGCAGAAGGTGTCCAACACGACGCTGCGGGTGCAGAACCTCGAGGAGGAGGTCACCTACACGTTCACCGTGCGCGCCCAGACCTCCGTGGACTACGGGCCCGGGGTGAGCGAGAACGTGACGACGGGACCCCAGGACGGCTCCCCGGTGGCGCCGCGCGATCTCATCCTGACCAAGACGCTATCCAGCGTCGAGATGCACTGGATCAACGGGCCCTCGGGCCGGGGACCCATCCTGGGCTACCTCATCGAGGCCAAGAAGCGGGGTGAGTGTTTCCACTCGTACGAGTAAAGTAGTTGCCTAACTGGTTTTGGTCTTGCATTTACCACTAACCACTTAACTTTAATATCGTACCACTTGATCTCTCCTAATCTCCCTGCCTCCCTGTACTTTTCGGATCTCTACTCTTTGGTGACTTGGTTCTAATCTGATCTAAACAAACTCTTTTCAATCACAACAAATGCACTCTTCGATTTGCTTGCGTAGAAAAAGGAGAGCCGTCATTTGTTTGTAAGTATTGCCGACCCGTAGAATCTAGAATGTAAGCTAGCCTAGATCTGAGATTAAATCGATTTCATTGCCTTTCGTTTGATTTTTTAATCCCTTTAACTTGGAATTAATTAATAAGTTGTTTTTCTATTTCTATAATTTGCATTTATAAATACCTTATTTAACTTAATAGAATGTAAGCTATCCTAGCTCTAAGAAACCTATTTCATTGCCTTTCATTTGCTTCCTTAAATCCCTTAAAATTGGAATTAACCATTTAGTTTCCCTACTTCTATAATTTGAATTCATAAATGCCACTTTTAACTTACAATTGGTTTAAAGTTGTTCGCTATTCCTTAAGCAATTAACTTAATTAACTCAATCGTTCATCTCAGACGACTCCCGCTGGACGAAGATCGAGCAGAGCAGGAAGGGCATGATGCAGGACTTCACGGTCAGCTACCACATCCTGATGCCCTCGACGGCGTACACGTTCCGTGTGATCGCGTACAATCGCTACGGCATCTCGTTCCCCGTCTACTCGAAGGACTCCATCCTGACGCCCTCGAAGCTGCATTTGGAGTACGGCTACCTGCAGCACAAGCCCTTCTACCGGCAGACCTGGTTCATGGTCTCGCTGGCGGCCACCTCGATCGTGATCATCGTGATGGTGATCGCGGTTCTCTGCGTGAAGAGCAAGAGCTACAAGTACAAACGTAAGTTGATTGTCAATTTAAACTGAAAGTGGAGAGGAGTCTGAACCTTTGAACTTACAGAGGAGGCACAGAAGACGCTGGAGGAGTCGATGGCCATGTCGATTGACGAGCGGCAGGAGCTGGCTTTGGAGCTCTACCGATCGCGTCACGGCGTGGGCACCGGCACTCTGAATAGCGTGGGCACCTTGCGCAGCGGCACCCTGGGCACCTTGGGCAGGAAGTCGACCAACCGACCGCCGCCGGGCGTCCATCTCGGAAAGAGCCCGCCACGCCCCTCGCCCGCCTCCGTGGCATACCACAGCGACGAGGAGAGCCTGAAGTGCTACGACGAGAACCCCGACGACAGCAGCGTGACCGAGAAGCCCTCGGAGGTGAGCAGTTCGGAGGCGTCGCAGGTGAGTTGAGGGAAACACAGTGACCAAGTAAAATATGCAAGCACTTGACGCTCCCCTAAATAATTAGAAATTAAATTAAATAAATTAGTACTAACCTTAGTGCGAAACCTACTAACCATAATCATCACGAAACTGTAATGCAATGCAAATGTTGAAAGCTTGATTCGTTGTAAGCAACCATATTTTACTGAGGACCGTTTGCCTGCTTGAAGAATACTTTGCTCAAGACATGTGGACTAGATCGTCTTTCCCTCATGCTTTTCAGTTTGTATAACGTCTTTGGTTTCCAAGAAGAATAAAGCCGGAAAGTCGGTCCACTAATTTGCAGTCCCCCACTAATTCGATATTTCTGTTCTCCCAATTTGCAGCACTCGGAAAGCGAGAACGAGAGCGTGAGGAGCGATCCGCACTCCTTTGTCAATCACTATGCCAACGTGAACGACTCGCTGCGGCAGTCGTGGAAGAAGACCAAGCCGGTGCGGAACTACTCCAGCTACACGGACTCGGAGCCGGAGGGCAGTGCCGTGATGAGCTTGAACGGCGGCCAGATCATCGTTAACAACATGGCCAGGTCGAGGGCGCCGCTGCCCGGCTTCTCCTCGTTTGTCTGACAATCAACCGAGTTCTAAGATCTAAGCATCAGTAGCAACGGCACCGTCATCCGGGAGACCTTCGTCTAGGCGGGGATCAAGGATCACGGATCAGGGATCACTAATCACGAAGCAGGAGCGACCTGAGAACGAGGTTATCCGGATTCGGGAGACGGAGCTGGGGGTCTGGCTGGGGGCGAAAAACTAAACCGAGGAGAAGGAGGAGGATCCACACCAGGCTCTGCTCCTCGCCTCAGCCCCTCCAGCTCTCCGACGATGCGCTGCTACAGGGATACAAAGAAAACAGAAAACAGAAAATAGAAATCGGAAAACAGAAGCAAACTTACTAAGCAACAGACATTCGGTTAGGTTATCCTTAATGCATTTAGTTGTAGTTTCTAGTTACGAGAGATCTGAGATTTGCGAGCATTTCGGGGCTCTCCGCACTGCCAAGTGGATCCGTCGCCGAGTGGCAATCCAAAGAAGATGTAGCTGTAGGTTCCATGAACGATTCTTGGATTGGAAACTCGAGCACAAATCCGCGAGGCAGAGTGGAAAGCCCCTCGGTTTTAGCCTGTGTTTCCCCACTGTGTGTGTATTTTCCCAGCACGACTCTGCTCCTATTTTTTAGTATTTATTTGTAATTGTGTGCGTGTGTGTGTGTTCAGTGTGAGTGCGGCGCCGCCCGCCACGCCCCCAAACCATGGCATTTATCTAAAAGGGGCGCCGGATCGGATGCGAGTCCTGTGATAAACCGATTCGATTCCGATTCGCCCGCTAGGAGTTCACAAATGATTTCCAAGTGTGTTCAGCGCGTGGCAGGCAGCCTCAACCTTCGAGTGACTGTGAGTGTGAGTGATTTGAGCGTTAGTCTGGCGCAATCTCATATATTTAGAGCGGCAGCGAGTTGTGTTTTATGTTAGATTTTTTTTGTGTGTGCAACTAAGACTAGGAAATCGAAAGTTTGAAGGCGAGGACGAAGGACCCCGATGCAATCGGTGGAAAACCAAGAGAGAAGGTTCAAGAGAAGCGCAAAACAAAGGAAAATATGCGAACGATAAAACAAAAATCATATCTTATAAGCGAAGGAACATAAATGTATTTGTTTTTTTTTTTTGGGACAGGCAACCAGAGGAAGGCTATAGCTATTTGGAATGAGCAGAGTATCTGAGGACGAAGGCTTAGGTTACGTATATTCATCAGATATATTGATAGGCCATATTAATGCAATTTCTTTACCACATAAGCCCACAAACGAATCGCAACTGTAACACACAAAGCAAAAAAACAAACGAGAAACAAACGAGCAAACATGCAACATGCAGACCTGCCAGAACACACAAAAACAAAAAGGGGATTCAAAGATACTTTTTGGAGCGCATGCGCAGCAGACTTAGCACTAAGTACGATCAGCACGATCTTGGTAGACGTAAGATGGACATTTTTTTTTTTTAGATGGGCCCAGTTCCTCCAGTTGCGGTGGAACTACGCCCTGGTACTCGTAGATCGTAACTCTTCGATTGTTCGACCCCCGACGCGACGCTTAGATGTAATCTTACTCGTACTCGTAATTGTATTTGAGCGCAGTTTATATTTATGACTATATTTATATATCGATGTATACATGTATATCTAAAAACTTAAACGACTGATTATATATTTTCCCCGATTAGTTGTATACTTAACTCCTTTTTTGTACTACCTTACCTTACTACCTACGCATTAACTACGTTTAGACCACTTTGACGCCCGCGAAACGCAAATCGGAGTGGAAAGCCCTCGAAGTTTTCCGCCGAGCGCAAGCTACTTTCAACTGCAAAGACTCGAAGCACAAGTTCGTCTAGTTAAGTTAATGTATTTGTAATTGTTGAATTGATGATTGAATGATTGGATGAGGGCTTGTCGTCCTCCGCGGTTCGAGATTAAGTGGTTTGGTGCGGAGGAGCGGCTTTCGGCGGACGAAGAAGACGATGGCGGAGCTCAAGGATCTTGGCTCGGGGCTAGTTGAAATCCGTGCAGCAAGCGCAAAGTATTAGAATATTGATAAATACAATTTAAATGTGTAAATGTAATTGATGGAGCATACGATTATGAATAAATCAAATAAAACAACATGAATTCAATGTGAACATTTGTCTTTCAACAATTACTTATTACTCATTTAGAAATCGAATTTTTGAAAATAATAAAAGCCAACTAATGAAAATTTACTGTATTTACAACTATTTACAGTTATTTACAACTATTTACAATGTTAATTTATAATTCGCGCAGACAGATCGCTGGGGTGGAATCTTTTTAGGCGTCTGAGGGTTTGCGGGTCGGCCAGCCTGCCTGCCAGTGGATTTGGGTGGCTCGTTAGCCTATCCGAGTAACGCCTGCTGTGTTGGTTTAGGAGGTCGCCCACAGGAACAAGGCGTAGGTCGTTTTGGATGGCCTGGTTTGTACCAGACATACCAGGGAAGCCCGGATGCCCGGATGCCCGTCGGGCAGCACGTGCCTGTACTGCCCTCAGCCTGTTTAGCTGGTGCTTGGATGCGGTGCCCCATACTTCGATTGCCTACGTCCATGTTGGCGTAAGGATTGCTTTGATGAGCAGAACTTTCGTCGTGAGCTGGAGGCTTTTGGAGCTCAGCAGCCAATCGAGCTTTTGGAGTTTGCGAACGCATTTGGCTTTGATCGCCGTGATGTGGGTGTTCCATATGAGCCAAAAAACCCCTCAAAATATAGTGTTTTCTACCGGAATTGTCAACCGATCTTTCCCAAATCAGTTTAAATGAACTAACTAAAGGATCAATTAACTATAACAATTAAATTGCATTCGGTGCCATGAATAGTTGGGCTTTTCTAGTTTCCAGAACTATACTTTGTTTGGCTGTAAGTTGTTTCTTGCCCAAATAACAGACAAATTACCAATAGGAAAAGTTTTTTTTTTTTGCTCAAAACTACAAAAAATGGCTTCTAAAAAAACCTCGTTTTTTTGCAATATCTGAGAAAGTACTCTCCCAAATATGGAATGGCATACTTCGTTGAATTCGTGATAAAATTCTGAATCCGTTGGTATAAACACCCAAAAAAGTTGAAATTTTGCCATTTTTCGCAAAAAATGACGATGTTACCCCTTATGAAAATTGCGAAAATTGGCCAAAAATCATTTTTTTTGAATCGTCCAAAAAGTGATTGGGCTCGTTAACTGTGGTCATAAGGTGCTCAAAACAGTGTTTGGTTCCGCTGTAAGTCACTTTTTGGCCTTATTACAACCAAAAAACCCCCAAAATATAGTGTTTTCTACCGGAATTGTCAACTGATCTTTCCCAAATCAGTTTTTATGAACTAACTAAAGGATCAGTTAAATAACAATTAATTTTGCATTTGGTGGCATGAATAGTAGGGCTTTTCTACTTTCCAAAACTATATTTTGTTTGGCTGTAAGTTGTTTCTTGCCCAAATAACAGACAAATTACCAATGGAAAAAGTTTTTTTTTGTCCAAAACTACAAAAAAATGGCTTTAAAAAACCCAGTTTTTTTTGGAATATCTCCGGAATTTTTCTTCCAAATGTGGAATGGCATACTTCGTTGAATTCGTGATAAAATTCTGAATCCGATGGTATAAACACCCAAAAAAGTTGAAATTTTGCCATTTTTCGCAAAAAATGACGATGTTACCCCTTATGAAAATTGCGAAAATTCGCCAAAAATCATTTTTTTTGAATCGTCCAAAAAGTGATTGGGCTCGTTAACTGTGGTCATAAGGTGCTCAAAACAGTGTTTGGTTCCGCTGTAAGTCACTTTTTGGCCTTATTACAACCAAAAAACCACTCAAAATATAGTGTTTTCTACCAAAATTGTCAACTAACCTTCTCCAAATTAATTTTTATCAACTAACTAAAGGATCAGTTAATTTTGAATTCGGTGGCATGAATTGCTGGGCTTTTCTAGTTTCCAAAACTATACTTTGTTTGGCTGTAAGTTGTTTCTTGCCCAAGTAACAGACAAATTACCAATGGGAAAAGTTTTTTTTTTTTGCCCAAAACTACAAAAAATGGCTTTAAAAAAAACAGTTTTTTTGGAATATCTGAGAAAGTACTCTTCCAAATGTGGAATGGCATACTTCATTGAATTCGTGATAAAATTCTGAATCCGATGGTATAAACACCCAAAAAAGTTGAAATTTTGCCATTTTTCGCAAAAAATGACGAATTCGTTCCGCCAATACCAACATATTCAACCAAACCTCATTTTGAAGTACCAGGCGAACAGAATGAAATAGTAGGTGGTTACTCTTTTTTTTAATATTTTCAAATTGCCCGCAAAAGTATGCTATAAAAAATAAGCAAGAGCAACACCACGTTTTGTCTATGAGCCCCCATAAGTACTCTACAAATTTGGAAGCCCCCTAAGATATGCAACATTTCTTATCAAATTAATCTATATTTTTATTCGAGTTTCAAACCCAGTATTACCAGTGATGCCCATCACAAAATCCCCGTATGTTTCGTTGATCATGCATAGATGGAGATAGTCAGACGACTTAGAGCAAAGGCGAGTAGCATGGCTTGGCTCCTCAATAGCAGAAATAAGCTATCGCTCAAAAATAAGGCCAACATATACAAAGTTATACTGGCACCCATCTGGAAATACGGCATTCAGGTTTACGGCATAGCAGCAAGATCCAACCTTAATAAAATACGCATAATGCAGTCCAAAATCCTGCGTAGAATGTCGGGTGCAGCATGGTACATTCGCAACAGAGACATCGAAAACGATCTTCAAGTACCGAAGGTCGGAGATGTTATCAACCGGCAAGCTCAGGCGTACCTATGCAAGTTGTCGAATCACCCGAACCAACTGGCGAGAAGGCTCCTAAGAAGGACACGCATTCACGGAGTAAGAGTGAGAAAAAGGCTCAAGCGCGTTCACCCTTCTGATCTCAACACCAGAATATTATAATACCCCGTCCTCAAATACCCACCCTATCATCTAGGCTTAAGTATGTACATTTGTATATATTATGTTGAACCTGTAATTCCCTTTAGTATAAGTCGCTATAAATAGTGACAGTAAGCTAAATAAATTAAATAAATAAATTAAAAAAAAAAAAAAAAAAAAAAAAAGATCATGCATAGTCAAGTTTCGTTTTGTCTACGAGCCCCCATAAGTATGCTACAATTTGTCCCTTCGATTTCGTTCCGCCAATACCAACATATTCAACCAAACCTCATTTTGAAGTACCAGGCGAACAGAATGCAATAGTAGGTGGTTACTTTTTTTTTTTTTTTAATTTTCAAATTGCCTCCAAAAGTATGCTATAAAAAAGCAAGAGCAACACCACGTTTTGTCTACGAGCCCCCATAAGTATGCTACAATTTCGATAGTTTTATTTTATTTATTTATTTATTTTTCCAGGTGAAAATCAGTAGCAGTAATCTTCTGTCAGTAAGCAATTAGTAGCATAGAGCTTCTGTCAGTGAGCAACTTTTCCAAAAATTTTGTCAATTTCCACCTACTAATGGATTCTGTTCGCCTGGTACCTAAAAGTGGATTTTGGTCTTCAGAATTTGCGATTTGGCCAGTAAAACACACAAAAATCATTTCATCTCATTTTTATTCTCGTTATTTAACAAAATAAACATTCCTAATCGTTATATTATATTTTATTATTTTATAATGTTATTGTATTCTTATAGTCTAATTATATATTATACTATTTATTTTATGTTTTTATATTATTATTATTATATTATGTTATATTATTATTATTATAATATATTATACTATTATTATTATATGATTAAAATTGAGTAATGTTTCTTAATTATTTAAATGTTTTTTTTTCGTAAATTCAATTCCCTCAAAAAATAAGATCCCTTTGCTATTCAAGCAAATTGTTTTTATTATTCCAGGCTTTGCTGTTTATTTTCACGTCTAATTGAAATGTTTAAAAAAAATGGAGGTTGGCAGGCGTTTGCTCTTATTTACAGGGACAATCCGAAGGCTGCAATCTTATTCGTTTGAGGTATTTTGAACTGCAAACTTAAAGATACTTCTGGGACATCCTTGCAAGCGAGCAATCAGTCGGGGAATGGCTGGATGCCATGAAGAGTTACTGGCCACTAAACAGGACTGTCTGAGGTCGTCTCCTGCGTTTCCGGCTGGTCCCTGGTGGCGCCCTCCTCCTCCACCTCCACCTCCTCCTCCTCCTCCTCCTCCGCCTCGTTCTCAACTTCTGCCCCGCCATCGCTGTCGGCATCCGCTTCCAGATCCTGTCGCTCGATGTGGCGAGCCGCCGGCTGCGAGGTGAAGGCGGTGGCCGGGCGCGGGGGGAAGTGGCCGCCGGCTGCGAGTTGGAGGAGGCCAAGCCGGGAACGCTCACGGGGCACATGCAGGGCACGAACTGGATGCGACTGCCACTGGCTGTCTGGTCGGACATGAGGTTCTGGTGCGGCTGGTAGTTGAAGTAGTCCGGGTAGGGATACTGGGGCCGGCCGTTGTACAGGTTGCTCACCCGCCGGTTGTAGGCGGGGAACTCGCCGAAGCGCATCAGGCTGGAGGTGCTGCCCTCCGAGAAGCCGCCGCCGCCACCGGCGGAGGCCTGGGCGGCGGGGGGAGGCGGCGGCGGGGGCGGAGTGCTGGTGGTGGTGGTGCTGGTACTGGTCGTGGTGCTGGTGCTCGTCGTGGTCGGAGCCGGCGTCGTCGTGGTCGTCGTGGTGGTTGTCGTGGTCGTCGGAGCCGCCGTGGTGCTGGTCGAGCTGCTCGTGCCGGGCGCTGCTGCTCCGTGGAACCCTCCGCCCGCCGGCGGCGTCACCTCCGGCCTGGAAACGGAGTCGTGGCGCCGGGCGGCCGCGTAGCTGGTCACCGCATACGGATCGAACTGGCCAGCGGCTGCCGGCAGCAGGGGAGTCTGCGGTGCCCCGAAGCCAAAGAAGCCGGGCGCCAGCGGCTGGTAGGTGTACGTCCGGAAGTAGGTGAGCGGGATCTGCTGGAGCATCGGACCTCCGCTCGGCTGCCTCGTTTCACTGCAAGAAGAAAGGGGAGAGGATGAAGTGGCGTGCCTTCTTTGGCTGCATTCTTACTTACCTCGTTGCCTTCGGCCACCAGAAGGCGTTGGACTCTTCGGACCCGGCCAGGATTAAGGAGATCTAAGGAGCAGAATTCCGGAATTAGTTTACCAAAACAATAAGGAGCCATTAAGGCTGATATATTTGTTATCCTCATCTTTATGTTGAAGTGCGGTTTATCTGTTCATTTGTTAAGGTACTTAAAATATTCTCTACAGATTCTCCACTTAATAAATACAAAACTAAAAACCAAAAGAATAGTTTGATGATTGGGTAATTCCTAAAAGTCATGATAACATCCCAATGTCATTTAGACAATTTAGGTATTCAAAAAACCATTTTAAATATCAATATCTGATAACTTTGAGGGATTGCAATTCGGAAAAGTTCATTAGTCAACGATCGCCATCAACACCACTTTGTCATTAAAAAAAAAACTTGGATTTCTGCATTGTTTGACTCTATCGAGTGCAAGGATATCCCAGAAGTGGAAGTCAGTTTATCCTTTTCTTCTCGTTTCTCACGTACCACAAGGTATAGCCACATTTTGTTTTCGAACAGCACTTTTCACTGGGGCAAAGTTTTTATCCTTTATCCTTGGGGAACAGTCAAAAAATATGGTAAAAAAAAAAAAAAAGGAGACGATCTTGTGCGTTAACCACTCGCGAGCGCGGTTGTCTTTGTTCTAAGCCCAAAAAGATCCAAGGTCCGAGCTTTTATAGCCGAATTGCCGAATGGGGAACTGGGGAACTGGGAATGGGGATCGGACCGACTGTGTGGCCCATGGCGATGCTGGCCAGAACAGAAAAGCCGCCAGCAAGCAAGCGGGCTTCCCCCCCGCGGAAGATGGAAAATGGGGAAAAGGGAAAACGGGAGGGGGTTTGAGAGGAGGGGAATGGGGCGTACGGAGTGTGGAGTGTGGACCCTTGTAGAACAACGAGAAAATTAATTGCAGGCTGCAGAGCGAAAACTAAGCTGGGAAATCAATAATAATAATGAACGGAGATGGAGATGGGGGAGGGGGAATTGGAGGGGGATCCAGGGGAACAACCTGGAGAGAGGAGCATCATTGACAAAGTGATTGAATGAATGATGGACCCACTGACGGTTCTTGAAAGAGCCGCCCATCCATTCGATTGGCCGTAAAAATTAGTTGATGGCTCTTCTTCTTTTAGCCCTCGCTTGCTATTTAACACATGGAAACCTTGTTTTTCTTTCCAAGACTGACTTTCCAAGTTTTTGGGTCTCAGGAATTTGGGTCAGCCGACGCCTTCAGTCGAATGGAACAGTTCGATTTGCACGATGCTATGTTATGCAACCAGAAGAGCGGTTCCTATTCTTCACTTTCCAATTTACGACTGCCCCCTCCGAGAGACGGAGCCCTTTGTGTTCCCCGGGAATTTATGGCCGCCCTTTATGGCTTCTAAAACTGATCCACCAGCCCGTTCCAGACCCATTACAATCTAAACTGTCTCATGGCTTTATTAGAACGGGCTTTATGCGCTTCGAGGTGTTAATGATCATCCCGGGATCGCTGTCATAATCACAGTCTCTCACTGGTTCGCCTCGTTCTGAGTTCCCGGTGGTTTTCCCATCCGATCAAATCATACTCTTTCGTTTGTTAGTCTCTTGTATTTAATACCTTTTATCTGCGGGGTCTGAAGCCGTTCTCCACGTACTTGGAGGTGTAGTACTTGGTCTGGTTGTCCGCTCCCAGCGAGCGATGGTGAGGTCCTTTGTAGCTGAAATTCGAGGCGAGTGCACCAGCATGAGTAGTTTCTTCAAGTGGATGGACCCCAACTCACCGTGAATTCAGGATGAACCAAGTGCTGGGCTCCCGCTCCGAGGAGCTTCTCGCCGAGCGGTCGCTCTTCTCCAGCAGGTTCTTGGATGACTGCTTCTTGCCCTGGGGCTGCAGGAGTTTGCCCAGCGTGTAAACCGGGAAGGCGTAGTATTCCCTCTTGAGGGCGTAGCGCGAGCTCTGCCGCAGAACGGGTGGCGGCGTGGTGCTGGTGCTGGTCAGGGATCCCACCACTGGCCTCTCCAGGCTCTCATCGAAGTAGACGATCTGGAAGGGTTCGCTGCTGCTGCTGGCAGTTGAGGTTTCGGGCAACTCCACCTCCGTTTCGAGCTCCTGTTCCATTGGCCAGTCCTCCTCCTCCTCCTCCTCCTCCTCCTCTGCATCCTCTTGATTACTTTCACTTGGATCTTCCAGATGGTGGTGCTCCTGGTGCTCCGCCAGTTCCGCATTAGCACTGCCGTAGTGGCGATGATTGTCGTTGTGGCCCGTGGAGCGTCGCAGGACGGTCTGCCACTGCATCACCTCCTGGGGCGAGTGGAAGGCCTCGTACTGCTTGGCCTTCTTGCGCTTCCGCTTGCCGTACTTGGCCATCTCCTCGATCCTGGGCAGCTGTGTCTCGTACGGCGGCGGAGTTGGCGGCGTCGGCGTAGTTGTGGTGGTTGGAAGCTGGAAGCTGGGGGTGGTGCTCGTCTGGCCGGGATCTCCGATGGCCTCGTGGGCGTAGAAGGGAATCAGAGTGAGGTTCATCAGCTCTCGCTGCCCCGGCAGACGGAACCGCTCCACGATCGGCTTGGGTCGGAACATCGGCGTCGCCGGCGGATACAGAACCTGGCCGGGAACCGGCTCCTGCATGGGATATCGCCTCCGGCTGAGCATGGTGTTCAGGATCAGCTCGCCCCTGGTGCCGTTGTAAACGAATATCGGGTAGTTGTCCCTCTCCCTGTCCAGCTGCAGGGAGTTCTCCCCCGGAGCATTGTCGAAGACGGGCAGCTGGCGACGACCCTCTCGTCGCTTCGGAGCTATCCTGGTTTTCTGGACGGGCTGCACGTACTGATGCGGCAGCTGCACGCGCCGTGGCATCATGAAGCGTCGCTGCGGCAGGTTGTTGAGTCTCGCAGGGGGCGTGGCAACCCGATTTCGATCCCTATCCCTTTCCCTATCTCCATCCCCATCCCGATCCTCGTGCCTCACCAGAAAGGTAATGGGTGCCACTTCAGGGCTCTCCTGGCCTCCATTCTTTCTTCTTCCCTGGCGGCGCATCATCAGCGATGGCAGCCTGGTGGTCGTTTCGTAGTCCGCATCCCGACGATCCTGCCGCTGCCTCTTGGCCAGCCCGTCCTCGAGTATCCAGAGGGGTCGCTGCTCCCCCGCCAGGTAGCTTTTGTGTCCCAGGGCCGTCACCCCGAGCCAAAACGAAAAGAGCAACCAAAGCGAAAAGGGCGCCTCCATTTGGTGCGACGAACGTCTGTCAAGTGGTCGGCCAGCCACTGCGAATCCGTCGCTTTATACGTCTCACTTGGACACTTGGATTCGGTGATTTTGGCTGATGGCGTAACTAACTTTCGTTTTGGGCGAAAATCGCACAACTCGTTCTGAGTGGGTCGCCCAAAAGTAGTAGTGTGTAAAAGTAGTGAGTGTAATGTAGGTTCGTTTCAGAACCAGAAATAACCCTTGACTTTGACCCCGATTCAGTGACTTAGTTTATGAAACTTGGTAGATCTGATTCGTGAAATCTAACGAAGGCAATTCAGCTATATTGACAATGCTTTTAAACAAAAAAAAAAAATGTGAAACGCATTTCTGTATCAAAGATATGTCGCTATTCTATGGACATTGGATCACTTGGCGAGTGTCTGGCGGTTGTGCTTCAGGAGTTGGACAGCTGCCAGCCCGCTCCAGCTGCAGCATCAATGGAGCCAGCTATTTCCCATCTCCATCACCATGGCCCATCAGCTGTCAAAACTGGCATTAATCAAAACACTCTTAACCGATTCCCTTTGTTGCGGCGGAGTGGCCTGCTCCTCCGGCTGAGGGCATCGCCGAGGGCATCGCAGTGGAAGTGAAATTTCGGGGACTCTTTGATGGCCAGACAGACGGAGCAGAGCAACCCTTGGCCCCGTGACTCTGCACTGAGAGAAATGCTTGAGCCCGAACCTACAATACATCTGTATTTCTTTAAGTATCATCCACATCATCCCACTTAGCCTGTTTAATAAGTCATAGTCATCAAGCTGATACTTGTGAAAATATTGCTTTAGTTCACTCTTATTTGCCGCTGTGCAGGGCTCTGTTTTCTGTTTTGGCCGCCGCCTGTTCTGGGCCAACTTGTTCTCCATTCTCATGTGCCACAAGTGTGCAACAAGTGGAACATTCTGACCGAAAACGGGGTTAATAGCCTCTGACTGACTGACTTACGAATTGACGGACTGACGGACGGACAGCTGCAGGCGGTCGTGAGTTCTCACTTTGAAGCAGCGGGCCCAGAATGGAAATGGGAAATGGGAAATGGAAATATGATTGATTAGCCCCGTGTATCGCGGCTTTGATCGATCAATCGGCGCTTGCATGCGGCATTCTGCGTTCGCTTGTAAAACCCGAACTAATTACAAGCGCAGAGAACGCGTCTTCGGGGCAGGGACTCCGCCATGTGGGATCTATTGTGTGATCTTCAGCCGGGAGGGGAAAGACGAGAAATTGCCCGGGCGAAATGAATCGAAAATTGGTTTTCCCACCGAGCCATCCAACCGTCGAGCCATTCATGGATGATCTGGAGGATCCTGATCCGATTGCGATTGCGTGACTTGACAGCATAATTAGGTCAGGATTGCCGGCCTGGATTAATTCGCTTTTAATGGCCTCTAATGCGTTTTAAATTCCCCTCTCCAGCCCCCTCTGCCACCCTTTTCCCCCCTCCTCCCGCGTTCGAATGTCATAAATTCCACACAGTTCGGCCATCCATCCATCCATCCATCCATCGCAGGTTCTCTGGCCAGCCCAGCTGCACGTCACGCCAACTCGTGCCCATAATTAACAGCCAGAAATATTTGGACAATCATAAAACACACGCAGACAGACAAAGAAAGGCATCTAAAATCGGGGGGAGATTCAAGAGATTCGGGGGAATCATTTTTGACACCGACAATTTGTTCTATCAATTTCGGCATAGAATGCATTTTATGTAAATACAAGTTGGCCTCAATCTTGCGGCCGTATCTTGTATCTCTGATTGATGTCCGGAGTGCCGTGAGCTATGAACAATAAACCAATCAAGAGGCCGAAAATGTCAAACGATTTGTTTGTCCATTGTGCGGCTCCTCCTCCGCCTCTGCGAGGCATGTTTACATGGGCGAGGAACATCACTAATGCGATGCACAGATAAGCTATCTAATGCTCCAATGCCGAAGTCCATTGAGATGCAGCTGTGAAACTCTCTTGGCTTACCAACTAACTAAGGTTCAAATCCTAACACATTGCTGCAGAACATATATCTCAATTGAACTCAAACGCTCATTAGAAGTAAACCGTAAATTAAAAGGCTAATAAATTCGTATGATTGTTCAACGTGCTCTACATAGATTAGAGACTTAGCAAGTCCTATCATTCTGTCAATCAACCATGACTCGATATCTTATCTGTCCAATTTGTCAAGCATCTATTATAAATGTGTATTCAATCGCTTCCCATTTCCTGCGTTATCTGCGAGATACTTCTGTTTCCATCTTGAATGTTCCAAGTGTTTTTCCCCAGCTACCTAACTACCTGACTACCTGTTGCAGTTGCACGAGAGAATGGGTAGGTTTTGTATCTTAGGGGTCCTGAGTTCCCCTTCTGAACTATCCGATCTTTGCTCTGCGCTCTTAACCGAATGAAAAAAGCTTTCTTTGTCCAACTTACCGATGCTTGGAGCTCGCATATCTCGAGCTTTCTGCCCACTAAGATCGCCAATCTGTGATGACGAAGACCCCAATAACGCGGCAAAGCTCTCCACCGATCCCGCGATCCAATTAGCGGGGCGTTCCAGCCAGCACATGTCGCTCTCTGGGCCTCGTATCTCAATTTCGGTGCGACTCCCAATCCGATTCTGAATCCGAATCCGAATCCGAGTCCGGCAAAAGCTTGACAACGACCTCGTTCCAGTACTTTCGTCTAATTTCTCTGCTTCGACCGCTCCTCTCTGCAGAGAAAGAAATTGTTGTGTTATCAATACCTAACAATTGATTAATAATTAATTATTAATTTTTCATTTGTTTCCCCTCCACTTGCTTGCCTACTTCAAATTACTTTTAAATATCTGCACAGTAAACTAAAGTGTTATAACAATGCTGGAAGTGTAGCAACACTTTCACCGCTTTTTACAGCGTTTTTCTCTGCGTGTTCTTTTGTCTTGGGCACAAGCAGCTGCCTCAACCTCGAGCTCAGTGCGAATTGTGTTCCCGAAGCGTGCGGTGGCGGTACACCAGTCAGTAGTTGCCTAGCTCTGTCCAAATTAACTTAGACTCTTCCGCGTGTCCCAACATTTCCAACTGGTGCTGCCGATTATCGAACCACTCGCAGTAGGCTCTTGCTGAACCGACGCCACTCGATAGTTTCAGAGAGAGCAGTTTTCCCCAGGAAGTCGTACAGGGAAGTACAGGGAAGTACAGGGGAGCATCGCAAGGATGGCCGCCCAGCAAAAGGACATCTCGCACGGCAAGCGCGCCGCCTTTCAGGTCCTAGCCGGCGGTTCGGCCGGCTTCCTCGAGGTCTGCATCATGCAGCCGCTGGACGTTGTGAAGACCCGCATCCAGATCCAGGCCACTCCGGCCCGCAGTGGCCCGGCCCTGGGCGAGGTGAGTGTTGATCGAACTCCCGACTCCCCCCGATGGCTTGGCCAGATAGCAGATGGGCACCGCCCACTTCTCCCAAGGGAAAACTACCTCACAGATAAGCCAGTGACGAACTGGAAGATTCTGGGGACATAATTTAATAGATCTTTTCAAGATGCCACTCCAAAGATTTGCCTACGATTAGGATCTAATAAGGGGACCACTTCCATCAGCTGAGAGTTGATTTTGTTTTGTTGTGGGGCTGCGGCTTTTTATTTATTTATTTTTTAAATTTTGGATAAGGGCAAAGCAAGGTCACGGACATACGCACTCTAGAGTGAGCGGGGTTGCTCTAGCTCTCGATGTTCTCAGCTTTCGACCGGCCCTCTCTGTGTTTACATTTCTCTTACGAACTGGCAGACAATCCATATTTATCAGCAGTCGAAGCAGAACGCCGCGCTCTCCCCTAACAAGCTTATCAGCCACGAACATGTACATATACATACATATAGTACTATATAGACCCATGCCAGACGGGCCAAACATTCCCCCATCCGAAATGAAATCGGAATTATGCGCTGATGGCAATCGGCACTTCTGATTCCCTGCCGACACTGGACACGCGTGCAAGAGATTATCTTGGGTTTTGACTTGGAAACACACAGGTTCAGAAGGCTGAGTTACAACTCCTTTAATTGAATTTTAGAGGGGCTTTCTAGATGAAGTCTGCAGCGTATCTAATCTTGTTGTTTTTCGAGCACTCTTTTCGGAAATCCTTATGCTTAGAAGGCCTTCAGATTAGGCTAGAACAGAGCTTTACTTTACTGCAATTACTTTATATATAATTATATTTTTATTAGTGTTTATAACGAAATTTAAAAACAAGTTGACTAAGGAGAAAATGGAATGTTTGTAAAATAAATCACTCAGGCTCGGACCACATATAATTGTATGAGAAATAATAATTTGTTTGCGGAGACCCCAGCATAAAAATGTCTTCAGACTGCGTCGAAATTTTATTTTCTTGTGCGATGATTAAACAAATTTACGACTGCAAATGAGAGCAGTCCGAGCGGGAAAAGGGGTCTGTGCGATGGCCGGGGAAAAATGAACACAAATTCAACAAATAAATATACGATATGTAGCACAATGCACGCAGTTTCCCGATGATATGGTTCCAGATTTGCGATTCGCGAGAAGAAAGAGTGCATAAGAAAGAATTTATATATTTTGCAGACCAAAAGATAAACCATTCTACGCAATTTCGTAGCAGTGTCCTCTAAATATTTGTGTTATTGATCGAATATATCATATCGTTGAACTACATAGTACATTTCTCTTGTAGGAAATCAATTAATTTATATTTAATTTAACGCAATTTTGTAGCAGTGTCCTCTAAATATTTATGTTATTGATCTGATATATCGTTGAACTGCTAGTACTTTTCTCTTTTAGGAATTCAATTAATTCCAAAATTAATCATTTCCCACTTGCAGCTCCACTACAATGGCGTGTTCGACTGCTTCGCCAAGATGTACAGAAACGAGGGCATCACCTCCTATTGGAAGGGCATTATGCCGCCCATTCTGGCCGAGACCCCCAAGCGGGCCATCAAGTTCCTGGTGTTCGAGCAGACGAAGCCGCTCTTCCAGTTCGGCTCGCCCACGCCCACCCCGCTGACCTTTTCGCTGGCGGGCCTGACCGCCGGCACCCTGGAGGCCATCGCCGTGAATCCCTTCGAGGTGGTCAAGGTGGCCCAGCAGGCGGATCGCCAGAAGAAGATGCTCAGCACATTCGCGGTGGCCAAGGGCATCATCAAGCAGGACGGACTGGGCTTTCGGGGCCTCAACAAGGGCATCACCGCCACAATGGGCCGCAATGGTGTCTTCAACATGGTGTACTTCGGATTCTACCACAGTGTGAAGAACGTGGTGCCCGAGTACAAGGAGAGCCACCTGGAGTTTATGCGCAAGGTGACCATCGGTTTTCTGGCCGGCACTCTGGCCTGCTTCGTCAACATCCCCTTCGACGTGGCCAAGTCGCGAATCCAGGGACCACAGCCGGTGCCCGGCCAGATAAAGTACCGAGGAACGCTCAGCTCCATGGGCATCGTTTACCGCGAGGAGGGATTCCGGGCTCTGTACAAGGGACTTGTGCCCAAGATCATGCGCTTGGGTCCCGGCGGTGCCATCCTGCTGCTGGTCTTCGAGTACTCCTACGACTACCTGCTGCACAACTACTCCTAGCTTCCCCCTTTCCCCCATCTAGGTCTTAGTTAGTCTCCATATTTTTTTCATTTTTTTTCCTAATGCCTAAGATAGTTGCATAGCCAAGAGGGCGGAGCCAAACCGAAATTGAAGAAGGATCTTTACGAAAGGCATACTATTGTGATTTGTAAAAATGCTAAATGTTTTAAATACTGTAAATCATTAAACTAGTAATTGTAATAGTAAAGCTACTTGTTTGAAATATTAAATGTTATTTGAAAAGAAATAACCTTAGGATCATTTTATAGTTTTGAAAAACAGAGAAGCCCAACTATCTTTGTAATTGAATGCAATTCAATTGTCATTTAACTGATTCTTAGTTAGTTGATAAAAAACTGATTTGGAAAAGATTAGTGGTCAATTTTTGGGTTGTAATTTTTCAGCGAGATGGCTTTAAAACTGAGAGACTAGTTTACATAGAAACAGACAGGAAGACGTTTTTTTTCCAGTGAATACGAAAAAATAAAATTTGAAATTAGCTAAGTTTCTACGGTAAAATGTGAATTCTACATTTCAGAAACATTGACTGGTCACACTAGCCACATTATCAAAGTTCTCAACCCAAAGCCAGGACTGTTAATTTGTAGTATGCACCTCTGGTTACACTAGCAAAAGTGAAATTTTTTTAACGACAGTTTTGTTCAAGCCGACTACAGTTTACTCGTTTTGCGGACAACAAAGTCAACTCGGTCTTAAGAACGCAGTCAGTAGAATCATTCATAAACAGGTTTAGGTAATTAGCATGCACATCAGTTTGCTGACTTACGCTTAATGGTTTTCCTTTTTGTTTTTACTGCCATCTGTTAAGTCTTGTTTCTTTACGGGGAAGTACTCAGTCGGATCATAAGATGGCCTCCAGTGGTGCTGGTGGCGGTGCGTGCTCACATGCAGTTTTTGTGGCCTGGATGGTTTTTGCCATGTTGCTGACGCATGGCAGCGGTGTTGTGGATGCACGGCGTAACCAGGGCAGCAACCAACGCAAGACCTCATCCTCCTCGTCGTCCAGCTCGTCCTCCAACTACGGTCACGTGACCCAGCCCAGCTACAATACGAATGGCCACGGAGCCGGCAATTCGCACGCAGATGTGGCGAAACTTAGTTACCCCAACTATAATTCGCAGCCGAATCGTCCGATGACCGCTGGCTCGGCGGGATCGCCAGGAAGTGCCCCTCAACCGGGCTGGAATGTGCCGCAGGGACCACCGCCGGCCTACTCCGCCTCCAATCCAGCCATGGGAGCTCGGCCCAATATGCACGAACCACCGCCGTCCTATCATGCCCCCAACTACGGAGCAGCTCCGCCCAGCTATGGAGCAGCCACAGGAGCGAATGCCCATCAGCCGCAGTATTCGGGAGTGCCGGCCGGTGCCACCTACTATCCAGCTGGAGGACACAGTGGCGGCTATCCCTCGAACCTTCCCGCTGGAGCTACGTACTATCCATCTGCCGGACATGTCCCTATGGCTGGCGGCTACCATCCAGCTGCTGCTCCGCCTCCAGGGGCCACCTACTATCAGGCGGGATCTGCTCTGCCACCCGGAGCAACATACTACTCTGCACCGCCACAGCAGTCTTCCTCGGGACTGGGATTCGGTGAGTTCTGGACGGCCGTTCTGACATTAGCGTCTGATAAGTCGCCTGAAAGAAGTAAAGGATTTGAATTTTTCATTTTGTAAAGATTACGAGAAGAGTGTGCTTGTTGAACAATCAAATGACTCATATTAGCCTTAAATATTAACCCAGTTCGTGCTTAAGTTTTGGATTTATTTTTAGCGACACCATATGTTTCGCCACTTTAATGTTTAATTCCTTCACAGGAACTGGTCTGTTGGCTGGCGGATTGGGCGGTGCTCTGTTGGGTCACGCCCTAACGCCCTCGGGAGGCAGTTCCTCCTCCCAACCGGTGGCCGCGGCTCCAGCCGGTGGCCAGGATCGCATCATCATCATCAACAATGGCGTGCCGGTGAATGCCACCGATGGAACCACTGTGGTGAATGCAGCCGGTGTGGCAGCTGCCCCACCAGTTGCAGGCGCACCAATGCCCCCGGCCAATGTGACCCAGGATGGTCAGATGCCAGCTGTTCCCATGGCACCAATGGCTCCCCTCAATCCGGAGGCCTCCAACACGACCGCACCGGATCCAGCTGCTCCTCCACCGGCTGGCGGCATCATCTGTGTGCCCACCAAGGTCAACGAAACGGATCCAGCCGATAGCTCCAAGATGATCGAAGTGGAGAAGATCGCTTGCTACCCGGCCCCTCCGCCACCAGCTGCTCCGGCTGGCGAAGGACCAGCTCCACTGGCGCCGATGGCCCCCGCTCAGCCGGGATCGCAACAGGTGCAGCAGGCGCAGGATGTTGCCGCTCCTGTCCAAGCATCGGTCAAGTCCAACACGAGCGGCGGGAAATCCATTGAGGGATTGACCAGTCAGTGCCTGCTCCTCATGTTCACATGCGGAATGCTGGCCAAGCGCTTTGCTGGCTTCTAAAGAGCCCTAAAGAGCTTCTGGAACGTTCCAAGCTGCATCGTGTGCACTTGCCCCACTCAATTACCCTAAAAACCCAGCTCTACTGTACCTTTCGCCCCAGCTTTTGTGGCCTTTTCGCGCACGGATTATTGCGCACTGGCCAAGATCAATAATTCCAGGCGCTAATTGGACGAAAATTGTTAATTTATGCCGTACCATCTCCGATTACAATGCTCGTGGATGAACAAGTTTAGTATTCCCCTTTCTAAAGTCAGTCCCCCCTTTTCCAACTCGGCCTTCAATTGTGATGATTGCGATGGAATGGACACCCCTAACCGGAACCCAGGCCATCCCAGTGAGCTCGAAAACAAGACAAACATTCGAATATCTCAGTATATGTCAGTATATATATATAACTATATAACCCTTACTCAAAAGCCCTTGAAAAAAGACAAAGTGAACGTAAGTTCTCACTAAAAGTGTATATTTTTCTAGAATTGTTAGCGTAATTGTTGATTGTTTTTTTGTATTGTTGTAAGCAAACGTATTTGTTGCACTCCTCAATTGTTGAATAAAATAAAAAGCTTTCGCCTTCACCCATAGCACTCGAACCGCAGTGGTTTTATTTCGTATAAGCGATGCCCACAGAGCACATTACTCATGCAATCGCCTAAACGGCTAAACTAAATACGGAATTGAGCAGTTAATGGTCGGTCCCCTTGCCCAACGATGATGAGCCACCGAGTTTGTCCGGACTATTTTAGTCCGCCTGTTTTCGTAACGAAAAAAAGACTTACTTTGTTTTGACCGCTGAGTGGATAAACAAAATGGGTGACAAGAGGACGGCCAGCAGCAAATATTTGAAGAGGCATGATAAAAAAGCAGCAGACGTAGTTTACCACCTGCCTACGCAAAAACTGTGATAAACCCAGATCTTCTACCGAGTTGATACGGTTTCACGAAAGAAACATAAGACGATATAATCTCATAATACTATTTATATAATAATAATTTTATACATATACTATTCATATAATACTAATTTTAATAAAAAAAATACATAATACAACTTTACTTCGAATTATATAAAGATTATCTGCAGATAAGAACGTGGGTATTTATACATTCCAAATACATTTGTAAGGATTGAGTGATCTACAAATGATAACTCTCCTGAATAACAAATAATAGCAAGCCTATGCCTGAGTTCATATTACTCTCTTAAAGGGCACAGCACTTTCACCACCTTGAAGAAAAAAATACAAAGCAATCAACCGCGAAACAAAAAGAGATCGAGCTACTAAAGTGCAAAGCTTTTCTAACGACTAAAAAGCACAATAGCAACTAGCTAATATCGCAAAGACCACAAAGCTTTTTGCTCTGACACTTAAATAAGCGCCAAGCACTAAGATCCAATTGACAATTACTCTAAATCTGCTCTTAACTGATCCCAACTGGGGAAACTAAATCTTGACAGATTTGAATAGTTAACAGAGAACAACAATCTTGAGGTTCACACACAAATCGTTTATTGCGGCAGACCCAAAGGGGTTTTTTCCATGAGTTCACACAATGTTGTTAGCTTATAAAAACACGCCCCCTTTCGAGGACGTGAGATATATAATAAAAACGAATGTAAACCTAGTGTTTTTTTGCTGTGCGGAAGTGCTGCAACATCTTTACTCGGCATCATCGTCCTCGTCGTCGTTCGAGCTGATTCTGAAGTAACGCAGCTCGTACGAGTCCTTCGCGTTGGCCACCACACGGATCCAGTCGCGCAGGCTGTTCTTCTTCAGGTACTTCTTGGTCAAGTACTTCAGATAGGCCTTGGAGAAGTGCACGTCGGAGCTGACATGGAGCTTCAGCTTGGAGCGCTCGAAGGTGACGTTGTTGCCCAAGTTGTTCACCTTGCCGTTGACCTTAAGGCGGGCCTTCACGTACTTCTCCTGCGGGCGGAAATGGGAACGGAACAGGGATTCTCTGGTTAGTTCTCATGGTGTCTTGCATTGCTAGGCGGCTGGAGCTCTTCAGGAGGGCATCTCCTGCCGTTCGAGTTAGTGCGGGGTAATGTCTCTGTCTTTGTTAAGGCCAAGAGTCGATTGTGTAGAACAGAAGGCCCAAATAAAGAAGAGTGACCAATTTTTTGCTTTGCCACTGAGTACACTGCCATCAGAGCGACGCATGAAGCTCACTCTCTGACGGCAAATCGGCGTGGCCTGTAATAGTAGATTTAACCAGGTCATGGATGAATGGACAATGATCAGGACCAGGAACCACCAGGTGGGCAACTCAGCCAACACTAATATTGCCGATCAAGTATCGATCTTGAGGTTGGCTTGAAGCTTGTTCCTGTTGGTTCCTTTCCCCTCACAGTGAATGGATGCTTAAGATGGTAGTTACCTGATCCTCTGGCGTGGGCGACACCTAAAACGATTCCTGCGCCCTGCTAAAACACGCGCGTTCAGCGCACTCGGTTTGCCCACTAGCGGGTGACTGCTCTCAAGCATTCTCCGGATGAGTGGCGGAATTATGAAAACACCTAACACAAACTGCTTCTAGCTGGGAAAACCTGCAGTGCCACGAAAAGGCGGACACCGTGAGCAGGGCGCACTATGAATTTTGGCCTGAGGCGCCACGGCTGTGGACGCACTCAACCCAGGGCCCACCTCGTGGCGGTACACATAGCACGGCTTGACGCTGTTCACAGACGGTTGCACCACTGGCCAGTGCCAGGTCACTGGCGGTCAGAGGCTACCCCGTTGTGCAGTGCCCAGAGCCCCTTGACAATCAGCGCAATTTGGGAGGCGCTGCGAGAGGAACACGTGTGCCCGGTTGCAGGGCAGCGAAAGATTCGATTCGAGACGGATCGGACAAAATATGACCTAACCTCTAGTTCTATGCTCTACGGATAGTGCTGTTCCAGGAGTTGTTAACCGCCGGCGGCACGGATAAAGTCCACCAGCAGTTTATCGCCAAATGGAGAGGCTTCACTGTAACCACAACTTTTTATCCAGAGCCCCTGGTTAACTTGGAGGGCAGTGGAAAGCTTGGTGCGGTAAACTGATACTGATATTGAGCGTGTATTTCGGTCGTTACTCCCAAGATTCTAATTGTGAAGAAGTCAACTCTCCTGAGAATCGAAATCTGCAACTTCGTTGTCCAAAAGTATGCAACAATATAGTTCAATGCTAAAACCGCTTGATCTATATTCAGACATACTGACAATTATAAGCCAGATTTCGAGTCTTCAGACGTGAGAATATCAATCACCATCGAATTCCAAGTATATAAAGAGCAATGACCGAATATAGCCTGATTTTGATACTGATGCTGCGATTTTGGATCTTAAAGGGACCCCAGCTACTTACGAAGTCGGCCACATCCATGATGCTGTCCTCAGCAATGTTGGTGCAGTCGATGGTGAAGCGCAGAGAGACCTTCTTCTTCTTCTGTCCCTTGCCGCGGAGCACGTTCTTCTTCACCGCCTTGCTAGGGGCAGGGGCGGTGGTCTTGGCCTTTGGCTTGGGAGCCGGCTTGGCGACGGCTGGGGCAGCGGCAGCCGGAGCAGCAGCGGCAGCAGCAGCAGCTGGAGCAGCGGCGGCGGCAACCTTGGCGGGGGCAGCCTTCTTGGCCGGAGGAGCAGCAGCCGGGGTGGTGGCAGCCTTCTTGGCGGGAGCAGCCTTTCCGGCAGCCGGGGCAGCGGCAGCCTTGGCGTCCTTCTTCGGAGCAGCGGCACCAGCGGCGGGAGCCTTCTTGCCGGCATCCTTGGCTGCGGGCTTAGCGGCAGCGGGCTTGGCGGCTGCGGGCTTGGCAGCAGCGGCGGCGGCAGCCTTCACATCCTTGGCCGCCTCGGGCGCCTTCTTCACATTCTTGGCAGCGGCGGCGGGCTTGGCGGCCTCAGCCTTGGGCTTCTCCACCTTACCCTTGGCGGCGGCAGCTGGAGCAGCCTTCTTTTCAGCCGGCTTGGCAGCAGCGGCCTTGGTATCACCCTTGTTGGTCTTGGCCTGCGGCAACACCACAAAAAAAAAGGTAAGAAAAAAGGAAAACACACACTGCAAACCCCTCACGGGTTATTTTTCACTACTGGCCACTGCCCACGGGTATTATACAATTTGCAGCACACTTGGGGCCTTAGGACTGGTGGCCAGGCCGCGAATTCTGGGAGCACTTACGGTTGGAGCCATCTTGTCAGTCGAAAACCACGAGGAAAAAGAACAGAAAGCGGAAACTTAGCGAAGAAGAAGAGGCATGCCAGTGTGACCGAAGGTGGGGCAGTGCGGATTTACCGAAACCTAGGACTCAAACCACCCAGACACATACTTTTTAAACAATTTGTGTATAAAATATTTGTTTTTTTCCAGCTCGTAATATAAAGTGGTTGCGATGCAAGGACAATGTATCAAAACAATTTTTAAACGCTTTCAAAATTTTAAATTCATTAAGAATACCTTTAATATGTAAAACATTCTTAAGAGCCTCTTAAACATATCCAGTTCTGAGGTGGAAAGGTTACACTGCCTTGAATTGAAGTTTTTCACCCCTGAAGCATCGATTGAATAATCGATAGCAGCACGGTGCCACCGCCAACTCTTTTCGTGTTGCTGATTTCAATCCGCTTAACTCGTGGCGAAATTTGCATTTCCCAATTCGCTGACAATTCGTATCGCAAAACAGAGTAAGTGCATCAAACGCTAGCCCCAATTGCAGCTGCATTAATATATTATACGAACTTTTCCAGATGCCGGGCGTTGAAACGATCAAGTCCTCCTGGGCGGATGAGGTGGAGCTCGATTACGGCGGACTGCCTCCGACCACGGAGACAGTGGAAAACGGACACAAGTACGTGACCGAGTACAAGTACAACAAGGACGACAAGAAGACAAAGGTGGTGCGCACCTACAAGATCTCCAAGCAGGTTGTGCCCAAAACGGTGGCCAAGCGCCGCACCTGGACAAAGTTTGGCGAATCGAAGAATGACAAGCCGGGCCCTAATTCGCAAACCACCATGGTGTCCGAGGAGATCATCATGCAGTTCCTCAATTCCAAGGAGGACGAGAAGGCCAACGATCCGCTGTTGGATCCCACCAAAAACATTGCCAAGTGCCGTATTTGCAACGGCGAGCATTGGTCGGTTAACTGCCCGTACAAGGGCACGGCGATGGACACCAATCTGATGGAGAAGAAGGCCTCGGCTGCCGCAGCGGCCGCTGTTGATGCACCCAAGTCTGGAAAGTATGTGCCGCCGTTCCTGAAGGACAGCCAGAAAGGCGGATTGGGAATGCGGGGACGCGACGACACGGCGGCCATCAGAATATCCAACTTGTCTGAGTCGATGACCGAGGCGGATCTTGAAGAGCTGGTAAAGAAGATCGGACCGCAAAGCAAAATGTATTTGGCCCGCGACAAGAACACCGGTCTCTGCAAGGGATTCGCCTATGTGCACTTCAAGCAACGCAAGGATGCGGCCGCCGCCATCGAGATCCTCAATGGTCACGGCTACGACCATTTGATCCTCAGTGTGGAGTGGTCCAAGCCGCAGAACAATTAGTTAGTCCCGTTCAAAATACCCGCGTTTACTGCTCATAAGAGTTCGTAAGGATCGATCACACAATATGTCCCTATGGTATATAAGTTTGCTACAAATAAATCGTTAAAACAGCCCCCAGGGGCCCCTAAAAAACACAATTCTGGCCTTTGAAATAAAAGATCCGAATCCTGATGAAGAAATGGAACATTTTTAAAAATGGGTTGAATATAAGAGTTCTCGTATTTTTGTCTTAAAAATTCTTAAAATCTATGCAAAGGAGATATAGAAGACAATCTATTATATCTCTTTCATAAATTTCAATGATTTCAAACATAAGATTGCCGTAATGATCAAATTAAGTCAATACAGTAGTTTATAGATTCTGTTGAACTAAGTGATTGCTAATACACATCTATTGTTTTGAATGTAAGCAATTGCTTAACATTTCTTAAAATATATTAAAATATCTCATTTAAAGATCAATAAAGGTATAACTTACGACACTTTTATATTATATTCGTCTTGGGGGAATTTTTTTTTGTTTTTATCTTTTGGAAATAATAATAATAATAACTATACTCAATGCTGACTGTAGGGAGCAAGACCCTTCAATAATCTGGCAACGCCATCGTGTGCATACGAAAAACAAAAACAGATTCACGTTGCTTTTGTTGTTGTAGATGTTGTTTTTCTGTGTTTGGCAGCGATTTGCGTAAATTGTGTTTGCTTTTGTGTCTAAAAATAGGGATCAGATGCCGCAAAATATTTAAAAAAGCATTCGAAACAATATTTTTGAGCTTCAGGTGTGCGCTCATTTTCAGTTGGCAGCGGGACGGGCCCCCAGGCGAAAGTTGAAGGTGTTCTTACGTTCCGGGCAAAATGGAAAAATACGGCACCACCGCCACTTCATCCACATCCAAGTCGACATCCTCTCCTAAATCGAAAACTGGAAAGAGCCCAGCTCCGCAAATCAAAAGGGGTCAGCGGATTCTCACGGAGAAACCGTTTGCCTTCGTTTTGAAGTCCCAATATCGTTTGGAGCGCTGTGATAATTGCCTGGAGGCGTGAGTTTTAGTCATGTTGCGTCCCTTTCCTGGCCCTATATTTTGGAATCCCTTATTGCAGGACTAAGGTGCTCAAGTGCTCCAACTGTCGTTATGTTTCGTACTGCAACCGCTCCTGCCAAATGCAAGCTTGGGCCCAGCACAAGCACGAATGTCCGTTCCTCAAAAAGATTCACCCCAGAATCGTTCCCGATGCTGCCAGAATGCTCTGCCGCTTGATCCTGCGTTTGGAACACGGAGGCGATTTGATTCGGGGCTATTACACGGAGCATGGTTCCCGCAAGTTCCGCGATCTTATGTCTCGTAAGTGAACCATACAGTTTCTCAGTCTAGCTTTATATTATTGCAGTTTATTTTCTAAAGATTACGCCGAAATCAAGAACGATCCCATGCGACTGGAGCATTTGGACTCGCTTCACGGCGTTCTCACCGAAATGATGGCCGAGAGTCCCAGCACGGTGCCAAACAAGACGGAACTGATGAGCATCTACGGTCGTGTGAGTGGACCGACACCTGTGTGAAAAAACCAGGAGCGGATTTTTGTAACCAGAGGACGATGTAGATCTTTCAGCTGATGGGGCTTATCCCACATATTTCATTTCCTTGGAAACCCTTATACCTTGTGTATTCGTTAGTTTCCCTTGCTTTTTGAACCTCTGAAAAACCGCTCCTGGTCGCCCAAATTAGATAGCAAATCAATGCTGTTTTTGCCTGGCACTCTGCCAGGCAATTGATCACCTAGGAAGGGCTATGGTTCACATTCCCCGGCCAACAGATATGCAAGTGCTCTTTCTCTTTTCTTCTTGGCGGCAGCTTATCACCAATGGCTTTAATATCCTAGACGCCGAGATGAACTCCATTGCCACGGCCATCTATTTGGGCGTATCGATTACGGATCACAGCTGCCAGCCAAATGCGGTGGCCACCTTTGAAGGCAACGAGCTGCATATCCATGCGATAGAGGATATGGAGTGCCTGGACTGGTCCAAGATCTTCATCAGCTACATCGATCTGCTCAATACGCCGGAGCAGAGGCGTCTTGACCTCAAGGAGCACTACTACTTCATCTGCGTGTGCAGCAAGTGCACGGATGCCAAGGAGTCGAAAGAAATGCTAGCAGCCCTGTGTCCCAATCGCAACTGCGGCGTGGGCATTAGTGTGGAGCGCACGAACTGTCCGCGTTGCGATGCAGGAATAAGTCCCAAGCTGAGAAATGCATTCAACGAGGCTATGGCCCTCACACAACACAACATGGGAAACATGAAGGATGTAGCCTGTGAGTTTACGGACCGTACTCTACTTTAATACCATTACTAAAACTTCTTTGTTCTCCGTCAGATCTCGATGTGTGCAAGGTTTGCCTCGATAAACAGACTGGAGTATTCCATCCCCTAAACGTGTGGTATGTGAAGACTCTGGACTCGGCCTTTGAAGCTGCGATCGAAGTTGGCAAGTGGTCGGATGCCCTGGACTACGGACAACGTTTGCTGCCAGGCTTTCGAAAATACCACGGCCCCTGGAATCCCCTGCTCGGCCTGCTCCATATGAAACTGGGGAAGATCCAGCTGTACGAAGGCCATGCCAAAGAGGCACTGCATCATTTGGAGGAGGCCCAGCGCATCCTTACGGTCACTCATGGTCGGGACCATAGATTGCTCAGGGAGCAGTTGTATTTACTGATTCTTCAAGCCCGTCATGAGGCACACTAGTTGTGGTTTGAGTTGTTTTTATTATTTTAAATAAAGCTTAAGATAGAGAATGTGTGTTGTTTTACGGGCATTATGGATATCTTTGTGGCTCAAAGAAGTAATCTAAACTGGATGCTTATTTCATTACAAATTCAATTGCAAAAATGAAAACACAAGGAAACCAACAAGAACTAAAGATTATCAAATTATTAAATTGGGCTTTAGAACTGACTTAAACTCTACTTCAAAATTTCTCTGCTTAGTAAGTTCCAAAAATAACACATGCTATTTACCTACAATAACCATTATTCATCAATTCACACTCCACTTTGTTTAATATATAAATTTTGAAAATGATGAGACTTCACTTGTAAACATTTCTCGCTTTCTAAAAATCTATGTGGATTTAGTGTGGAAACTAAACTATCTGTGTAATGGCCTTGGCCCTTCGGTCTGTGTCCTGGAAGAGCGCCCGGATTAGGTGCCTGATCTCTTCCGACTTGTAGCTGGCGGTCAGCGGTCCCGCGCCATCACACCACAGTTCCGTGATTTCCTTAAGCGAGGCGTTCATCATGGCTTTTAACTGCTGCAACCGTAGCCAGGAGAGAACCTGGGCCACTTCGTTTGGCTCGGGGAAAAGGGTGGGCGCCCGCTGCAGCACCACATCGATGAGGTCACTTAACTCGCAGGCCATCGTGGCAGAAATATCGCGCAGCGTGAGCACTCGACGGATGAGCTCAGCGACAAAGGTGTTGATCAGCTCGCAAAAGGTAGCATTGTAAACATTCCCCGGAAGCACATTGGCCCACACGTTTTTTAGAAGCTCCAACTGTCGAAGACACTGGCGCACCAGCTTCAGTGGTCCGGAGCCCAGCGTGTGCGGACTCTCGAACTCGAAACCGTCCATGATCTCCGTTAGAATACGCGCTTGATAGTTGACTTGCACCCGGAAGTGCTGCTGGCCTGTGGCCTGCAGCGCTTTCGTTAAAGCCGCCAAACTTTCAATTCCTTTATTGGCATGTTGAGCCACCCAGTGGCTGAAGTACATGCAATTATTGTGGAACAGCACCGCCTGCTGCGGAATGCTTTCAAGCAGCTTTCGGTGCACTTTGGGAATTTCATCGATGTAGGTGTTCAGCATCAAGGCAATGACCCCGGCTAGAGGATCGGCTTCCTCATCCCCTAATTTTTCCGTTGGTTGACGCAGGACGCGGTCCATCAGCTTAACAAAATCCTGAAGGGACCAAAGGCTTTAGGTTAATCAGGTTAATCAACAATTTAATGCCCTAACTGACCTGTGCGCTTTTTGAAATCATGCAGCGTGGAAAGAGGAAGGGATCGTTAGCCACTTCGGTGGAGAGGTTGTTGGGCGCAACTAGCACCATATCCTGCAAATCCCGCTGAATGATCTCGCGTGCCATTTCTAAAACCCGTCTAGACAGTCGATTGCGGTAGTAGGTCTCGTACTGTTCGACGAACTGCACCAGTGCACGATCGTGGTCTGCATTGATAAGGAATGAGTCCACAAGCAACTGCTCGAACTGTGCGACATCTTCGCAAAGCGTTGAGGACTGGTACTCCTCCATGGTTTCTGGTACAGCCGGTATCAGACACTCGTCCACCAGAAGCTGCAGCATCTTATCCTTAACGTGATCGCCAATGATGCTAAAAACGTGCTGCTCGCTGGAGACACTGCTGTTGATCCCAGACAGAGTTTGCAGCAGCAGCCGGAAATGCTCTAAAACCTGCTTGTAGTTCGGGCGTAGCTGTGCAGAACTGGTCTCTTTGGTGGCGTAGGAAAGTGACAAACGGACGTAGGCACCACCGTCGGCATCTTCACTGTATTCCACCATCACCGGCCGTAGGATCAGCGGTTCGATACAGTTCTCCAGCAGGAATTCGCAGAGGCGCACCGGATTGTAATGCTTTTGAAAGAGAGCCTGAACGATGTCCTGCAGCTGCGCCTGATCCCGGCTCACCTGCAAAGTGACGCAGCGCGATTTGGGGAAGGATTTACACTGGAGCTGCACCAGTCGATCGAACCGCTCCTGAAGGCTCTGCTGCAGAAGATGGGCCTGTACGTGGTACTTCACTCTTATTGTCTCATAGCACTCTAGTGCCTGGAAGACGCGTCGCACATCGGGCAAGGTCACAAGCGAATCCCCGTCTCCGGCATCGTCTCCATAAATAAATGCTCTTAAACGACCGACAAGATCAAGGATAACCAGGTGATCTTTCATAGCCTTGGCTTCCTCTACGCACTGAAACAGCTCGTCAATCTTCAGCACATGCTCACTGACTCTTAGGCCCAAAAGGATCTCGCGCAGTTGTCTTCCGCTGTCCGCCAACTTGGCATTTGCCTCGTCCAAGGCACTCAAACCCTCGGCGCCCACTGTCTCTAAAAGGTCGTGGATCTCCCGGTCTAGGGAGGCCGACTCTTCTAGGAAAATATCTGGCGACGTGTGGTTGGGCATGAACTCCGTATAGTTGTCGTCGATGTGCTTGCGGACTCGGACTTGGAAGCGATTGACGCGCGTCAGCACTTGAGACACGGCTGACTGGGTGGCCTCCACACTGGCGCATCCATTGCCATTGCCTTGGAAAGCCTCTTCCAGCACCTTTAAACGCGGCGCCACTTCCTCCATGACTGCTTGTTCCCTCTCGTCCTTATTACCCAATTATTCCAAAAACCAAATCACAACTTGTTTGCGGCTGTGGCGATTGCTTGCTAGTGACGGGCACCGTTCAAAAATGCGATAACATGAGCCTATCGAAAGGTTGACAGAGGCAACTAGCAAAAAATGGCTAAATTCTGGAGTACAATTTAAATTCTTAATTTTAAAACTTAATGACTGTGCCAACAAAATTATACAGTTAATTAATACAGTTTCGTGGAAAATTTTGCAAATTAAATTTTTGATTAAAATTTTGATTACGTCACTTTAAAATTTAGTGCAGAATTGGCTATCATTTTGCAAGCCATTGGAAATTTTCAGATTACCTATAATTGGATCAAAGAATTATTCATTGAAGAAAAAATGTTGAATAAAGATTTTGGATCGAAGCACAAAACCCTTTTTTACAAATTTCCTCTTATTCCAAAACTTTTTTATTTACTATGAACTGACTATAAAAATAGCTACTAAGTAGGCGCATTCGCACCTCTGCTGGCCCCACATATCGACAGCTGTAACGCAAGCCAATCGATAAATTCTCCATTTTTGAAAATACTGGCAGCAATGAATTTTAATCCTAGCGTCGCATTCCTTTAACTAAGGTTAGGCCCCAACAAAATCGAAATTGCCGAAAGTATACGGTTATTAACGAACTTAAGATAAAACTAAATTGTTAGTTCGCCAGGAGCATCGTTTTGTTTCTCACTGTGCGCGGGCTTTTCCTCAGTAAATAATTTTTTTTGGATCTGCTGCTGGAAAAAGGTGAGTGGGCGGTCAAAATGGCGCCTAGAATAGTCATAATATCGGCTTACCACTTAAATCCCCTGACAGATGTCCCTTGATGATCCCAGTTCAGTGGCCGTGGCTCTGCGCGTGCGTCCCTTAGTCCAATCCGAGTTGGATCGGGGCTGCCGGATCGCCGTAGAACGTTCGGAGGATGGATCACCACAGGTCACGGTCAACCGGACTGAATCGTACACATACAATCATGTGTTCGACATTGGCGACTCTCAGAAGGACCTATTCGAGACCTGCGTCAAATCAAAGTTGAAGAGGCTTCTCGCTGGCTACAACGTCACGATCCTCGCCTATGGACAAACGGGTTCTGGCAAGACCTACACAATGGGCACGGCCTTTAATGGCGTTCTGGACGATCATGTCGGTGTCATACCGCGCGCCGTTCATGATATTTTTCAGGCCATCGAAGAAATGCGCGAGGAATTCCGCTTTTCGGTCACCTGCTCCTTTGTGGAGCTCTATCAGGAGCAGTTCTACGACCTCTTTTCGTCACAAAAACGCGACAAGGCCACCGTGGACATAAGAGAGGTGAAAAACCGGGTGGTAATGCCGGGTCTCACCGAGCTGGAGGTGAAGTCCGCCCAGGAGGTGACCGATCATCTGATGCGCGGCTCGGCTGGACGGGCTGTTGCCGCCACGGCCATGAACGAGAGCTCCTCGAGGTCGCATGCAATATTTACAGTGACCCTGGTGGCCAACAAGCTCGATGGAAAGTACGTGGGGAAGTAATACTTATAAAATATACCTACCTAATCACTCAATGGTTTCCTTCAGGCAATCGGTCACCACTTCTAGGTTCAATCTAGTGGATCTGGCTGGTTCGGAACGCTGCTCAAAGACCCTGGCAAGTGGGGACCGTTTCAAGGAGGGTGTCAATATCAACAAGGGTCTTTTGGCTTTGGGCAATGTGATCAATGCATTGGGCTGTAAGTAAAAATGGATACATTTTTATAATCATTTTCCATGATTACAAATTTTTTATACACATTTCAGCTGGCCAAGCTGCAGGCTATATACCTTATCGCCAGTCTAAGTTGACTCGTCTGCTGCAAGACTCTCTAGGCGGCAACTCCATCACATTGATGATTGCCTGCGTCAGTCCAGCTGACTACAATGTGGCAGAAACACTGAGCACCCTTCGCTATGCGGATCGTGCCCTGCAAATCAAAAACAAGCCAGTCGTCAATCTCGATCCCCATGCAGCGGAGGTCAATATGCTAAAGGACATCATCCAGAAGCTGCGTGTTGAGCTTTTGGCCGGTGGCAAGATGACCAACTCAATATCCAGCGCATTTGGAGCGGCGGGCTTGGGTGCCATTCCTAACGAGGAGTCCCTGGCCGGTTCCATGGCCAGTGTTGAGGAGAATAAGCGTCTCAAGGAGCAAGTGCGGATCCTGCTGGAAAAAAATAGGAAACTGCAGCAAGAGCTCCACCATTCACTGGCCGATCTGACCGAGAAGGAGATGCGTGCTCACATCGCCGAGCAGGCTCACGATAAACTTCGCACCCATGTGATGCAACTAAAAAACAAAGTTGAACCACAGCAAAAGTCGGGAGATGGAGACGATGGTGACCAACAACTGCGCGAAATCTCAGAACTGGTTCAACTAGTGGACGATGAATTGCAGCGCACCCAGGCGGAGCTGGAAACCCAGGGCCAGGAGACACGCCAGCAGCTCAGTGATCGCTCCCACTCCGAAAGGGAGGAGAACAGCGGCTCAAGTGGCAGCGATGAGCACGAAATGCTTCAGTCCAACTCGGAGGAGTTCACCAACAAGCAACTAAATTTCGCTGGTGAGTTGCGCAATATTAATCGCCAGCTGGATCTCAAGCAGGAGCTCCACGAGCGAATTATTCGCAACTTTAGCAAGCTGGACGAGGAAGACGGGGACGCCAAGTTGCGCCAATGTAACCAAAAGATCGACGATCTGGAGGCAGAGCGACGTGACCTAATGGACCAGCTACGCAACATAAAGAACAAGGATACCTCAGCGAAAATTGCCGAGGAGCGACGCAAGCGCCTGCAGCTTCTGGAGCAGGAGATTTCCGAACTGCGTCGCAAGCTCATCACCCAGGCTAACATGCTGAAAATGCGAGAAAAGGAGCGTGAGAAGATTCAAAATCTCAGCAGTGAAATTCGCTCCATGAAGGAGTCCAAGGTGAAGCTAATACGGGCGATGCGTGGCGAGTCAGAGAAGTTCCGCCAATGGAAGATGCAACGTGAAAAGGAGCTAACCCAGCTGAAGAGCAAGGACCGCAAGATGCAGTCGGAAATTGTGCGCCAACAGGCGCTGCACCTAAAGCAGCGTCAGGTGATGAAGCGCAAATGTGAAGAGGCCTTGGCGACCAATAAGCGACTGAAGGATGCACTCGACCGGCAGGCGTTGGCTCAGGCTCAGCGTCACAAGTATGCCAAGGATCACGGAGGCTCCGCCGCAGGCTCTTCCCATTCGCACCCGAAGACAGACTGCTGGGTGGATAGCGAATTGGAGATCATACTTTCGCTAATCGATGCCGAACATAGCCTGGAGCAACTGATGGACGACCGGGCAGTTATCAACAACCACTATCATCAGTTGCAGCAGGAGAAGACTAACGATCCCGTCGAAGCCAAGGAGAAGGCCTGTCTGCTAACCAACTTCGAGGAGGAGCTTGAAATGCGCAATGCCCAGATCGCTGATCTTCAGCAGAAGGTCTGTCCCACTGATCTGGATAGTCGCATTCGCTCCTTGGCCGAGGGTGTCCAAAGCATTGGCGAATCGCGGGCTGTTAGTAAGCAGCTTCTGAAGACCTTGGTGCAGCAAAGACGCCAACAGGCGGCCAGCCTAAATGAACAGCGCACGATGCTGGATGAGCTGCGTACGCAGCTCATGGATGCCCAACAGCAACAGGAGGCAATCAACAAACGTCTCCGTTTGGCCCAAACCGAGCATGAGGAGCAAATGCTGGCTCAGCAGCGGGCCTATGAGGAGAAGGTGGCGGTTTTGATCAGGACAGCCAGCCAGAGGGCAGCTGAAACGCAGCCCCCAACGGCAGCGGAGCATCAGCGCCAGCAGATTCTGGAGGAGCTTCTCAGCAGCAAGGAGGCATTGCAAATGGAGCTGGACAAACTTAAAGCTAAATCCAAGTCCAAAGAGAAGGCGGAGAAAGCTGAGCTTCAGGATCTTGATGATAGTGTGCAGATAGTGGAAGTTGAAGAAAGTATTGTACTTAGCGATATAAGCGACGATCCAGACTGGGTGCCGACCAGACCCATATCTAAGGTGGGTTTTAAAAGATAAATTGCTCTACATTAATGTTTGGTTTTCGTCCCTTTAGCAGAAAAACCGAGCGAACTCCAGCCGCAATGAGTCAATTGGCCAGGATGCCAATGGCACGTCGGCCGACAATGCATCCATGCATTCTCTAAATTCCACAACAGCCACGGAAGATGGTAAGCGTGGTAAGGGCTGCAAGTGTCGCACCAAGTGCAACACAAAACGCTGCGGCTGCTTTGTGAACAGCACTGGTTGCTGCGAGAGTTGCATCTGCAAGAGGAATTGCTTCAACCCAATAAATGCGAAGGCACAGCTGCCGGAAGGTGGCGACGGTGATGGTCACCCAGCCATGGAAGTTAAGGAGGGTGCGGAAGACGTTGACATAGGCAGGAGTGCTGAGGATGAGCACCAACCTACTAAGGAAAATGCACAGATCTTCGCTACGCCGGAAACGCCGCATAAAATTGGGTCGCCGAAGCGTTTGCTGGATACGAAGACAACGGCAACGCCGCTCAGCAATTTAAACGGAGTGGATGATTTCAACGGACCCAAACTGGCAAGGTTGGCAAGAATCCTTATCATTTTACAATTGCCATGCAAGACTTTGATTTCAATTTGCAGAATGTCCGGATTAACATTCGCCACACCGAAGCGAAAATTCTTTTAAAGTTGGAGCGAACAAGAATGTGGATGTCAATCAACAGAGGAGGAGCAACAGCACACTTCGTAGTAGCTAGATTAGCATCAGTTTAATGTTTATGTTATTTTTAGGAAATGCTCATTGAATCCACTCTAACCAAGTCTGTAAAATAATGTAATGTACCGCCAATATACGATCGGATAATGTGTACCAACCCATACCCATATGCACTGTGTTTGGGCCAGGCTGCACAAAGTCGTGGCTTACTTCTTACCTATATGTTTAATTCAAAGATGTTGGCCCTTTTCCATAAATATGTAGATAACAAAGTCTGTTCATTTGTATACTTTAAATATGCGTAAGATGTCTAAATATAAACCCCTAAATTAAATTACATTTATATTGCTAGTGATTAAGAAAATAGGGTATACTCTGGGTCAGATGCACGAGTAAAAAAGAGATGGGTATATTGCGTGAACAATATCAACAAATTTTAGTGATAAGGGGAGGGCCAGCTTCATTTAAAATTTAGATTCCTTCTTTCCTATATTTTTGGCTTAATTTTTTGTAAGCGAACTGGATAAATGATAAATTGCCAAACAAGCTTTTTTAAAATTTTAACCTTGTTTTTTTTTTTTTAAATTTTGGTAATTACCCTCAAATTTCAAAAGGACTTTTTTCTCCAAATTGTTAATAAAAAAGATTAGGTTGTTCTTTTTATTATAGTTTTTTGTATTTGGTTCTTTTCTCATAACAGTTTAATGTGTTTGTGTGAGTGTGTGCGACATCCTGTTTCGCGCTCTGCTGGGATTTACGAGGTGACTGCAATGCACGTGGTCCATATTAAAGGGTGGGTGCTCTGGGCGTGTGGGTCTCAAAGCACCGATAACAGTAAAACCGAATGACAGAGAGAAACAAAAAAAAGAAACACTAAAGCAGAGCACTAAATTTGTATATATAAAAAAAAAACAGGGAAATTCGACGGAGTCCTGAGAATTAATCCCGGACCACTTTTGCTAATCACGATCATATCATTCACACCCCAATCGTTTCTATGGGGCTGTAAGGACCTCACAATTTACACGGAAAAATGTCGATCCTGATCTTTTGGGCTAAGGGGTAGATATCCTGTAGTGAATGACACATTAACATAGGCCAAACAATACTCAAAGTACATCGGTAATTGCACATATAAGTACATAAGTCTAACATTCAAGTTTGCTTTCATTTTTATCCTTGGTTTCGGTGTGAATGATATTTAACAGATTATCAATTTACAATACATTAATGTACACATTTTTAAATAATCGTAATAATAATAATAAATCTACACAATATACATACAATATTTATAATTATATAAATATAGCGCATTTCTTCACTACAGACTATACAAAAAAAATATATTTATAATGATGTTACACTTAATGAAGATTTTTTGTGTGTGGTTTTCTTGGATCGTTATTGTTCCCCTAACGGCTGTTGTTGCTGGTGGTGAATCGTGCAGTTTCATCGATCTTGGTTTAAGACACCGTCTACAAGATTTGTCCTATTGCGTTAGCTACCCTCTGCTTTCTTTCCTTTTGTTTTTTGGCAATAATTTGAATGATCATGACATTAGAACGAAACAACAATAAGTGTGTGTGCGGGTGTGAGTGTGTGTGCTTTGTGCAGGTGTGTGTTGTGGGTGTGAATGTTTCTTATGCATAGAAAATGTACAAATAAAGTAAATCAATCAGATAGTGACATGACAACACACTGAACCTGGCCAAATTGTGCGATATTTGTTTTGTTTTTAACTTTTGTTTCATTTGGTTTCTAGGGGGCGATATGATGATCATGGCTACTTGACGACTCCCTCCTCCAGACCCATAATATCCTAGACAGTCTCCAGTACGCGCACATCCTTCTGCACCACATAGAACTTGTGCTTCTTGCCGACCAAGCCCCAAATAACGGCCACGTTCTCGATGACCACGTTCACGGGTATCGTGCACACCGCGCCAAGCACGCAGGCCAAGAATCGGAACAATCCAAAGCGGTACAGCGAAAAGGACTTGATCACGCCAAAGACGTACATGTAGATATTGATGGCCGCAATGAAGGCGCACACGAAGTCCACCAGATTGGGACAGGGTATGGGATACAGGGCCGCAAAGATAATATTCGACGTGGAGAGTGGCATGGTGACCCAGGAGTAAACACTGATGCCCAGCAGCAGCTTATGCTTGAAAGGTATCATCTTGGAGTGCACCACCAGCAGGATGCCCTGCAGCCATCGCTTCCTTTGCTGCAAAAAATCCAGCAGCGTGAACGGCGACTTTTCGTACATCTCGCCCTCGATAAAGTTGAAAGTGTATCCTTGGCTAAACGCCCGCATCGCAAAGAAGCAATCCTCCGCCACCGAGCCATCGATTCCGTTGTCGAAGGACACCGAACGTTCCGCAGCCACCTAGAAAACCAAAATATATTAGTATGTTTCATTTACAAATGTATTAAGCGCCTATTGTTGATGAACTTGAAAGATGTTACTCTTCTTTGGTTACTCAATTTGGTGTAATACTCCCCAATAAACTAAAAATTCATCAATTTAATTTAATTTAATTAAAACGTATTGAATACCCAGAACCTAATCGTTTAAAGAGCCTAAGACTTATCATTCAATCGCTAAGCATACGCACAAGATAGCTTTTTCGCATGAAGCTTAGTAAGCTGACAAATTTGATGGAAGACCATTTGGGAAAGTTCCCAGAAATCCCCGTGAACCGACTCATATTAGTCTACTCATGAATGGAATAACCCACCTGGGTGACCACATAGCTGCCCTTCCAGCTGAACAGCGGCTTGTGGAAGAGCTTGAACTGGAGTCGCAGCTTGCCCATGTCATCGGAGACCCGAAAGCTGTCCGCCAAGGTGGTCAGCCAGTTGACCACATTCTCGTTGGCATAGGTGATCAAGCCCTGGCCAAATGGATGCTTGCCATCGAGCACAAAGTTGATGATGCCACGCACTGAATTCTCCGTGAGCAGCGTTTCCTCATCCAAATGGACAATCCAATCGCTGTCGTTCAGCACATTGACATTGTCCTCCAGGCAGTATTGCAATGCCCGGGACTTGAAAAGCGCCCCGGTCCTCGTCTTGTACTCCTTGGGCACCACAATCTCCCGGATGCGACGATGTTGTGCTAGATGTACGGCCTTATCGGTGACCACTTCGATCAGAAAGTTCTCCAGTCCCGTGTCCAGGCAGGTGTTCATGTTGCGTAGCACGTTTGTCTTTACCAAATCTGGGAAATCGCCGCGCGTGACGACACGGATGCAGATGAAGGGCGCCAGCAGGGGACTGCCCTTAAGGACGACCTTCTCGGGGAAGGCATTGTAAAATACCAGGCCGCAAAAGTTAAACAAAACCTGGGGCAGCGTGAGGAGCGTGAGAAAGCGCAGTAAGTACAGCAGAACCGTGGGCAACTGGCCATATTCAGTCCATGGATCCACGAGCGTGAACGAGTTCTCGTCAATCTTAATACCGCCGGAGAATACTTCGAAGGTAACTATCACAGTGATGAGCAGTGTGCAGTGCAGCAGATGCTTTGTGGTGGAGTTCATCTTGGCTTGCGGGTTGTGTGTTGCTTTTTTGCTTGTTTTTGTTTTTTTTTGTTTTGTTTATTAAGTTACTTAAATGGCTATAGTCCTATAGTCCTCCTGCCTTAAGTAGACTTGTGCTCCGGCGTAATCGTATTCCGCAATGGTTATCTATTTGCCTTGTTTGCTTTTTATTTTTTTGTTTTGTTCGTTCGTGTTCGTTCGTTTTCGACTTAAACCGATTGCGTCACTTTCTCCGTAAATAATTTGTAATGTTTTTGTAAGGTATTTGTGCTTAAACTCTGCGATTGAATGCTGTGCGAAACGGAAGTTGCTATCTCCTCGGCTTCCTCTTCAGCTGTTGGTGAACTTGGACTTGGTTCCTGCCGCTGGCGTTGGCTTGCTTGCATTTGAGACTCTTAGCTCTGATCCCTGGTCAGACATTTCTGTAAATGGAATAAAAACAAGAAAAATTATATTTTGTGGTTTAATATATTCTACATTTAAATATATTCATCTTTTTTCCCAGGTTTTTGTACACTCATACAGAATTTAAACCGCAAAAACAAACAAATGTCCCGTGAAACGACCATCTCCCTTCTGCGACTCGTAATACGGCATTAAACATTAATTTGTGCCGGCCATGCGGTGTACTTAATTTATTTAACCTTTAGCATCGGCCACATTTTTGTTATATGATTGAATTAGAACCATGTGAATGGGCGGGCGGCCCGTATAACTTCCATTGAATGTTAATCATTAGCATCGCGTGCCTGGTAGCCCGTAACTATTGATCATATAACCGCCTGCCAGCTTTTTCCATATTTTTTAAAAAGATTCTTCTTAATTTGTGCAGCAATTGTGTGAGATCAAATGCCAACGATTTGATGGTTATAGTTTTTGTCTGAATATTGCATATATATTTTACTGGTGGTGTTGTCGCGCAGATAACGTCAGTTCATCTCAGCCAATTCTATGCTTATTTATACACATCATTAATAGATATAAGTGCCCACCAATATCTAAATGATATTGTATTTGCAAATGATTCCAACGTCCGCTGTTGCTCGGACATTTTATAATGACTAAGCGTGATATGATTAGAAGTATTTAAAAAAGAAAAATGAACAAGCAAATAGGTCATATATTTAGTTTTGGGGATTCGGAAATTGTGTTGGTTTTTTAATGACACTTTGAGGTGTATTAAGAAAATCAAAGTAGCAATAATAACTTTCTCATTAATCATTTATTGACATACACATGATAATTCACTTACACTTACACTGATTATAGCCTATCTAATAAAATTACCAATTAGGAAATATAGTAGACAGAATTCCTGGAAGCAATTAAATAAAATTGTTGCTAGAAGACCAATCGAATTCACAAAGCTTTGTATAAACTAAATCAATTATTATATATGCTGGTCCCTACAATCAACGCCCCATACAATAAGCCCCCAGAACAGTGACGAATTCCGGGAGAGAAAATTGAACAAAGGAAATGACAGAAAGTCGGAACCTTATACACACATTTGATATGCGTGATTCATGCGGTTCGACTTGAGACTACTGACCCAGGAAAATGGGAAAATAGGCGAAAATCGCTGACCAGAAAACAGAATGCCAGCGAAACTTTCCATCAATTTGAATCCCACGGGAGTGTCGTGTTCAGACAGTGACGTTTTCCAATACCGGCGGCACATAAAGATTACACACGCCCCATATCGATTTATCCACCACATTTCTGTTTAATTGAAGGGAGTGAGCCCCATAGGAACTCCAGTACTCAGCTGCTTGGAAGGTTGGGCGGTGTTAACAATATATGGAGGGCTCGGTAGGAATGGAATGTTTACCAATCTCTCAATTTTCCAGGAGGACTGCTTCTTATGTTCGATTACTGGAAAAGCTCACATGAGACGCCCTAAATAAAGTACGAACGAATAACGATTTGAGTGCTCATATCGCTTAACAGTCATCATGAATTTCAACAACACTCGAACAAAACTTATCGGCTATAAGCCAATCAGACGTCCTTTAAAATTCAAACCTCATTTATCTTGTTTACTTATTTCAACACATCCCATCTCAGCTATATTTTTGACTTTTAACGAATAACTGATTGTGGGAGCCAACCATACTAAAAAATAAATCTTATGTATTAATGGAGATTTTAGATTTTAGGATCTATTTGTTTTTATTTTACTAATAAATCTATTAAACCTAAACAATTTTTTTAGAAATATATTATTTATTTACATTGAATGTTCTTTAAGTTGCCATTCTTGTCCGCATTTATTGGCCACTATAACCCATTTTCTGCTTAACCATTTGGCTCGACTATTGCGGCAACTTAGCCACTCCGATAAGAGCCACTTCACCCGGGGAATGTTTTATGTGGACCCGCGTACAAGTACCATATATACAATCCGCCGGCGATAAGCAGCGGCCTTCGACAATTGCAAAATCTTAGATACACGCGTTTTTACGTCAGAGCGGTCTTATTCCGGCCCGAGAACCGCTGGGACACGAGGTTCGGTGCGATCCTCAACTGGTTGTGGGAGGGACAAGCCGAATGCCGAATACCGAATACAAATACCGAAGCGAATCAAACTTAACCGATGCCAATGACTCCAGTGTGCTTATCACTGATCAAGATTGCAATTGTGAATGAATCATACGGCCGGAGAAGGCGGTTCAACGACAATTCCGGAGAAACACATTCCCAGATAACCCGGGATCATTGTTGTGTGGGGCGTAATGAACTTGGATCACAGGCGATAACCGGTCCGGTCCTCTCTCTTACATAAACAACAAAATCGGACTGTCTGACTCGGTCGGCACAATTATTTCAACAGTATAACTACGTGGTGCTTTTCATTTGCTGGCTTTGTTTATTTTCTTCTCTTTTTTTCGCAACTAACTGCAAGAAAATGAAAATGAATGCAACGCTCCAACGATTGCAGGGAGGTGCACAAAACAAAATACAGTGGTTGTATGCGTTAAGGGAAAAAAAATGAAAGTTCAAACAGTTAAGTATTCACAAAAATAAAAAATCAAATAAAAAAACCAAAACTTTTAAGTGGTGCAATTTAAAGCGGTTATCAGTGCCAATGAACAAGGTAATCTACAATGGCAAATAATTACATAATACTGAAGAATGATTCTTTATAATGGTCGCCTATTGTTGCGATAACATTCTTTATTAAAATATTTTTAGTTCCTTATTAGCTAATTCTAAGGAATAGATAAAGTTATTAACCATGGCCCTTGTAAAAGGATTCTGTAATAGCAATCCCGCTAATTTTAATACATATGCACCAAAACAGAGTGCTGATATATAAATCTATTTGCTATCTACAACTACTGTAATATGCCATTGCTGATAAATACTGGTTAATTGCCGGGGAACATTGTTCCCGGGGACGATTCCAAAGCACCGATGAGAAGCTCTAAGTGCAAATAACGTACATCTAATCGTGAGCACCTGCCCTGAGTCACATCATCGCACTGGGGCACTTGAAAAGCCGTTCCATTAGCCAAGTTAATAGTTCACATTCTACGCCATAAGGCCTGCTATATTCGGTTCTCACTTCCCTTATAAGCCAGGGCATATTAATTAGCACGTCTCTGGACTGGCCTAGAAGTCAATTAAGGTAGGTACACCGAGCACACAGAAATAAATGGAGTTAGCTTTGAAGAATCCATTAAAATTACATAACTTTGTTTTAATAATCTTTTGCGCCAAGCGCTTGAAAAACTTTCCAAAAATTCAAAAACAAGAAATAACAAAATTTCTTCTTTGAATCAGAACTAGAGCGTAAATATCGAAATTTTTTTAGTATCAAACAATTTTCCCTTTGCACACCAGTCAATGTCAAAGTCCACCGGTGAGCTCAATGAATGGGAAATCCCCAGTTCACAGGGGATCGTTTCAGGTGTTATGAATTACGGGCATTGTTTTGTTTTACCCCTTTGTAGTCACCCCGCTCACCAGTCCATAATCACGCGTTTTTTGTTTTTATTTTATTTAATTTATTTCGTATTGGTTTCGTATATATCGCTGGGATTCGCTGCACGTTTTTCGACTCGATTTTGTTCGTTTTAGACGCGCGTTCTCTGTATTTTTCTCCCGTGCTTCGAGCTTCGAAGACGGTCGCCGGTAAACTAAGCTCCATAAAACTCGGTCAGGTACACCTGCCCATATGGTATATGGAAATGCCTATGAGTGTGTGCGCCCCGTCATAATAATAAATTAAATACCTTATCAAGCGTAGAACACAATCAACGGAGGGTAGTGCTCCGCTAACCATTGTTGGTACTATGTACTTGCTACACGTCGAAGAACCAACCTCCGTTGCTCACCAAATATTAAGTTTTGCCCATTAGTTATCGACACTATAAACATCTCAACTGCAGCATTTTTCAATGCAAATATCCCGGTTTGCGGAGAACACAAATCTACTGAATTTTGTCTTTGTTAAAGAATTTAAACGTTTATTTACCCCGTGTAAACCGATCGCTTGCGTAGTGATCGTAGTGCAGTTGCCGACCTATTCCTAAATCATTTCGAGTCACAGCGAACTTAGATAATAGATACAGTGAGTGTATGCCATAGTAGGTGACTAATTTAGAGCGTTTGCACTCGGTTCCGGTAGGACAGTAGTTATGATATTTTTTACTTGCCGAGATATGTAGTCATTTGTAATTTTCTGGGAATTTTATAAATAGAAAGCAGATTTATTTAGTTTAAAATAAAGTGAAAAAAAAGGATTAGGCCATTCGCAAGATACGTTGGAAGACAAAAAGAAGATAGCGAACTTGGCAAGGACACTTATTTCAGGGATATAAAATAGTAAATCAGCTGACAGCTTTTAGTCCTGCCGACAAATATGACATCATGACTAAGAAAATGAAGGACATTGGACTGAATAGTAGATACCAGTTGGTTGTGAACCTAATTTACCGGCATCGGTAGCACTCGAGTAGACAGATAGGATAATTGCATGTCAAAAACAAGATAAGGACATTAGTAGGGACATTAACCGAATTCCAGGTGAGAGATCTGTTGTTGTACGGCTGTACTTCAATATTATGGTATGGTAGATAGTTTACCAAATATGACATCATATGACAGCCTTGCGAGGGATAGTGGAAGCCTGATGGGTAGCTAGGGACATTAGGAGGGACGTGAACTGCAAAGCTGGGTTATAGTGTTTTTGTTCGTCCTATTATGGTTGATGTTGGTTTTTTCTGCTGCTTGTCACGCGCCTCGAATGGCTGGGAGCAGTGGACGGTAGTGGCAGATAGTTTTGGAGACACTATTCGAGGGCTAGGAAAAGAGAGACAGAGAAAAGCGCTTATCGCAGTAGGTTGAGCAAACACCGACAAACACACACGGGCCTATTTGTCTGTATCTGTGCGTAGATAAGCGCCGGCGGAGCACACAACCACCAGTTGTTAATTATTGCTACATATAAAATGTAAGTAAATAAGTACAAGTCGCACTGCTAATGCACTTTTCCCCCCGGCTTAAGGTTAATAAAAATTTCAGTGCAATCTGAGATAAGGGCGACCGAAAACAACTGCTTAAACTGTATTGAATAATGCAAGCAACTAATAAAGCTAATAATCGTTCACAAGGTTTTAACTTTAATAAAGTGCGGCCAAGATAAAGTAATGCTAAGCCATTTCATACATAAAATGTTTACACTGGAAATATTGTCTACAGACTAGAGTAAACAGTTGTTCTTATCTATATCAGCAATTCAGAAAGTGCATCGACTTCAAGATTTATGAAAACAAAACGCTAAGCTAAGTCATGTTTTATGATCGTCACGCCTAAATTGTGTTTGATTAGTAAATATGGTAACAGCTTGCCAAGGATGCAATGTTGTCCTCTGACTTCCCTCATTCAAAAAAAAATCAAAACAAATTGTAGATAATGCAACATTTCCAAATACTAAACCTTATTTCATTTTATGAAAATATCAGACTCTTGAGTGTTTACATAGCAGAATTCTCAATTCTTCTTTGCTGCCTTCTTCTACAATAAACCCACTCATTCGAAAGTTGTTTACAGAGTGTAACATTGAGTAATATTGAGTAAACATCCTGTAATGAGACGTTTTTTCCTTCTTTTCTTGGTCGTGTGGTGACTGTACGCGGAGGAAGTGCTAGCATAAGAGTGTAGTACACACCCTGCTGCGCCCGGCGGGGGTTAAAAGGGGGTCAAACTGCCTCTGCGGGCGAAACCCTTGCTCAAGGACATTTCCCGTTGGCTATGAATATTGAATGCAGACACAAGTCACGAGATCCCGAGTAACTTTCCAAGTTAACAGGTCACCATGCCACACCGAAAAAGAACAACACACTAGCTCTGCATAAACCGACTCACATCGGAGTACAAAAAATAATCCTTTGATCTTTAGAAGCCATTAATCAAATTTCATATAAGACATTTATTTTAAAATCCGATTTTATGCAAATGTTTAACAAGAAATTAGGTCTTGAATAGTTTTTAATCTATTCTATTCTATTTATTCAGTTCAAACAAGGATATTCAACATTTTTCATGAATACATAAGGTTTTGTAAAATATTTTGACAAATATGCCTTTAATATCGATATGAATATTGAAAAGGCTATATTTAGTCTTAATATTTTGGCCGCAGCTGTGCACATACAGACACATGGCAAAAACAACGACTAACCGAAATGTGCTAATTGGAGGCCCAAGGGCGTCGAAAGCGGGGAACAGGCGGGGCAGTACGTTAGCGGGTGGCTAGCCAAGGGCGTAGCCGGGTATCCACAGGGGCTTTGAGTAGAATGTTTAATCACTTAGGCAAAATGACTTATTAATAATAAAAACCACTGACCCTTTTCTGATCCAAATCCTGACCAATTTCTTATATATAACTCAGTTTTTAGTAACTACCATGTTTTCCATTCCAAAACGGAGAGGAAAGAAAATGAAGTGCCCAAATGTTTTGGGTTTCTTTTTCTATCTATCCGCCACAATTTCTTCGATATCCTTTTCGCTGCAGGTTGATTTTGTTGTCGCTGGTGTGGCAGGAGGCAGGGGCGTGGCGTGGGCGGGAGTTTTTCCGAGTTTTTGGGCGTGCCGCGAAAATTATACACTTTTTGGCGCCTCTCACGTTTTTAAAGTCTCTTTTGCTCCCGCCGATTTGTTTGGTTTATTTTCGTATATGAATTTCTTGTTTCTAGGTGTTTGTTTTTGTTGTTAATCTTGTCTGTTTATTAATATTTGCAATTTGAATATTGGAATATATATGTATTTATAAACGTTTGGTTGCCTTGCTAATTTTTTGCAGAACAACACCTCTCTCACCTTCTCTCTTCACCGGTTCACGCCGCCCTGTCTCTCTCTCTCGCTCTGAGCGTACTTAGCACAGGCAAAAAAAAAATATTAATTTATAATCGTTTGATTAACATCAATCTATCCACTAGTGTTGTAAATTTGGTTACAGGAAAATCGATTTTCCCACGATCACGGCGTTAACTTTTTTATTGCTTCTTTTTATTCCTACCCGTGTCGCTATGTGTAAGTGGGCGGGTGTGTATGTGTGTGCGACTGCGGCGGACCGAAATTATTTTGCAAATTTGCAAAATTCACTATGCGATTGTTTGGCGGATCGGCGCGCACATTGCTGAGGATTTGGATTCCGGATTCGGTTGAGTTCAGCCCAACGAGTGAATCCAATCCGCGTTTTCCGTATTTTCGTCGGTTTTTTCGATTTTTGATTTGCGACGCCCGAGTGACCGTCTCGCGCCGCTGTCGAAATATCAAGAATAACGGTCATACTATCGGAAAGCCAGTATGACCCAGGCCTAAAAGTTGGCTCCTGCTGAAGGTCACACTCACTTTGGCGCCAGAAATTCTAATTTTGGCCGACCTTGGGGAAAAAAGGTTTATTAATTATGTTTATTGCCTTCTACAGTCTGAACTTCTTCTCAACACAAAATTACAAATTGATTTTACGTATGTCACATACTACCCATCGACCCCAAAAAAAACCAAACAAGATTCAACTATTACAAATAAGTGACTCGCCTCGCAGAACGATTCAAATGCAAGAGCATTTGGGCGTCATTGAGGTCGTGTTTCTTTTATTTAAAATTTACACTTCGTATTTTATATATATTCTTTCTGGTGCTCGGATTTTGCTCCGAGCATCCATGTGTGGCTTTTGCTTAAATTTAGTTTTCTCGTCACCGAAAGATCATCATAGTTTTTGTGGTTGGGTGTGTGGTTGTGTCAAAGGTTACAAACATTTTAAGGGAATATTTTTCGCTTGTGTTTTTTGTGGCCAATACAATAGGCTAATAAATATCTATACATAAAATTTTTTTTGTTTTTCCGATTTTTTTTTGGGTTTTTCTCTTCTGCCTTAGAATGTGAGTTTTAAATTGTGATTTAAAAGTAGAATTTAAGGTTTCATCCAATAAATTATGTATACAAAAAAAAAGAGGAATTGATATTCCTTCAACATAATATTATCCAAGAAATGTATGTGTAAAGCAGCTCAAGCTGCTGCTCCGGCCGATCTCCCGTCCTCCAGCTGGATACCAGCGATACAAGTCGTCCACTCTATGTGTCCGACTTCCACAGCTTAATGGTCTTGTCGTTCTCGAGTGCCGCGGATGCAATGATGTTTTCCGTGGGGTGGCAGGCGGTACACAGCACGGTGTCAGTGTGTCCCTGCAGCTTCTGCACGACCTCCTTGCTCTGCAGATTCCATATGTAGACCATATTGTCCTCGCTGCCACTCACAATCCACTGAAATGAAATAAATATTCATTTTTGATATTTGATAAGTTAATTTATCTATAAAAGAACTTCAGTGTTACAAATCGACTCAGTCTTGTTTAATTTATATGGGGATTAACGTAGTTAATGTCTTAATCTTACCTTTCCTCCCGTCACCGAGAAGTTTGCAAATATGCAGTATTTCTCGTTCTTGTGTCCCGTGTACGTTTTCAGACACTTGCCCTTTGAGTAGTCCCACAGCTTGAGAGTATTGTCCAGCGTGGCGGCCAGGATGTACTTGCCGTTGGGAGAGAATTTGACAAAGCTTACCGGTGGATTGTCGTCGTCGATCAGGGTTTTCAAACACTGCCCACTGGCCGTGTCCCAAATGCGGCATAGTCCATCGTAGCTGCTGCTTACAATCAGAGAGCCGTCCCTGTTAAAATGCACCGCTGAGACAGGATCCGAATGAGCGGGCAGGGTCTTCAGGCACTTGCCAGTGCGCACATCCCAAATGCGAACGCTCTCGTCAAAGCTGCCGGAGACAATCAGATTGGACTGCGGATTGAAGTTGCAGCAGAATACATAGTTGCTGTGCCCCTTCAGGGTCTTTAAACTCTTTCCGGTGCTCAGTTCCCAGACCTTGAGGGTCTTGTCATCACTGCCACTCACAAGGAGTCGCGAGTCCGAGCTCCAGGCCACATCGCTGATGCCCAACTTGTGGCCCGAGATGGTCTTCTCAAACTTGCCATCATAGGCACCCCAGATTTTAATGAGTTTATCAGCAGCTGTGAAACGAAAACAGATAGTTTTGTATTTGATGACTATTAATAACTGGAAAATATTATTAAATCCAGTTTCCAGATTCTCTCTTATGTGGATACCCACATGGTAAATTCAGCAAGACTGTTGCTATCCATAAACGGTTAACTATTTGATTGAACATAGAACTTAAAAAAGTTATCGGATAATTTTTAATTAATTTTTAACGTCCCTACAACACGGCTAATTTCCGGGGATTTCGCTGGCTATACTTACAGGAACTGGCCAGCCACTCGCCATTCGGACTGAACTTGACCGCCGATACAGCCTTGGTGTGCCCTGCTAGGGTGAACTTGAGCGTGTAGTTGGGCTTAACCGACAGCGAGCTCTTGTTGGAGGCACTGCTATTAGATGAGGTGGTGGCACCCGGTTGCCCGACCGAATTAGGCTGCAACGAATTCGGGCCACTAGGTGCTGTGGGCAGCGGTTGCGGTGGCGGATGCACTACACCTGGATGGCCGCCATGAACGGCTCCAATGGGCACCATGTCCTCCGATTTTCAACTGGGATAATGATGATCTTGGCCAGCCCCTTAAGCTCCTCCTCGTTGTTTAGTTTTTCCCCCTTTTCTTCACGGCACGCCGTACACGTGCTTCTTCTTCTTGTTGTTCCGGCTAAGGGAACGCCGCTGTTTTGCGGGCGAATTTTTTCGAGGTTGGCGGGATAATTTTGGAGCTCCTGCCTTTTCTGCGGCTGGTCCACTGCTGGTTCGCTGATCGGGGTTCGGTTTCTTTATTTTAGCTGGTGCTTGCTTTTGTAGATGTTTTATGTGTTACACGTGAAAATAATAATAATTTTGGTCACACTAGATAGTAAAAAAAATATGTTGCCAGCGCGCTAATGTGACCGTTGCGGCTTAACAACGAAATCCCATAACGGTAGCTGAGCATTTTCCAGTTTTTAGTGATTTTCAAGGGGTTAGCTCTCTTGAGGGTTGTTGGGGAGGTTTGACCAAAGTCACATGTAGTGTTTACCGCTGAAAAAACATTCAAAAAGGGATGAATATTTTTGTTTCTTCATAACTATTTTTATACCAGACCCGTTCGACAGCTGGGATATTTAAGCTGTACCAAGTGCGGTCACATTGCACGTCATCTTCGCAACCAAAAAAAAAACGAAAATCAACCCCGAAAAATAACAACATTCCCCCAAATAGACGCGACATTCGCCACAACAGCGCAGTCGAGGGCACAGGACCAAAGGGGCACTAGGACCAAGACGAGTTTGCCAGGATGAACGGACTGCCACCGAGCAAGCACTACAATTTGACGCACTTCCAGCAGCGTTACAATTGGGACTGCGGAGTGTCCTGCATAATCATGATACTTTCAGCCCAGCAGAGGGAACAGCTTCTTGGAAACTTTGAAGCTGTTTGTAGTGAGGAAGGATTCGGTTCGAGCACCTGGACAATCGATCTGTGTTATCTGCTAATGCGGTACCAGGTAATGTTGTTGTCTTGAGGTATTCAAATTTTAACTGATTGGAGTTATCCCGATATTCCCAATAAAAGGTGCGCCACGAATACTTTACGCAGACTCTTGGGATCGATCCCAATTACGCCCAGCATACCTACTACTCAAAGATCATTGACAAGGACGAACGTCGCGTAACGCGCAAGTTCAAGGACGCACGGGCACATGGACTGCGCGTGGAGCAGCGCACCGTGGGCATGGAGGTCATACTACGGCACTTGGCCCGCCATGGTCCCGTCATCTTGCTGACCAACGCCTCGCTGCTCACTTGCGAGGTGTGTAAACGCAATGTTCTGGAGAAATTTGGGTGAGTGCACTGCGAAAAAAAAAACCAGAACCCATCCCAATATTTAACCTCCCGAATCCCAAATGAAAAGATGTTTTCTTATACCTTTCATCGTTAAAAATACACGCTTACTAAAATCAAAAAGCTACGCGGGACACTATGTGGTGCTCTGTGGCTACGACATGGCCGCCAATAAGATGTTCTACCATAACCCAGAGGTCCACGATGGCCGTGAGTACTTAAAGCAAAGCAGAGGAACAAGTAATACCTGAAAAAGTTGTCCTATCTGTGTTCGAATGTATATAGAAAGGGGTAAACTTTATTATCCCCACACAATTCCCATTAGCAATTTCAAACTAATCTCCAAAGCAAAGCAACTTTGGTATTATTTATTCAAATCTAGCCACCACAATGCCCTTTAGTTACGCGACCATTTCATTGATTTTCATTTTTGGCTGCGTTCCATAGACGTTTGTCGCTGCCACATCGAAACCATGGACACCGCACGTCGCGCTTACGGCACCGATGAGGACATCATCTTCATCTACGAGAAGCAAATCACCACAGAGTAAATTAACTGCAAAACGATAGACACACGAAACAGGAGTACCTGCCAGTTGCCAGGTTGCCAGAGAGTAAGAAAGGAGGATTGGAATCTGCGCTTGTGATATTAGGTCCTTAGAGGAGGAGTACGTTGGAGAGTGGGGTGATTAAGAAGGAGCTGCTTGGTTAAATTTTGGCACAACAGTGTACTTTATTTGGGTATTGTTAACAGTTGGTCCCCATAAAAACAACAATTACAAACACTTACAATTACTATTAAACCAGCCAGGCAGCTGCCTACACTATAGAGTCGGTCGATTTACACTTTAAGAATTGTTACAAAAAAAAGTATCCTAAGGTAATCTGTTAAGTTCCCTTAGAACCTACCCATACATTTCATTTGACACCTCAAATACTCATAGAGATCTTTGAGTGTAAAAAAGGTTATGTTTATCGAGACTTCAAGGTATACAATTTATAATTTATTTGCATTTAGAAAGCATAAAATGCTTATTTGGTTGGTATTGAATGCATTCCTTTTAATGGCCAAATTAAATGTTTAAAATGTTCTTTTTTAAGAATGTCATTTAAATTTTGAACTGAATATGTTTAGAAACCAAATATTTGTAGATATAGCTTAAGAGATTATTCGTTGAAATTGTCCAGAGGTTACTTTCCGTATACATTTGCATTCCATTTAAATCGACCTACCCTAGAGTACATTCCAATACATTGATGCATTAATAAATGTTTTGTTTGTATGTAAAAAATAGTACAAATTATTGTTTCAAACAGAGTCAACCAGCCGTCTACTTAATGGGGCTGCTCCTTGTTCTCCTGGTTGTCGTTACAAATTCGTTTGTAAAGTAGCTGCATCTTGATGTGCGGCGACTCAACGGGAAGGATCATCTTGCCATTTTCATCCGTGTGCTTGGCATAATGCTGCTCCGAGAAGACCTCAAAACCATGGGAGCGAAATATCTTCTGGGAGAAGATACCTGTGGCATCGGCTTTCATCAGGCGGAAGCAATTCTTTTTGGCTACCGCTACGGATTGCTTTACAAGCTCATTGGCAATGCCTTGGCCACGATAACAGGAATCCACCGATAGGATGCGGACATCGAACATGCGGTCTACATCAAACGCCTCGAAGAGATCATTTTTCAGATTGTGCCTGTAAAGCAAGTCGAAGATTTTTCGGAAACCCTCATCATAACTGGAGTCCAGTTTTCCCAACGCCTTGGCCATGTCCTTCGGTCGCAAGATCCCATTAAGTACCACGCCGGCTATTTTGCAATTGCCCTCCTCCTTTGCGTCTACTGCCATCAGACTCATGCGATCTTTTATGGCCTCCACACAGTGATCCTCGAGAGCTTCGCAACTGCTTCCATTCTGACACAGACCGGCCGCCTTGTTTAGCGGCTCGTCGGCGAAGAAGTTGCGACGCAGGTGCTCCAGCACTTGGTCGCAGTGCTCCAATCCGATCATTTTGTATTCCATAGTGGCACAGCTATGGGCGGCACTATTCCTACAGTTGATGAGCAAGGCCTGAGTAACGGGTAATGATGTTGGGGTGATTATCTCATGCATTCTTTAAAATTTATTAATTATTATACACGTAATTCAATAAATGGATAGGTCTGTGCAATATAATAAGGATTTTTTGATTGGAAAAATGATTTTTCCTATGCTGAATATATATTTGAAGTCAAGCTCACACAAAATCGTTATGATATGTGTCGTATGCAAATAAGTACTCGTGCATATATATGTATGCAAAGGACACTTTTTCTATAACTCAATTAGTCGCAACTCTTCGGCTCTGTAGTCTCTCTTTCGCTCGTATACGTATTGCACTTTCCCTAACAGTAATGATGCCCTAATGACACACCCCCATTGAAAGCCGTCCCTAATGGCACTCCCCCTTCAAGCACCCCATCATCTTGTCAATTTAATCCAAATAGCATGGCTACGGTTATATCACCTGTGCTAAATCGATTAGGAGTTGGACTCCATTAAATCAAGAACTTAGTTCCACTTACTTTTTAGTCTTGTGGCAGATTGGATCGAATAAACTGGACGGTATCGAGAGGGCTTGTTTGTTTTTCTCCGCCAACTTACGCAGCTGGGAAAAATGTGTAACCTACTTGCGGGCGCTTTCACACGCGAAATGCGACTGGAGCAGCTGGAGTAGCCGTCAAAAGCGAACTACCAGCAACAGCATCCCATTTGTACACCTTGAGAAAAGTATCTAAGTACATTATTTTTTTAGATAACATTTTAACTACTCTTCTTAAACAGTAAGGTGTCAACTTAAATATATTGATCCTTAAATTTTTTTTTAAAACATCACAGTTTTAGGCATTATTAAACTTGAGACTTAAGTCCTAAGTAGAGTCACATTATAAGGTAAGGCATAACAACGATTTTTAAAAATATTTTTAAAGTTAAGTTATATTTTTTGATTTTAGGTAATTTTTTTCCCAATGTATGCCCTCGTGTTTGCCTCATTGCCGAAGCATGAGAAAAATTCTGGCCTTTGGGTTGGGGTTAAAAATAAAGAAAAGGGGGCGCCTCTGTTGATGTTCCTGTTGTTGTCGTATCCTTCGAGTGACAGCCATGCGTATACGCAACGTTCACACACCAGTGAAGGAATAGTGTGTGCGTGAGCGATTGCCTGGCTGTGACTTATGCCAAAAAAACAGATACCAATACGAGTACAATTGCTGGCTTAGTAAAATCGAGTTTTCCCTGCTACGAACCCCGTAAAATACTCCCACAATCCCCCTTTGTTGTGCGAACTCGCACCAACTGTTGATTCCGCCTTTGTGAGGTTATATCCGACTTACAATGTACGTACATATGTATGTATGCACGTATTTCACTCGCATTCCGTTATCGACTTACTCAACGACCAGGACGTGCCACAATCAAAAAACGGGAACTCCTTTGTTGTATTTTTTTTTTTAAAAATTTGGGTAGAAGAAATTTTTTTTTAGACACTGCTAAAATTAAACTTATAATTTTAATTTAAAATTATGTGGTTCTTTTTTAAAGCGCAACGAACAGCGATTTTTAATGCAAATAAAATTTATATGTACATAAATATGTGGACCACATAACCTTGAGTCGTGTTGGAGTCTCGGCAAAGCTTGACTACCTGGTATGCATATTCATTACTTTAATTAATACCCCTACTTATTCGAACTGTCCAAATAGGGCGCGGAACAATAGATTTTCTGCACGCAGAAAAATGAGGCTATATATTATAAACATATTAATATCTTAAATATGTTTGGATATCAACAATTATTTGACTTTATTTTTTGATTTTTTTCAAGTACGATATTCAAATGCGGTAATTATCCTGAAAGTAAAAGCTTATTTTATGGAAATATTTTTCCCGCTGCTCGGACAGACGAATGAGTTTTTAATACCGTTGAGCACATTTGTTGATCGTTTCGTTAGTAAAAGTTTTTATAAACGGTTAATATATTGTCTAAAAAATGATCGTTTGATTTCCAATTTAATCGGTGTAATCTTTCCATGTTTTAATTTCAAGTATCATGAAAACTTGGGAAATGAAAAAACGGTTCTCTTCTTGTTCTCTTTTCGTACCCGTTCCTTTTCCTCTCTCTCTTTTTTATTACGTTTCCGCCGTTTTCACAAAGCTTCTCCTCTCATTTCGGTTTCTTCCTTGGCGTGCATCAGAAAGCCGATGCGTCTGTGCCGCACGTTTAATTAAATTTTGGCGTTTTAAAGTGGTTTAAAGTATTAAAAACACTTAAATGTATAAAAAAATGTGATCGCAGAGTGGTGTAATGTTTTTCAATAATTGTTTGTGTTTAACGGATAAAATCTATGTTCTTTTAAAATACAAAAAGTATGCAAAAATGTGCGTCTATGTGCATATGTATTTGTATAGCTTCAACAGTGCACACGCATGTTCCTTTACACACCTATAAACGTCTGGATAGGTTTGGGTGTTTAGCTGTACTTTTCAAGTTTAAGTCAATTATTGCATAGCACAAATAATCAACAATTGAAACTCAGTATTTATAATGGATACAAAAAAAATGAACAGGTAAGTGAATGCATTTTAAAGTTTTATTCTGTTTGTATAATTTGCCAGTTTGTTGTTTATTCGTTTCGTTAGTAAAAGTTTTTATAAGCGGTTGAAATATTGCATAAAACATGATCGTATGATTTTCAATTTAATCGGTGCAATCTTCTCAAGTTTTTATTTCAAGTATCATGAAAAATTGGCAAACAGTTCTCTTCATGCTCTCCTTTCATACCCGTTCCCTTTCCTTTGTCCCTTTTTTTTTATCACATCCGCCATTTTTACAAAGCTTACTCTCTCATTTCGGTTTCTTCGTCTGTACCGCACGTTTAATTAAATTTCGGCGTTTTAAAGTGGTTAAATGTATTATAAAGCACTTAAATGTATAAACAAACTGTGATCGCAGATTGGTGTAATGTTTTTCAATCAATAGTTTGTGTTTAACGGATAAAATCTATGTTCTTTTAAAATACAAAAAGTATGCAAAAATGTGCGTCTATGTGCATATGTATTTGTATAACTTCAACAGTGCAAACGCATGTTCCTTTACACACATATAAACTTCTGTATAAGTATTAGGTGTTTAGCTGTACTTTTATTGCATAGCATAAAAAATCAACAATTGAAATTCAGTTTTAACAATAAAAAAAAACAAAAATGAAGAGGTATGTGAATGCATTTTTAAGTTATATCCTGTTTGTATAATTTTGCCAGTTTATTGTTTATACATTCTCTTTGTTAAGGATGAAAGACACTTATACCTGTAATTGTTTTTTAAACCTTCGATTATAACATTTTTATCGAGTTTTTTTTATGTGTAAAACTCTAACCGTAACTGAATACCTATAGTACAAAAGTATTTCAAAGTTAATGTGCTGAGCGTGTGGCAGCTATTTTTCTTCGCCTATTTGAGGCCCTTCCAAAAATTGTGCGTTATTATTGGCAATCGTAGTCAATCAAAATCAATCTGTTTCAACGGTAATAAGACTGAACTGCCTAAGTAACAATCGTCATATTGGGTGACAATCGAAGAGGAGAAATTGTTAACCAACCTTTAATTGGTAAATCCTTTTTATGTTCCATCGATTTCCGAGGTGAAACAGTATATTTGGAAAAGTAATCATTATTTTTATTGCCAATATCCACCAAGACTGGGAACAAGAATTTTTAATGCAAAATTTGTACTGTGTCGAAAATATTATTCAAAGGTTGCCTAGATAAGCTATTTTATTAATACATGCTAACAATGCCCTGTTTAACGCACTCATTTATAAAATAACGGGCTTGACAACATAATTTCATGTTTTGGCCAATTGTATCACCGGAAATAAACGGTAACAACCGTTGCGGAACAACGCCTCTTGTTTAGTTCTATATCTATTATTAATTTATTTTGTATTGATGCCTTACCGTTATTTGGAAATTTTGTGGGTGAGCTAGTTGAAATATTTAATGTCATTTATTCTCACAGTTTTTAATAAAAAATAATAGATCACGGATTGTTTATACCGAACTGGCAGGTGTTTGTTGATCGGATATACCTTGAAGTATAACATACTGTGCCATAAAGTGTGACAGCTGTTCCGGAACAGCTGAGGGGCCCGAATCCAATTCCGAGCCCCCATAATAGTCCCACCGATCCGATCCGATTCGATTCCATCCCAAGACCGTCATTCTCTCGCCAGGTCGCTCAATGAGTTTTCATTCGCTGGCCCAGTTTGTTGTGCTGTTCGCTGTTCCCTCGTTTTGTCGTCTATTTTATTTTCGTGGTGTCGCATATATTTAGTAAATATTTTGTTGTTGTTATTTATAGTTCGGACTTGGTTGGCGTGGTGCGTGTTGTGTATTTTTTTTTTTGTTGAGTGGCATATTTTTGTTTGATTTTTGATGGCATCCAAGGACCGTCTGCCCATATTTCCCTCGCGTGGGTAAGTAGTTAATCCTTTTGTAAAAGTTGCCCTTGTTATATGCATATGGCCCATTTCCGTAGTGCCCAAACGCTGATGAAATCGCGTTTGGCGGGCGCTACTAAGGGACATGGTTTGCTGAAAAAGAAGGCAGATGCCCTGCAGATGCGCTTTCGTCTTATTTTAGGCAAGATCATTGAGGTGAGGAGGTGGATTTCACCACTGTTATTTTCTTATATTTGTGTTCAATTCGACAGACGAAAACCCTTATGGGTCAAGTTATGAAGGAGGCTGCATTCTCTTTGGCTGAGGTTAAATTCACGACTGGAGATATCAACCAAATTGTGCTGCAGAACGTTACAAAGGCCCAGATCAAGATACGCACCAAAAAGGATAATGTGGCCGGCGTAACGTTGCCTGTTTTTGAGCCCTATACGGATGGCGTGGATACCTACGAGTTGGCCGGACTGGCACGCGGTGGTCAGCAGTTGGCTAAGCTAAAGAAGAATTACCAGAGCGCCGTGCGCCTCCTTGTAGAATTAGCCTCATTGCAGACCTCCTTTGTGACTCTTGACGATGTGATTAAGGTCACCAACAGGCGAGTTAATGCCATCGAACACGGTGAGTTGAGAAAAACTCTAATAAAATGTTTGTAAACTAATGAATATGGTTTTTTTCCAGTGATCATACCCCGCATCAACCGAACAATAGAGTACATTATCAGCGAACTGGACGAACTGGAACGCGAGGAGTTCTATCGCCTAAAAAAGATTCAGGATAAGAAGCGTGAGGCTCGCAAGGCAACCGATAAATTACGTGAGGAGCAGCGGCGTTTAGGCAAATTGGCCGAGGCTAAGGAAGTGCAGAACATCCTTGATGATGATGGAGACGAGGATCTGCTCTTCTAGACCGACTGCATATCCCATATGCCCACCTACCCACTGCTACACCTGACTATCCAATCATTTAACTTTGCTACCTCACCTCTCGTTTTTGTTGTCTTTGTTCATTGTGATCCGGATGTTGTACCGCTTGTCGTTCTGGGAAATACAATCCGTAATCGTAACCTTAGTGATTGCTATTTTTTGTGGTTTTATTTTGTCAATTGACTGCTTTGTGTCTTAAGTGTACATGCACAGTGGAGCAATAGTAAAAAAAGAAAGTGAAAACTGGCAGAAAGAAATTTGGGAAATATTAAGTATACGTTGAGATTCAAAAAACCAACACAAATCACAACGTTTTAAAATCCTCAAAGTATTATTTTAATTAAAAACTCTATTATCAACAGTATTTAAATTAAAAAGTACTTCATCCTATTCTAAGAGTTGAAATTTTCCTTCATCCTCTTTTAAATAATTTTTACCCTTATACTTATTGTTGCAATTTATGCGGTATAAGTAAGTTATCAATATGCATTCCTGTTTGTCGATCATCAGTAATTAGGGCCTTAAATTCGCTTTGAGCTCCAAAAGCCAGAGCTAAATTGTTTGAAGGTCTTTTAAAACTTTTGTTTAGTATAGAATTCTGAGGTCTATAAAAGTATAAGGTATCCAATAAGTCGTTTAGGTATTAGCTGCATATTTTCCACACCGGTTTTTTATGACACTCTTTTGATAGCCCATTAAATCGTCCGATTAAGCTGCTTATGGCCCAAAATTGCCAATTAAGCTATGACAGTTTTTGGATTCACGAATGGCACGTGCCGATCTGGAAACGGACCCCAAAGAAGACAAAGTAGGCAATCAGTTGTAGTTTGTATGTATGCATATAAAATCCTGTTTATTCATTTTCCGTTTAGCCTTATACACGTAATAGTTTGCCATTGACCACTGGGTGTTCTGGTTTTTATGTTCCATCTTTTAAATTCGGCTTGGATTTGAAAATTGCGTAAAGCCAAACGTGAACAGAAAAATTAATTTAAACCCAAATCGATTTCACACGCAAAATATTCCATTTAAAAATGCATAGTAAGCTTAAAGTTAATGTGAATATTCAATATTCGCACTGATCAGAGATCAAATGATGTGACATAATGATACGTTCAATTTCCAATTTTTTTTTTTTAAGTTTTTGTTCCTCTTTACCATTCAAAGTGCTTTGTACTCTCTTTGCATGTGTTTACATAAAATATGCATACTCAATATACGATCTATACTCCGACCATTCTATCAGGTATCTCTCTGCATGTGATTCATAGTGTAAATACCAAGTATGTAAATATGTTTTCTCTATGTTTTATGTAAATACCGTTATAAGTATGTATACAGAGCTTATTAAAAAAAAATAATTACATTCATTACACTCATTACACAATTCCTTTATTTATATATGAATGTATATGCCAAAAAATTGTGATCCAACCCTTTGTTGGTAAATATACAAAAAATATTGGATATATGTATGTATATTGAACGATATTTATTCTATCGAGACTTATCGCGGTATAGTCAAAGCCGCTGCATACAAAAAAACGTGCACACTTGTCAGCTTTTTAGTTTAGTTTGGTACAGTTGCGCTTGCAAGTGTGAAAGGGATAAAGATCGAGATGCTTTAAGCTTTTGGGATTTGGTAATTTTTTGAAATCGCTTTGGCTTTTGTCTTAGATTTTGTTATCGTCGCGATTGTTGCACTAGTTGCGATTGTGGTTTTGGCTGCTGCTGCGGTTGTTGTTGTTGTGGTTATTGTTGTTGCTACCGGTGTCAGCGTCGATGTCGGCGGCAATTGTGATGTCATAAATATTTGCTGCGTCTTTTGCGAACCTGGCATCACACATTTGTCCTGCAATCAATAAACGAGAAAAAAAGAAAACGATATCCGCAAATAACGCCGCATTTTGAGTGGGAAACAGAGACAGGAGATAAGCCAAACAAAAATTTTTATTCAATTTGTGTCTTCGGTCGCGGACCCCATTAGTTTAGTATTGATCGTGGCAAAGTTTTTTCTTTGCAAAACAAAGCGCAGCTAGCAAAACTCAAGGCAGTGACAGTGAACGGAATCGACCGTGCCTGGCAGTGTGACCAGCTTAAAAAACATAAAGTACAGTCTGAGTAAAACATTAAGTATGAAAAAATGTTTTTATTTGTTGTGTATCTAAAAAAAATCAACTGACAATTACAAATTAAAAAAATTTAAATAAGATTTTAACAACTACTTATAAAATGTATGTAATGTAAACAAATACTTAAAGAAATAAATGTACAAAACTAGTTCGATAACAACAGATTCTGCATGTCTCAATTAGTTTATAAATAATTGATGAGTTCTTTTTCCGTAACACTTTGAATAATATTTGGATCTCAGGCCCTTTAAACAATTTTTATTTAAAGTTCCTTAGCTCCAATTATTCGGATTTGGCCACACTGCTTAGGAACGGTAGCGGCATTTCAATCTAATATTTTAAAATTTATAGAAGTAGAAGAACATGCCGCTCAAGTTTTGCTGGAAAAATTGATCAAGTAATAACCGTGTGCGAGTGTTTAAGTGTATTTGCGTGTCCAGAACAGAATGTGGGCGCTAAAGAAATTTTTTGTTGCCATTAATATTTAGTAACGATTTTTGGGAACTTTGAATTTAAAGGTAATCCGACTAATTTGGACTTGTAGCCCAAAGGAGCGATATTGTCCTACATGGATGAATATATATACATAACTAAACTGAAGCAAAAGAAAGATGTCAAAATCAAGAATATAAATGGTTGGTTTTTACAAAATTTTCAATACTATATTATTACAAAAGTTAAATTGGAGTTTGATTAAAGCTTGTTTTTTTTTTTTTTTTGGGATAGAGTGAAAATGAAAAGAGAATTCAGTAATGGGGTTTTGTTTTTGAGGAAATTTCCGGTGGGTGCTGGCTACTGTGGTTGTGGCTAAATGGCTTTGGCTACTTCTACGACTATTGGTCTACGGCTACATCTACGGCTAGTTTTTGGGCTACTGCTCTGACAACTCAAATACAACTGACTCGGGTGGCACGGATGACGCTGACGGTACTCTCAGTACCTTTTGACCCCGAAAGCAGATGCCCATTATCCACTTGGAGCCGCGACTCCGCGATCCGGTGCTTCCTGTGCTTTCCTTGCTCTGAATGCGAGTGATGGCCGGATCCAGTTCCGTATCTATATCCGCCTTCTCCACCCGATCCTTGCCCTTTTCTTGGTTTTTGTTTTGAAGCCGAGGAATCAATCGGTGTCGTTGTTGTGGCTCGTGGATCATTACAATGCTTGCGCTACTTGGCTTCCTTCCATTTAACCTTTTATTCGGAGGGGAAATTCTGGTTTTTGAATTTTCGTAAATTAACCAAATTGAGGTGGCGTCTTAATCAGGGGCTTACCGCTTTCCGGGGGCCGATGGATCGCCAGCTGGATGAACTGCATCTGTATCCGGCGCTGTGTTGTAGGCTCCTGAATACATGGACGCCCTCTTTGGCGCCCACTCCGGATGACCACGAACCGATAGCTGGGTGGCGAGGCTCTTTAGAAGCACGGCACGGACCTATTCAAAATATTATTTAATTATTTTTACTTATTAACATTAGTAACAAATTTAAAGCTTACCTCTCCATTTAAAAAGCAATAAATAAGTGCTATGAAAAATCCCTGGAACGATGTTAGAAAGTGGGTGCCATATGACCAGACCGCAAAATTCGTGGCCGTTTTCAAAGGTGCCAACTGATGCAGGAGATTGGTAATACCCAAAAGTGGTAATAGGACTATCGCTGCCCTTACGGCCTTTCGAGTCTGTTCTATATCGCTGGCCTGCGATTGGCGCAACTTCATCACCAGGACACGGATTATATTCACCAGGAAACAGAAATTGAGCTGCAAATTGCTCGCTTGCTTAATAAAAAGTGTTTTTTATGGGGATTAAATTACTCACCAGTATAACTGCTAGTCTAGGTCCCTCCAGGATCCAATAGTATGGCGTAAGATTGTAGTTCCACAAGCACTCGCCCAGCGATGTGTCCATATACATCACCGTACACCTCGCCCAAACGGTGGTCATTAATATGGGAACACACCAGCCGAGTCTGGAGAAGAATTTGAGCGGAAAGCTTCCCTGGAAAACGGCCACCGTGACCATATTGTGCAGGTAGAGACCCTCGATGAACATCCACATGAACATGGCGGTGCGGGCGTACTCCAACAGCACGTAGGATGCCTCACACAGGTACGGCTGTTGACGGTGAACGTTTATGGCTATAATAACACACTTGGATTTCTACAACTTAAATCTACTTAGAGGAGGTCATGTGTTTTAAGTTCTATGTTAACGAATCATATTTATAGTATTTACTTCTTCTTTTTTATATTATTAGTGATGGGTTTTCCCTTAACTTACTGTGTTCTCGATGACGGAGAGACTTGTGTTGGTGGCCGCCTCCTTGTTTCCCCGCCGGAACTGATCCAAATATAAGGTTAGCCGGATGATAACCTGCAGCACCATGGCGACGAATAGGTTCTTGTGGATCTTGGTGCGATTATTCCTCAGAGAGCGAAATGTGCAGAAGATCAGCAGAGATACTATCAGGGCGAAGAGCGAAAGACACAGCCCCACAATCTCCAGGGTTCTAGTTTTTCTCGCTATGTCTATGTAGAGCTTTGGGGGATATCAGGAAACGAAAATGTTCACTGTTAGTTATCGCAGTTATAATTAATTGATGGTTAAGCTTTGTAAACTGCCTATGTATTTCGCAAGTGGTGCCTGCTGCCTGCTGCAACAAACCGAAATGCTTACATCAAAGTCCTTGTTGCCCATCTGCTGCATGAGGCGGATGATCTCTGGCTTGTAACACGGTCCGTAGTCCGTCCATCCCGGCGGACTCACTTCCGTGGCATTCGGTCTGCTGCCCCATCGGCCATCCAACTCGCACTTTCGGATGGCGAATTCTGCGGGAGGAAGGCAAAGGGTGGGTGGACGGATTAATGACTATAATCGAACTTTGACACACAGACTGACAAGTGCAATTATGCCAATCGAATGGGCGACCTCGTCCAGTTGAAAAGATTGGGGCTAAAAATCTAGACACGGCACATTGGCATAGGACGCAGGCAAATGAGGCCAGGGAAAATATGCACTCGAATAAATTTATTTTTTTTCGGGGATTTGCATTTAAAAAATGTTTTGTCCAAATATAGTTCGGTTTGAAAAATATCCCATATTTAATTGCGTTGGGTTTCTTCTTGTACGTAGAGATATGCTTGATATATAAGCCCACATTATTTTTCGGTGTGCATTGCCCCAATGCTTATTAAATACCAATTCTCCTTTGGGCAGCGTTCAATTTAGGGGGCCAGCATATCGGTGGGGTCGAACCCATTTCGAATCGTAATTAAGCAATCGATTCGTTGGTGTTTTAAACCTTGTTAAACTGGCGAAGCTCAGGTGAAGGTATGAACATGGAACACCTGGAGAGCCTTCGGCACTGTCCACGCCCACTTTCGTCCCAGTTTCGCAGTGACCTCGTCGGGATACATATAGGGTTAAAGGGGGGCGGCGGGTCCGATTGGGAGTTTGGTTGAATGGACGCGCCAGTCAGGCATGTAAATATTGACATCCTTTCGATGAATACGAAATCAAGGAATTGTTTGCCGTTCAGCACTTGAACGGATTCCCAGCTAATGATCCGTATAATTGTGACCGCCAGAAATGGAACTCGGATGGTATAATAGCCGGGGGTTATGTCTAATTACTTCTAATCAACCGACAAATGACGGCATTTAGTTGGCTAAGCCATAAATCTTACAGTTGAAATAATTAGTTGCAGTTCTTAAAAATTATTTAACTATACATATGTGATGTAAGTGGTGATTTTCTTGATTAGGTGGATTAATGTTGTCGGTACTTACTGCGCGTATCTACGCCGTGAAAGCCGCCAGGACAATTCATCCGAGCGAGGACTCCGGCCGGAGTAGGTGGCCAGCACAGCAATGTGTCCCAGGTCCAATTGCAGTAGAGACCTGCCGGAAAATTACAAAAAAAACACAAACCGAGTTTAGAAAAAGGACTTCAATATACGAGAATTATTCACCTGATTGTGGTAGGGTGTAATTGGCAAAAAGCGCCGAACAGTTCTCAAAGTTGGTGGCTGCCGCTGATGCGAGCGTTAAATTCCATGGTGCGGTGACGTTGAGATTGCCGAATGCCTGATCCGGATCCGAATCGGGCAGGGCGTCCATGACAGTGGACTCCAGGAGGGGCATCTGGGCCACACTGGCAACTCCATCGAGGACGTAGGTACTTGTCGTTGATTCCGTTGTCGTGGAATCGAAACCGTGCAGGACTGGCACTCGTCCAGTCGGCAGGATATGCGAGGATGTCGGCTCCAGCATAGACTCGGATGCAAATGTCCCGGATGCGGATGCAGATGCGGATGCAGATGCGGATGCGGATGAGGAGGCCAATAAGCTGGACTGGGCCAGCAAGCGGGTGAATCGCTGAGCGGAGATGCCGCCTCCGCAGTCGAGGATGCTCGCCAGCAGGGTCATTTTGCCATCGGCCACATAGTGAAAGCCCTGAGGGAAAGGCCAAAAGTAAAATGTGAAAGTTAGCATAATCTGTGAACTCTACTATATATGTATTTCTTAGCGATTCCGAATAGGTAAATGATTTAACTTGGATTGAACTACCTTGCCCCGCTGCCCCAAGTTCTCAACTGCTTATGAGTTGTCTACGATTTCTGGAGGTCGCTTGCAATTTCGCCGCAGGGAAATCGGATTACCTTACTAGCTGATTTCCGGGGGTTTCCCCGCCCAGTTCGCATTGTTTGTGCGACTGCGACCTTCATCAGGCTGAGCTTTGTCTTCGGATATTAGCATACTCGTTTAAATACGTATGTACGATATAAATATGTATATATTTATAGATATAGGACCACAATGAAAGTGTTGCAATTGGAAATTGATCTCTTGCGGCTTCCGTTTCTATTTTCCCCGTTATCCGGGTCAGAATTAATTGAAAGCTTATAGCACAATGATACGTCGATGGGCTCCTTTGTTTTCCGGATCTTGTTCTCGTTGGCAGCGTGCCTCTGTTGGTAACGCAGTTTATGATTGGCCCCTAATAAATACTCGGCTTATTTATAGCTCCGCTGCACCGTAGTGCAAACATCACGACCCACACGTCACATATTTTCCGTACTTTCCGTACCATACTATATATACACATATCATTGGCATCGGCATTCGCATTCGTATCACCCACATCGTACCGATTGCCGGGATTATGTCTGGCAAAATGGCAAATGGCCAGGAGCAACTACAGGCAAAAAAAAACTACTTGACTTCAATAATGTTCGTGGTCAAGAATATGTTTATATTGTATTTCTTTGTTTGATAAGTTAAATTTATTAGAAATATATTTTACTATTATAACGTTGTTATATATTTGTAGCCTACATCGAAAAATGTTCCTCTATTCTTTACATTTATAGTATAACCCACATATTATATTTATCTTTCTGTGCACGAAGGAAAAGCTTTGGCCACGGGTCGTGCATTGTGTTGCAATGAGTTGCATTTGCCTTTCTGCAATTCGAGGCAGCTCTTCACAAGTCCCTGCTCCTCTTGAAAAGAAGTAATCCTTTTCTAAGCAGAACATTAAAAACAGGACCCTCGAATGCGAGCGAAGATACACAAAGCATCTAATTATACTGAATTTGCTGCCCTATAAATATGTTTTTTAGACTTTGCCTATTAGTAACTATTCAACTTGTAATTTGTTCAGCAACACTTATATAATTTTGCTGTTATATAGTCTTACTTTTAAATAGAAAGTCTTCTTTCTGAAATACAAATGAATCCGTCTGTATGGTGGAATTACATTTCTCTCTTCCGAGCCATTTGTCGCCAAGGCTAAACGGAATCTAAATTACTTCAATGATAATGGCATAACGAATTATGATTTCTTCCTGTCTTGGTCTCAATGTGAAAGCATTTCCCACCCAAAAGAGCTGAATGACACCGTATTCCACGTTTTTTTTTCGGAAAGGAGAGGAGGGGAGAGGCGAGGAGGGGCGAGGAGGGGCGAGGAGAGGCGAGGAGGGGCGAGGAGCCAGAGTGTGTGGCACATGGCTTTCCGTTCCGTTCCGTTCCGGAATTGCGTAAACAAGCCATCCGGAGGACGGCTTGCCCAAAGTTGTTGATGTTGCTAAGCTGCCCCTAAAATGCCTTTGAGTGCATTTTATATAATTTCATAAGAATTTCAATTTCGCCAGTAGTCGCTGCTCACATATGCAAGCAGAGGATATACCATGCCCCACATTCTCCATTCCCTGGGGGCATTTCTCCGGCTTTATCCTGCTCAATATTTAAGTTGCATAAGACCAGGACCAGATTTAATGCACCGAGAGCAAAAGTCATAGGAATATGTGCCAAGTCTATAAATAAATTAATATTAATCGTAAACAGAACCGTGAAATAAATTATTTAAGTACGGATTTAACTTGATTTAATTTAAGCATACTATTTAACCGAAACTAAGTGGCTTCAAGAATTTCTCTAACTAGACGACCTTGATTGCTCTGCCCATTTGGAAGGCCCATGTAATGGATTCGCTTAAGCGATACTAATCGATACTTATCGCTGCAGCGGACTGATTCTCGGTTCTCGCGTTTGTAATTAAGCTAACTAAGCGCAAAAGCCACTCTAAAGCCATCTCAAAAGTCGGGCGTGCACCAAAGGATTGGGGATTGGATAACCAACTGGATGATGCTGTGTGTCCCGCTCCTCCGCTCCTCCTCCGCATTTCCAAGCAGACGAGCGCCGCAGACGGCAGACTCTGATTTGGGTCACTTGGCAGCAGCTGCAGCGGGTTAAAGTACCCCGGTACCAAGGGGTTAAGGGGTTGCCTAAGGGTTGCTCGGTTGCCTAAGGGACTCGATTAAATACTTGTGTAATTTAAAGCCAGCCCCACCGAAGAAAAATGCACTCAAAATCCTTGAATAAGATAGAGAGTAGCTCAAACCTAATTACATTCAAGTGATTCAATAAAAAGTGTACTCAAAATAGCTAGCTAAACTTTACGTTCCAAAAATCTACATTCACAAATAATTGTCAACTTATGGGGAAACCATTCATAGATGTAGAATATTGGGCCATCGAGCAATTTTTTTAATTGAACATTTTCTTACGACCTACAAATAAATTTTTATATTTACGCCCTTGGCAAGCCGAATTCAGCCCAGTGAATTAAACGAGTTGAATGTTTGTTTGTTTACAATTTTGTGTCCAACATGCTGGACCCTTTTAATAATTAATCAACTTTCTTATTGAACACTCAGCAATTCAATTATTTAACACGCATCGCAATGCTCCAAATAAGTTGTCATTGCCATTGGATTGCCAGAAACAATCAAGGATTTATGTGGATTTAAATTTGTTATTCCATGAAGCTTGAAAAGCGTTATAAACAACAACATTAAACAGTAATATTAACTGACGTCTCTTGATCTGAAAATTGGGTTGATTGAGCCCTAAATAATGAGTTTGCTTTTTTGCCGATCAATTGTTTTCAAATTTTCATCGCGAAAAACTGCACTGCAAAGTTTATAAAACTTTATGTTTACTTTTTGTAGGTCGCAAAAAAATCGGAGAGCCCGCGAAAAACCATCTGCAGGCGTTGGGGCGTGTTTTTCGTATATTTCTTTGGCATAATTATGCGGGAAAATGAAAGAAAATGAATCTCAAGAGCGCCCATTCATAGAGGCGAGGTGCATAGAATGGGCCAATGCACGCTAACAAAAGGGCTTGTGGAAAAGTGGTGAAATGTGTACGGAAATGTGGGTGGAAAATGGTGGAAATATTGGCCGGGTTTGGTTAGGCGGCTGTGCGACGCTATTTGAAAAGTTTTACGCGCTATTTGACAAGCCAAAAGACTTTTCACTGCGGGTTTTCTTTGCCCCTCTAAGTTGCCATAGAAAGTACAGTGCGTTTGAAGAGTGTAACGCCAAATTCGCCAGTTTTACTGAAGTATTAATAGGAGAAGAGTATAAAAAGATTTTACTAATTTAAAGTTCTTTAATTTTTTAGGCAGTTAAGACTTCAATTCAAATTTCTAAGGTGTTGACCTGCTATACAATCCATTTAAAATTGTTATTGATTCCCACACAAATATGACATTTTTTCAGCATAAAAGTCAAGTTTGGAATGCATTTTTCCTGTTGGTAAATAAAACAAATGTCAGACGTTCAAAAGTGAATTATTTATGCGTAATTGAAACGTGAAGAATTTGCAAACATTCAACACCTACTTACTTTTGTATCAACAAAGGTCAAGAGTGGAATGTGCTACGTTATTCAATATTGTTTTAACAATTTAAGATATTTAGTTCGTGCTGTATTTATAATTCTTGGCAGTTGTATTGACTAAATTTAAATTTAAAGTAATTAGTTGCTGGTGAAACAAAACTTTATGAGCCAAAAAAGGGATTTTAATTATACGGTAGCTTACTAATACTTTCATTTGTGTTTGTGCCACAAAGGATTTTTTGATTGGAAGTTCGGGCAATCTAAATCCCTTATCTTGCAAAGTAACAACTATCTCTTTTTTTTACGAAACGCACTGTAGTCTGTGGGTGGGCCAATTAAATTGCAACAAAGGCTTTTCCAATTGAAAGTTTCGGCAAATGTTTAAGCAGTAGCAACGTTAATCTTAAATTTGATGGTTTTCCGAGACAATTGCCACTTTAAGGCGATCCAAGGGGGGCGGGGCGAAGAGAAGGTGGTCTCTGTGGCGTTACATCACCTTTTGGCCAGAATCTTAAAGCATCCGAGAGGGTGGTGCTTTGCTTTTGTCACCGCAGGACATTTGCCGCTTGGCTGATCCCACTGCAGCTGCTTATACAATTTGGCATTGAAACTGCCACTGTTTGCAGTTGTCTACACGGAAAGAAATCTTCTAAGGGTTTTCCGTTAGTCGATCGAGCTACAGGATTTGGTCCTGGAAGCTGGGACAGCAGTTTTCCGGCCAAATATCATTGGAGTCCCAAGTGATATAGGTTTTGATTTTAATTCAACATTTCTCTCAGTGTAACTAGTTGCTAAAACCGTTTTTGTTCTTCACAGTTTTGTTTTTCCTTCACATCTCTTGGATCGATGCAAGTGTCTTGGTCACGGGCTTGTAATTGAATGACAGAATAAAAGTTTTCGAAAAAGGGAAAATTGTAAGGGGCAAGATTCTAATGAATAGAATCCCGCTCGCCTCGCCGATTTCTATGTTGGTATTTCATATTGAAATCCATTTGACAGGACGAACAGATTTTGACAGCTCGTCAAGTTGTTTTGTGTGCCACAAATTGAATGCCACAGAGTTTTAAGGCCCCCCGCAGATTTTCCCCCGACTCCCCGGAAAACTCCCGGTCATGCGGGTGAATGTGTGCAACTGTTGCATTACTGATTACGCTACTGCAGTGCAATTTGCCAGATTGACACTCTATAAATCAATATCATCGGGACAGAACGTGCCGGCCTAGCAGCACTTACCTACTTGCTTGTTGTTGGCACCGCCAGTTACAAGTA